ATCATGATCATGCTCTCTCTTTCTGTATTTACATCACATACATATATTTTCCATCTACAACTCTTGGGTTCAAAAAATCTTATGATTTAACCATAATTGCTTAGTATGATAATATTCTTATTGTCCATGGAGCTTCATGTGTTGGTTAGCTTCCTCTGCCAAAGAGCTGGTGCCTCCATTAATTTCAAACCCTAGGATTCCATAGAATTGAACCCTGGTAGCTAAAGAGAGATCAAACTGCATTAATGCTATAGTGTGGGTGTGCCTTGTGTCTACAGAAACATACAAGATAGATTCCCAGCATCATAATGTTTCAGGTTGTGAGTGACCCAGAAAGAGTTAACTCTATGCGATGCACACAGATCACAGACCTTTATCGGTCCCATCAAATGCTTTCCAGATGGAACAGAAGTTGCCCAGGATGCAGCCAGAGATGAAGGAGAGAAGAATTTATTCTTCCCAATGGAAGAAAGAAGGCATTGCCTCTCCCACCTTCACCAAGAGCTCCGTTTCCTCAAAGCCATGATTGATGGTCCTATAATTATCAGGACAAGAAGGCAATACAAGATGTATGTATGTATCTATCATCAACAGAAGATTGGTGAAATAAAAACACAGAGAACAAATGGGGGAAATTTGAGATCTTATGTGAAATACCTTAATTAACGGTGACAAATGCAAAAGACTCCACTTGGGAAGAAAGAATGAGATGCAAAGAGACAGAATGGGAGATGATGGTGCCTAGCTAGAGAGCAGGACTTGTGGAAAAGATGATCTTGGAGTCCTCATGGGGAGGAAGGGGAACAGGAGCCAGGAATGTCATGCAACAAGCCCTATGAAGACAGAGCGGCTGAAAGAGCTAGGCATGTTGTGCCTGCAGAAGAGAAGGCAGAGAAGAGACAGAATGAGGGCCAGGGATCAAGAGGTGAGACCGGGAAGACAGAGGGAAGAGGAGGGAGAATCCAGAGGGTGCTCACTAATGCTTCCTCTTCATCTTGGAAAGAAGTGACGAGCGGGTTCCTTCCTGAGCCCGGTCCTGTTCAACATCTTTATTAATGACTTAGATGAAGGGTTAGAAGGCAGGATCATCAAGTTTGCAGACGACACCAAATTGGGAGGGATAGCCAATACTCCAGAGGACAGGAGCAGGATTCAAAACGATCTTAACAGATTAGAGAGATGGGCCAAAACTAACAAAATGAAGTTCAACAGTGACAAATGCAAGATACTCCACTTAGGCAGAAAAAAACGAAATGCAAGGATACAGAATGGGGGACAATGCCTGGCTCGAGAGCAGTATGTATGAAAAAGATCTTGGAGTCCTCGTGGACAACAAGTTAAACATGAGCCAACAATGTGATGTGGCGGCAAAAAAAGCCAATGGGATTTTGGCATGCATCAATAGGAGCATAGTGTCTAGATCTAGGGAAGTAATGCTACCCCTCTATTCTGCTTTGGTTAGACCACACCTGGAATATTGTGTCCAATTCTTGCCATCTCCCCTGTGACATCAGCGCCCCTCCCCCAACACCAACGGCCACTCTGGGGCCAGAATAAAGAAGGGGAGCCAGGAGGACATTGCCGTCTTGTCCCCTGTGACATCAGCGCCCCTCCCCCAACACCAACGGCCACTCTGGGGCCAGAATTGTTTTTATACTATGTCTTGAATTTTGTTGTTCCTATGTTGTAAACCGCTGTGAGTCGCCCCTGGGCTGAGAACAGCGGTATATAAGCAAAGTAAATAAATAAATAAATAAATAAATTCTGGGCACCACAATTCAAGAGAGATATTGACAAGCTGGAATGTGTCCAGAGGAGGGCGACTAAAATGAAAAAGGGTCTGGAGAACAAGCCCTATGAGGAGCGGCTTAAGGAGCTGGGCATGTTTAGCCTGAAGAAGAGAAGGCTGAGAGGAGATATGATAGCCATGTATAAATGTGAGAGGAAGCCACAGAGAGGAGGGAGCAAGCTTGTTTTCTGCTTCCTTGGAGACTAGGACACGGAACAATGGCTTCAAACTACAGGAGAGGAGATTCCACCTGAACTTCAGGAAGAACTTCCTGACTGTAAGAGCTGTTCAGCAGTGGAACTCTCTGCCCCAGAGTGTGGTGGAGGCTCCTTCTTTGGAGGCTTTTAAACAGAAGCTGGATGGCCATCTGTCGGGGGTGCTTTGAATGCAATTTTCCTGCTTCTTGGCAGGGGGTTGGACTGGATGGCCCATGAGGTCTCTTCCAAATCTATGATTCTATGACAGCCTCTAGGGATTGAGAGCCTTAAGGATATGTGCATAGCTTCTACAAACAGGTTATGTAGAAGAAATAGCTACATCCAAGTTTTCTGTAAACTTTGTTCAGTTAACTTTATTGAAATTGCATCTTCTGTGCAAAGGGACACTTTTTCGTCTTACAGCTGCATATGTTTGGCAGCATATTGGTCTGTGTTGAGTATTAGATATTGGGTTGAATGCCCTTTTAATGCATTGGTGGACTATACTATCATTTACAAAAATCAGATCAGGGGTCATATTGAAATACAGTAATTAAAAGTAATTAAAGGCAAGCAATGCAGCTCAGTTCTGCTGTATTGTAAAAACAAGTATTATTTCTTCAAATTTTTTGGCGCAAGTTGCTTGAAATTCCCTGAGTCTACACAGCCCCAGAATCCAATTTATGCTGGGAAAGACACATGATCAGCTGCAGAGTAGCATAAGGCAAGGGCAGATGTCTTCACTGTGTCTGGTTGTGATCCCCAGGTTGTGCCAGTCAGCTTTCGTATGATATTGTTTCTAGCGCCCACTTTTTGCTTGATATTCAGCCAGTGCTTCTTGTAGGTCAGAGCACGGTCCAGAGTGACTCCCAGGTATTTGAGTGCACTGCAATGCTCCAGTGGGATTCCTTCCCAGGTAATCCTCAGAGCTTGGGATGCTTGCCTGTTCTTAAGGTGAAAAGCACATGTCTGTGTTTTAGATGGATTAGGGATCAGCTGGTTTTTCCTGTAATAGGCAGTAAGAGCACCTAGAGCTTCTGTTCAACCATCTCAAAGCTCCCTGCTTGAGTGGTGATGGCACGATCATCTGCATAGATGTAACTCCCTGTCCCTTCTGGCAGTGGGTGGTCATTTGTGTAGATGTTGAACATGGATGGAGCAAGCACGCTCTCCTGAGGCAGGCCGTTCTTCTGTTTCCGCCATCTGCTTCTCTGGCCCTGGAACTCAACAAAAAAGCTCCTGTTTTGTAGCAGGTTTCCTATGAGGTGAGTGAGGTGGTAGTCCTTTGTGATGTTATACATTTTTCTCAGGAGGAGGCGGTGGTTTACAGTATCATAAGCCGCTGACAGGTCTATGAAGACAACCCCCAGTGGTGCAATGGGTTAAACCCTTGTGCTGGCAGGACTGAAGGCCGACAGGTTAGGTTTGAATCGGGGGAGAGCGCAGATGAGCTCCCTCTATCAGCTCCATTTCCCCATGCAGGGACATGAGAGAAGCCTCCTACAAGGATGGTAAAGCATCAAAACATCCGGGCATCAACTGGGCAATGTCCTTGTAGATGGACAATTCTCTCACACCAGAAGCAACTTGCAGTTTCTCAAGTGGGAAAAAAACCAAACAAACCATGTTTGCTGCCTTTGAGGCTTTTGGGGGTTTTATTTAATGGTCCAAAACCAAAACCTGGTTGTATTTCCAAGATGGGGCGTGTGGTCTCTGGTCCCAAGGTACAAGTGCTTGGGTTCAAAGGGAGAAAAAGCAAGAGATCACCAACTGTTTGATCAGAGAGGGATAGGAGCCGCGCTTCCTTGCCTATCAACGTTTAGTGATGCAACACTGCCACCTAGTGCTCCTCAGGGGAACTGTGTTCTTGGTGTTTATTCATTCAGTGGCTTTTGACTCTTGGTGACCTCCTGGACCAGCCCAGGCCAGAGCTCCCTGTCGGCCCCACACCCAGGGGCTCCTTCAAGGTCAAGCCAGTCACTTCAAGGATACCATCCATCCACCTTGCACTTGATCGGCTCCTCTTCCTTTTTCCTTCCATTTTCCCCAGCTTCATTGTCTTCTCCAAGGTCTCCTGTCTTCTCATGATGTTCACCAACAATCAAAGAGCATTCTGAACTCCACCAATGATGGAATTCAACCAAACATGGCATACAGGACTTCCATGACCAACAGAACACACTGGAAGGGTGGGCAGAGAGTTCCACTGCTGAACAGTCAGGAAGTTCTTCCTCATGTTCAGATGGAATCTCCTCTCTTGTAGTTTGAAGCCATTGTTCCGCGTCCTAGTCTCAAAGGAAGCAGAAAACAAGCTTGCTCCCTCCTCCCTGTGGCTTCCTCTCACATATTTATACATGGCTATCCTATCTCCTCTCAGCCTTCTCTTCTTCAGGCTAAACATGCCCAGCTCCCTAAGCCGCTCCTCATAGGGCTTGTTCTCCAGACTTTATTTCCCAGATCACCAGACTGGGCCACAGCAATGCGTGGCAGCGGCCAGCTAGTAGAAAATAAAACAGAAAGCAAAACAAGAACTCGTTGAATTAAAATAAAATAAAAAATTATTATTATTATTATTATTATTATTTTAAAAATCAGAAAACTAAATTAAAACTAAAATTGTAAAAATTAAAATGAAAGGAAAAAAGATAGAAAAATAGGAATAAATCAGACCTCAGGACCTTGGGAAACTACAGCTCCCAGGGTCCCATAGTATTACAGCAGCAGAACAGGTAGAACAGAACAGGCTTCATTTCGATAGGCGATTCCCAGCCCTTTGAACTCCGACTCCCAGAAGCCCCGGCCGGGCGGGCCAATAGCCGGGCATTCTGGGAAATGGAGTCCGTAAGGGGAAGCAGGCGCGGCTCGAAGGTATAAGAAAGGGTGGGCCCGCCATTGTGTTGTACGGTAGCCACGCCTCTGGAGTGCGCCATCTTATTGTACGTCTATGCATGCACACCTGCTACGGGAACCTATGAGGATCTGAAAGGTCTCCAAAGCGGAGCCGGCAAGGAAACGCCATGCCCGAATGGGAGGAGCCGCAATGGGCTGATGGGGCGGGGCATCTGCAAGCCTGGTCGCCCTCTGTGGCAGGAAAGGCGGAAGACCTTCCTTGTGGAACTTCAACTCCCCGGGTCCAGTGGCGGCTCCAAACTGCGTTAATTCTGCCGTGTAGACACGCGCGTGGACTCTGGTGGATCTCTCGCTCTACTCAGCCCGGTCTTCTATTTTAATTCATTTTTATCTTCTCTTCTTATGTTATTTTCTACTTTTAGTTCTCCTTTTTCTAATTTTCCACTAGCCGTCCCCTACCACGCGTTGCTGTGACCCACATGGGAGGTTTGGCCCAATTGGTGGGGTTCAGAATGCTCTGTGATTGTAGGTGAACTGTAAATCCCAGCAACTACAACTCCCAAATGTCAAGATTCTATTTTCCCCAAACTCCACCAGTGTTCACATTTGGGCATATTGAGTCTTCATGCCAAGTTTGGTCCAGATCCATCATTGTTTGAGTACACAGTGATCTCTGGATGTAGATGAACTACAACTCCCAAAACCAAAGGACACTGCCCACCAAACCCATCCAGTATTTCCTGTTGGTCATGGGAGTCCTGTGTGCCAAGTTTGGCTCAATTGCATCGTTAGTGGGGTTCTGAATGCTCTTTGATTGTAGGTGAACTATAAATCCCAACAACTACAACTCCCAAATGTCAAGATCTATTTCCTCCAAACACCATCTGTGTTCATATTTAGGCATATGGATTTTTTGTGTCAAGTTTGGTCCAGATCCATCATTGTTTGTGTCCGCAGTGATCTCTGGATGTAGGTGAACTACAACTCCAAAACCAAAGGACACTGCCCACCAAACCCTTCCAGTATTTCCTGTTGGTCATGGGAGAACTGTGTGCCAAATTTGGCTCAATTGCATCGTTAATGGGGTTCTGAATGCTCTTTGATTGTAGGTGAACTATAAATCCCAGCAACTACAACTCCCAAATGTCAAGATTCTATTTTCCGCAAACTCCACCAGTGTTCACATTTGGGCATATTGAGAATTCGTGTAGAGTTTGGTCCAGATCTATCATTGTTTGAGTACACAGTGGATGTAGGTGAACTACAACTCCCAAACTCAAGGTCAATGCCCACCAAACCATTCCAGTGTGTTCTGTTGATCATGGAAGTCCTGTATGCCATGTTTGGTTGAATTCCATCATTGGTGGAGTTCAGAATGCTCTTTGATTGTAGGTGAACTATAAATCCCAGCAACTACAACTCCCAAATGTCAAGGTCTATTTCCCTTAAACTCCATCTGTGTTCATATTTGGGCATATGGAATATTTGTGCCAAGTTTGGTCCAGATCCGTCATTGTTTGAGTCCACAGTGCTCTCTGGATGTGGGTGAACTATAATTCCCAAACTCAAGGTCACTGTCCACCAAACCCATTTTTTTCTGTTGGTCATGGGCGCCCTGTGTGCTAAGTTTGGCCCAATTCCATCATTGGTGGAGTTCAGAATGCTCTTTGATTGTAGGTAAACTATAAATCCCAGCAACAACAATTGTTAGGTGTCTTGTGTCCAAATTTGGTGTCAATTCATCCAGTGTTTTTGGAGTTCTGTTAATCCCACAAACACACATTACATTTTTATTTATATAGATTTTATTCTCTTCCATTTTTAATTCCGTGCCATTCCCTCTTTCCCTTTTCACCTCACCCTCCCTTTGCAGGGGCTGATGATGGAAGGAGCCAGCAAGTCCCCAGGCGGGGCCAAAGGGCCGGACATGGCGGAGCAGGAGGAGGACAAGGAGGAGAAAGAGGCGCACGACCCTGTCCGGGAGACGGTCCTCATCACCGGTGGAGCCGGGTACTTTGGCTTCCGGTCAGTGTGCCTAGCGCCAGGCAGTCTCTTCCTGAGGGAGCTCAGCCGACTTTCCTGGGCCCCATCCACACATTCTGAAACAGCATCATGTGCTCAGTTGAGACTAGCCATGGGCCAACTTGGGCCCTCCCTTCAAGTCTTTTGGACTTAGGTCCCTGTAGGCTGGACACAAGCTGTAATGTGTCCAGAGAAGGGTGACTAAAATGATCAAGGGTCTGGAGAACAAGCCCTATGAGGAGCGGCTTAAGGAGCTGGGCATGTTTAGCCTGAAGAAGAGAATGCTGAGAGGAGATATGATAGCCATGTATAAATATGTGAGGAAGCCACAGGGAGGAGGGAGCAAGCTTCTTTTCTGCTGCCCTGGAGACTAGGACGTGAAACAACGGCTTCAAACTACAAGAAAGGAGATTCCATCTGAACATGAGGAAGAACTTCCTGACTGTGAGAGCCGTTCAGCAGTGGAACTCTCTGCCCCGGAGTGTGGTGGAGGCTCCTTCTTTGGAAGCTTTTAAACAGAGGCTGGATGGCCATCTGTCAGGGGTGATTTGAATACAATATTCCTGCTTCTTGGCAGAATGGGGTTGGACTGGATGGCCCATGAGGTGTGCAGTGTGGAATAAATGGAAATAGACACACCTGTTACGTTTTATACCTTGCTGTCAGCCACTTTGACTCTCCAATGGGAGAGAAAAGCAGGATATAAATCAATAAAATGGGTTCTGCATTTGCAGGAGATTCTCCCTGCTTTGATGAAGGGAGAGCCTTGGTCCTGAAGGTGGTTTCCCTCCCTCTTTGTGTTGCAGGCTGGGCTGCTCCCTCTCCTTGAAGGGCGTGGACGTGGTCCTGTTCGACGCATCGGAGTCCCCCCCAGAGCTGCCTGAAGGTGTGCGTTTTGTGCGCGGCGATGTACGCTTCCCCTGCGAGGTGGAGCAAGCACTCCGAGGGGTCACCTGCATCTTCCATGTTGCTTCCTTCGGGATGTCCGGGCGGGAACAGCTCAGCTGGAAGCGCATTGAAGCCGTAAACGTGGGTGGGACACGCAACGTCCTCTGTGCAGCCCGAGAGGCAGGGGTCCCGCGGCTGGTGTATACCAGCACCTACAACGTGGTCTTTGGGGGTCAGGTGGTGCACGGTGGGGACGAGTCCTTGCCCTACCTCCCCCTACACCTGCACCCTGACCACTACTCCAGGACCAAAGCCCAGGCCGAGATGGAAGTTCTGGGTGCCAACGGGACACCTCTGCGGGGGGCTGGCCGGGGGGTCCTGCGTACATGTGCCTTGCGACCAGCCGGCATCTATGGCCCTGGAGAGCAGAGGCACCTGCCCAGAATTGTCCGTTATGTGGAGCGGGGATGGTTCCGGTTTGTGTATGGAGACCCCGAGAGCCAGGTGGACTTTGTGCACGTGGATAACCTGGTGCAGGCACACATCTTGGCAGCAGAGGCTCTGGGGCCCAGCAAGGCGCACCGAGCAGCTGGACAAGCTTACTTCATTTCCGATGGCCGGCCGGTCAACAACTTTGAGTTTTTCCGGCCACTAGTGGAAGGCCTGGGCTACCCGTTCCCCACGCTCCGCCTTCCCCTCTCCCTGGTCTACTTCTTTGCATTCCTGACAGAAATGCTTCACTTGGCAGTGCGGCACTTATACAACTTCCAGCCCCTGCTCACGCGCACCGAGGTCTACAAGACCGGTGTGACCCACTACTTCAGCCCAGACAAGGCCAAGAGGGAGCTGGGCTATGAGCCTCGGCAGTACAGCCTTGAGGATGCGGTTCAGTGGTTCTGGTCCCGTGGCCACGGGCGGAGGGTGGGCAGTAATGCAGCATCAAAGCACTGGCTCTGGTGCACGGCGGTGCTGCTCGCCTTGGCTGTGGCGGTCATCCTTTCGTGGCTCCCAAGGGCTTAAAGCCTCCAACAGAACGAGGAGATACTAGCGTTGATGCTGATTCTTTGATGTCAAGCTACCTTGAGTCCCCTTCAGGGGAGATAAAGCAGGGTGTAAATAAATATAATAATAATAATAATAATAATAATAATAATAATAATAATAATAATAATAACAGCATTGCCCAATCCTGTTGGGTCTTTGCAATGGTGCCAAAATACAAATACAGGCTGAGCGGCCCTCATCCTATTCTTATGACATTGAACGTTTGCCGATATCTGTTGTAAACTACCCTGAGTTCCCTCGGGGAGATATGATGGGATATAAATAAAAAAAAATTGTTCTTGTTACTGTTCTTATTATCACCCAGAATTCCAAAATCTGAAATACGGTTGATTCTCCACGTTTGCAGGTTGGTGGTGGATTGGATTAATTCATCAAAATATTTTCCCCAAAAATTGCTTGGTCCTCCTTTCAAGGCAACTCTGTGTTCAATTTCCACTGAACATTGTCCGTAATGTCATGGTGGAGGATCTAGAGATCTATAGGGATTTCTAGGTCAGACCTTTCCAAACATTTCACCTTGCTTCGACGTGTATGATGTGACACAGCAATTCAGTTTTACTAACGAACCAGAGGTTAAACTAACCCCCTGTGATACCCTCATATTCCATAGTTACTACTATGGAAATATGCATCAGTTGTAATCACAAAATGTATGAGGGTGCATGCGTGTGCATATATATACACACACACATACAAACATAAAGTGTGATTTATTGCTTATTTTGCATTAATCCAGAAGCTCCCCATTACATTTGTGCGACAGACATCCCTAAAATCTGCAGGAAAGCAACCAGGCCTATCTGTAATGATCCAAAAAGCTCTAAACTTACAACAGCAAAACAACAGAGGAAAAACAATCAGACCACTTTGATTAGCATTTGATGGCCTGGCAGTGCCTGGAACAATCTTTTGTTGAGAGGTGATTAAATGAGCCTGATTGTTTTTCCTCTGTTGTTTTGCTGTTGTAATTTTAGAGTAGCCAGATTTTGTTCATTTTCATGGTTTCCTCCTTTCTGTTGAAATTGTCCACATGCTTGTGGATTTCAAAGGCCATGAAAGCCTTTCTGCTTCCCTGGAGACTAGGACGCGGAACAATGGCTTCAAGCTACAAGAGAGGAGATTCCATCTGAACATGAGGAAGAACTTCCTGACTGTGAGAGCCGTTCAGCAGTGGAACTCTCTGCCTCGGAGTGTGGTGGAGGCTCCTTCTTTGGAAGCTTTTAAACAGAGGCTGGATGGCCATCTGTCAGGGGTGCTTTGAATGTGATTTTACTGCTTCTTGGCAGAATGGGGTTGGACTGGATGGCCCAGGAGATCGAGGAGCAGTTTAAGGAGCTGGGCATGTTTAGCCTGAAGAAGAGAAGGCTGAGAGGGGATATGATAGCCATGTATAAATATGTGAGAGGAAGCCACAGGGAGGAGGGAGCAAGCTTGTTTTCTGCTTCCCTGGAGACTAGGACGTGGAACAATGGCTTCAAACTACAAGAGAGGAGATTCCATCTGAACATGAGGAAGAACTTCCTGGCTGTGAGAGCCGTTCAGCAGTGGAACTCTCTGCCCCGGAGTGTGGTGGACGCTCCTTCTTTGGAAGCTTTTAAACAGAGGCTGGATGGCCTTCTGTCAGGGGTGATTTGAATGGAATATTCCTGCTTCTTGGCAGAGGGTTGGACTGGATGGCCCATGAGATCTATTCCAACTCTGATTCTATGATTCTATGAATACTTTCACGCATGCGCAGTGCCTGAAAATCCCTCGCGGCTCAGAGGGGACTGCCTGCGAAAAGCACGGTTGCCCAGCAGGGGTCGCTGCGGGGCTGCTGTTCCTCTCGAGGCGAAGGGGCGGGGCCTAGTGGAGAGGGGGCGGGGTGAGGCCTCGTGAAGGGGGCGGGGCCTCGAGCTCCACCTATCCCTCGCCTCCCTTTCTGGCCGCCTCCCGTCATGCCCTGCGGTGGCCGGAAGCTGCGGAAGGGTCAGCGCGAGGGGCCGCAGCGGGATCCCGGAAGCGGCGCGGGGCCGGGCGGATGGCGTCGGAGTCGGGGGCCCAGCCGCCGGGGGGAGGCCCGAGCCGGCACGAGAAGAGCCTGGGCCTCCTCACCACCAAGTTCGTGTCTCTGCTGCAGGAGGCCAAGGACGGCGTGCTCGACCTCAAGCTGGTGAGGGGAAGGACGGCGCTGATCAGGCAGATCAGGGCCCAGCAGCGGCTACTCTGGCCCGCTTTCTTTTCCCTGCTTGCGGGTTCCCCCTCTCTCTTGCCTCCCCTTCAGAGGAGGGGAAGGAAACCGTTCCTTGTCCACACAAAGGGCCTGATATAGAATCATAGAGTTGGAAGAGACCTCATGGGCCATCCAGTCCACTCCCTGCCAAGAAGCAGGAATGCTGCATTCAAATCACCCCTGACAGATGGCCATCCAGACTCTGTTTAAAAGCTTCCAAAGAAGGAGCCTCCACCACACTCCGGGGCAGAGAATTCCACTGCTGAACGGCTCTCACAGTCAGGAAGTTCTTCCTCATGTTCAGATGGAATCTCCTTTCTTGTAGTTTGAACCCATTGTTCCGCGTCCTAGTCTCCAAGGAAGCAGAAAACAAGCTTGCTCCCTCCTCCCTGTGGCTTCCTCTCACATATTTATACATGGCTATCATATCTCCTCTCAGCCTTCTCTTCTTCAGGCTAAACATGCCCAGCTCCTTAAGCCGCTCTTCATAGGGCTTGTTCTCCAGAACCTTGATCATTTTAGTCGCCCTCCTCTGGACACATTCCAGCTTGTGTCCAGCCTACAGGGACCTACGTCCAAAACACTTGAAGGGAGGGCCCAAGTTGGCCCGTGCCTGGTCTCAACTGTGCACATCACGCTGTGTGTGTGGATGGGGCCCAGGAAAGTCACCCGAGTTTCTTCCAGCAATCTTAACCCCAGCCTTGCATTCATCAACTCCCGCACATCGCATGATATGTTCTGCATACAAGTTTAAAAGGTTGGGTGAGAGTATGCAGCCTTGCCGTACGCCTTTCCCAATCTTGAACCAGTCTGTTGTTCCGTGGTCAGTTCTTACTGTTGCTACTTGGTCCTTGTACAGATTCCTCAGGAGAGAGAGAAGGTGGCTTGGTATGCCCATCCCACCAAGAACTTGCCACAATTTATTGGCTATCATATCTCCTCTCATATCTTCTCTTCTTCAGGCTAAACATGCCCAGCTCCTTAAGCCGCTCCTCATAGGCTTGTTCTCCAGACCCTTGATCATTTTAGTCGCCCTCCTCTGGACACATTCCAGCTTGTCAATATCTCTCTTGAATTGTGGTGCCCAGAATTGGACACAATATTCCAGGTGTCTAACCAAAGCAGAATAGAGGGGTAGCATTACTTCCCTAGATCTAGACACTAGGCTCTTATTGATGCAGGCCAAAATCCCATTGGCTTTTTTTGCCGCCACATCACATTGTTGGCTCATGTTTAACTTGTTGTCCACGAGGACTCAAAGATCTTTTTCACACGTACTACTCTCGCGCCAGGCGTCTCCCTCCCTCCCTCCCTCCCTTCCTTCCTTCCTTCCTTCCTCCTGTTGGAAATAGGATTTTCTACAAGCCTCTTATATTAGTTATTTGTTACATATATAATTTCATATTGCTTACTGTACTGTACTGATCATTTTAGTCGCCCTCCTCTGGACACATTCCAGCTTGTCAATATCTCTCTTGAACTGTGGTGCCCAGAATTGGACACAATATTCCAGGTGTGGTCTAACCAAAGTGGAATAGAGCATGGGGAGCATTACTTCCCTAGATCTAGACACTAGGCTCCTATTGATGCAGGCCAAAATCCCATTGGCTTTTTTTGCCGCCACATCACATTGTTGGCTCATGTTTAACTTGTTGTCCACGAGGACTCCAAGATCTTTTTCACACGTACTGCTCTCGAGCCAGGCATTGTCCCCCATTTTGTATCTTTGCATTTCGTTTTTCCTGCCAAAGTGGAGTATCTTGCATTGGAATGTTTGTGGTCCCTCTCTCCCTCCCTCAGCAGACTGCCCCAAACACTGGCTCTTCCCTGCCCCGCTTCCCCTTAGCCCTTGTCCTTTCCCTCCAGTTTTGGGAGCAGTGCTTGGTTTGCCTGCCCTCTTTCCATCCCTCAAAATCGAGTCCTTAAGGAGGAACTCAGTCCTAATGTTGGGGAATGTGCTTTCCATTTGCACCGGAAGCATCCCTGGCACTCAGGGGCCTTCCACGCAGAATATCAAGGCCGAAAATTCCACAATATCTGCTTAGAACTGGGATATTTCTCTCCTTATTTACTCTTTAAGTTCTCAACTTGTGGTCTTGTAACTCCCAGAACTCTCTGGACCATGCTCTTACCTACAAGAAGCACTGCCTGAACACCAAGCAAAAAGTGGGTGCTAGAAACAATATCATACGAAAGCTGACTGGCACAACCTGGGGATCACAACCAGACACAGTGAAGACATCTGCCCTTGCGCTATGCTACTGTGCTGCTGAGTACGCATGCCCAGTGTGGAACACATCTCACCACACTAAAACAGTGGATGTGCCTCTTAATGAGACATGCCGCATTATCACGGGGTGTCTGCGCCCTACCCCACTGGAGAAATTACACTGCTTAGCTGGTATTGCACCACCTAACATCTGCCGGGAAGTAGCAGCCAATAGTGAAAGGACCAAGGCAGAGACATCTCCAGCTCATCCCCTGTTTGCGCATCGGCCAGCACGTCAACGACTTAAATCTAGAAATAGTTTTCTAAGATCTACAGAGATACTCACTGGAACACCTCAGCAAGTGAGAGTCTATATCACAGAATATCAAGGCTGAAAATCCCACATTATCTGAGTGTGGACTCAGATAAACCAGTTCAAAATAGATATTGTGGGATTTTCTGCCTTGATATTCTGTGATATAGGGCTATGTGGAAGACCCTGGGATATCTGGCAGTGTGAACTCAGATAACCCAGGGCCCTTCCACACAGCCCTATAACCCAGAATATCAAGGCAGAAAATCCCACAATATCCGCTTTGAACTGGGATACAGTATTTGCGTCCACACTGCCATATATTCCAGTTCTAAGCATATAATCTGGGATTTTATTCAGCTGCGTGGAAGGGACCCTATCTGCAAGTGCCACAGATTTCCAAGTGAAATACAGAACTGCAGCTGTGATCATGAGCCCCTGCATGGAAAAGAGCAGGTGTTCTTAATGTTTAATTGTAGTTGGCCTTTACTTCACTCTGCTGCAACCCTTTTCTCAGTTGAGGGTGGTTTTGGTGCAATGCAGCAGCCATTTTCTACATGGTTGCTGTGAATTTTCTGGACTGTATGGCCATCTTCCAGAAGCATTCTCTCCTGATGTTTTTCCCACTAACACCCCCCAACAAAAGATTCCCCCAGGCAGAAATCAGCTAGGCCTTGAAGCTGCAAGGCTTTTCAATGCTAATCAAGATGATTAATTGCATCATTCACACTTTCTTCCAACAATCGAGAGTTATTTCTCCCATCTTGGACATCCCACAAATATATAAACCTCCCTTGCTTAGTTTCCAATATACCTCTCAACCTCGGAGGTTGCCTGCCATAGCTGTGGGTAAAACATCAAGAGAGAATGCTTCTGGAACATGGCCATACAGCCTGGAAAACTCACAGCAGCCTAGTGATTCAGGCCATGAAATCCTTTGAAAGCACATTTTCTACTTTCTATCCAGGGCCAAACATAAGAGAAATAGATCAGAAACATAGGCAGGAAGGTGCTACTGAGAATATGAATCATAGACTGGCTTTTAGCAAGGCACTACCAAAGTGAAACTGAGCCCTCACAGGCTGCTTATGTCAGCATTCCTCAACCTGCTGTCCTCTGCCTGCAGCACCAGCCAGACTTCGTTGTTTGCACAGCTCTGTGAAAGATTTTGTTCCAGGAGGAAACACTGGGTTGGAAATGGATGCAGGCATCACGGCTAAAGTGGATTAACAACAAAGTTTTAGGGATCTTTGCTTATGTAAACTTAATTTTGCTGTATTCTGTAGATAAGCATACAGAGAATTGCAACCTAAACATTCCATTGAAGAAACTGATAACTTCTTGATTCAGAATTAGGTTTTCTGGAAGGAATAACAGCTTTTGCCAACTGAAGGCTCAAACTCTAATTTTGTATGTCAGATGTGAGGAATGTTTAGCCAACTAGATTTATTAATTTGAAACATCCACAATTTGTTAGTATGGATCCATCAGTTGGGATATCTGGGATTGGGAATCCTAAACAAAGGAAGGCAATCAGTTAGCATATCCTGCTATACATACTTGCCTGGAAGTCAGCCTCATCAAATACTTTAGAACTATAGTTGAATAGGCATGCATGGGGTTGTGCTCAGAACTAAAATATTCTGAGCTATCGTTTCGTGTATCACAGGGCACTTCATCAGATGAGCAAAATCATCACCTAAATCAAGAGTGGACGATTGGTGGCTCTCCAAATGGTGATGGATGCAATTCTCATCAACCTACCCTTACTGCCTCTGATGAAGTATCATGGGAATTATAATCCAAGAACATCTGGGTCCCACCAGTTGACTAGCCCAGCTCTTTTGTGACAGCTTTTACTAATTGTCACAGTTCTTGAAGAATATAGTAGAATATGACCCCAGAAACATTGTTATAGCCCATATATGAGTAACAAGCACTTGTGCTGATTTGACATAGCAAAATCTGTAACTTAGTAAACGCTCAAAAAAGAATTCCATTTATAGTGATGTTAGAGGTTTTTTTTATCATTTCTTAAATAACAATTAGTGCAAGGATCAGGGCAGCAGGCAATAGGAGCTGGGTCACCTAGCAATCATTGAGTAGTTGCAGCCAGGGTGGGATAACTGCTGGGCTAATAAAGGAGTAAAAAGGGGGTTACTCTGTGTGGTGGAGTTGGAAGGAGTGTACTGTTGTTGGAAGGAGTTGAGAGGTGTTGGAAAGTTTGAGGTTTTGCAAAGCTGCAGGAAAATTGGAGTTCTGAGAGGCTTGTGGCTTGAGGAGAAGAATTGGACTCTGTATACAAAACGAATTAGTGAGTTTGCTCCTTGGTTGGAGGGAGAAAGCTTTCGAGTCTGTGTGTGTCTACACATTAATCTTCATTGGGACAAGTTGTTTAAGTATAACTTGTCAGTGTCAGTTTTTGTAATTTGAGATTGACCAAACTACCTCCAAGTCATACTCTTCCATCAGCTTTCTTGGAAAATGCCCTTGAAGATTCAGTGTCTGACTCAGTCACACAAGTGTTTCAGCGAGATAGCTTTGGATTAATGGTGGAGCATATACATTTGTTGCATAGGATCTTGAGTTTAATCTTGACATATCCAGATCAGATAACAAGATGGGAGTTATTACAGTCTAAGGTTCTGGAAAAATGCTGTCAATTGGAATAGATGATTTGAAGGCAGAGAAACAAATACTTAAGGAAGCTTTTTTGTTACATTGATAATGATGATCCTCACATTGTCCTGTAGCTGTGTGAGTACTGCTTGATGGTTTATGCATTGGATGACATGACTAGAACATTTTTCTTTTGATATTGGCTCACTTTCTACTCACTTTCAGTTTGTGATCTCAAGCTCTTGAACTTTGAGTGAATATTTTTCCATCTGATACTAAATGTTGATTTTTTTTTTCATGTCAGGAGTGACTTGAGAGACTGCAAGTCGCTTCTGGTGTGAGAGAATTGGCAGTCTGCAAGAACATTGCCCAGGGGATGCCCAGATGTTTACCATCCTTCTAAGAGGCTTCTCTCATGTTTCTATTATGGGGAGCTGGAGCTGAAAGAGGGAGTTCAACCCACTCTCCCCAGATTCGAACTGCTGATTGACCTGCCAGCACAAGGGTTTAACCCAGGGGTCCTCAAACTAAGACCCAGGGGCTGGATATGGCCCTCCAAGGTCATTTACCTGACCTTTGCTCAGGGTCAACCTAAGTCTGAAACAACTTGAAAGCTCACAACAACAACAATCCTATCTCATCAGCCAAAAGCAGACCTTTCCCACTGAAATACTAATAAGTTTATATTTGTTAAAATTGTTCTCATTTTAATTGTATTGTTTTTAAGTGTTTTTTGCGTAACAAATAAAATATGTACAGTGTGCACAGGAATTCATTCATGTTTTTTTCAAATTATAATCTGGCCCTCCCAACAGTTTGAGGGACTGTGAGCTGGCCCTCTGTTTAAAAAGTTTGTGGACCCCTGGTTTAACCCATTATGCCACCAGTGGCTCTGTTAAATGTTGATGTAGTTGATGTACATAATAAGAAGAAACCTTACATATTTGAGATCTTGATGTTATTTCTTTGCTAAAGGTGGGATAGGCTGAGAGAGAAAATACACCTGTGACTCAAACTTAGTGAAAATCACAGTTGTGATCAAAGTGGCTGGAGGTAGCTTTGTTATATTTACTGATGTTATATTTATTCCCTGGCCTAATGCTGCTTATGTAATGATGTGTGTGTACCCTTTACACAGGCTGCGGATACTCTGGCTGTGCGGCAGAAGCGGCGCATTTATGACATCACAAATGTACTTGAAGGCATTGGGCTGATTGAGAAGAAGTCCAAGAACAGTATTCAGTGGAAGTGAGTGGACGGTCCTTGTACGAAAGAGGCAGAAGTCTTGAAATGAGGTTCTGTTCTTAGTAATGCAATTTGTAGCAACTGCACAACAGCATCTTTTGCCAGATGCAGCCACCATCTCCATCTAACACAGGTGGACCTTGTCGTTGTTGATGTTGTAGTTCCTTCATATCTACCCACTTTGAGTTAGGATCTCCACTGGCCACGGGTTTTGTTGCAAAGTGGTGTGTCCTTTCGCCACTGGACCTGAAATGAAGTGCTTTTAAGAGAGGATGTATGGCTTGAATCCAGCGGGAAGCCAGGGGGCCCGAAAAAGAACCTTTAAGGAAATTTCCCTCATTAAACAGTCTTTAGAAGGCTTGAGCTTAAATATAACAGTCTTTTATTGATGAACAAACAGGAATTGTAAAGCTTTCTTGGCAAAAATACAGTTCTCTCAAACTTGTCCACAGGGAACAGGCACTATCTTCAATAACTTTGTTCAAAGGAAAATTCCCCTTTCTAGCTCCTTCCAGGCTAAACCTACACCTGACTAATTTGAATCCACTACCGGCTGAACTGCGTCTCAAAATCGAGCAGACATACCAGCAGGCCTGTAGTCACTTAGCTGGAGATCTTGATGATTGGAGCTGTTGTTCCCTCGGGAATTCCTCAGGGCTGTAAGGCTGTTTCCCCGGAACCTTTGGGAATCTTTAGAGGCTCTTAAGACTGTTCTCCCCCGGGAAGTCTTAAGGGACGAAGCCTTTGTACAGGAGAAGTCTGTATACATCCTCTGCATTGACTGCCTTTGCTGAGACTAACTGAAAAATGGCCCCTTCCCTCCAGAAAACCCAGAGAGGGGAGGGACCAGGGATCCTAACTGTAATTGACAGGTGGCTTGCCCTATGAATGCAGCCAAAGGAAGCCACCTATCTGCAAAGTCCCTGCAACTTAGGACTATGAACAAACACTCAGTGCAAAACACAAAATTGGAGCCCCTGGAACAGCCGTTCCAGAACATGGTGTTTGGAGAGAGGCACAGTATATCAGTGACTGTGGGCCCAGGTGCATACCTAGCACTGATTCCTCTTTGGAGTGTTCTGCTCTAGGCAGAGAGTTTACCTTTGTGATTGAATTGGGGTGAGGGTGGGGATGGATCAGGAAGGTGTGTGAAGAGGGCTATGTGTCTCTGACCCTTCATGCAGCCTTATATACTGTGCAGCTCAATTCATTTTTCTGTACGGTTCCTATGCCTCTTTCTCTCCCTCCTCTCAGAGGAGTAGGCCCTGGCTGCAACACTCGCGAAATTGCCCACAAGTTGATTGAACTGAAGGCAGAGATTGAGGATCTGGAGCAGCGGGAGCGGGAGCTGGAACAGCAGAAGATATGGGTACAGCAAAGCATCAAAAATGTTACAGATGATGTGCAGAACAGTCGATATCCTTTGAGTGTACTGTGTTGCTTTTGTTTGAAGATTAAAATGACACAAAGACTGTCAAACATCTTAATGGGGCTAGTAGTGATTGTTCGGTATCAGCAGACTGTAACATTAAGATATATGAAGCTGCCTGGACTGTGATATCCATAGGAGAGGCTCTTCTTCATGCCTTCTACCTTCACAGGTATGTTTGGTGAGGACGTGAGAGTGAGGGCCTTCTTGGTGGCTAGACCAGGCTTGCACAGCCTGCAGCCCTCTATGTGTTTGTGCCCCCAACTCCTATAGATCCTAGCCAGCTTGTCCAATGGTGAGAAATTCTGAGAAAAGTCCAAAACATCTGAAGGGCTGTAGGTTGTCCTTGCCTATCCTAGAACTCCTTGAGGGAGGCTAGACCGGCCCTTTCTAGATGTCCTGTCTGAAGGCAAAACAGTCTTCATTCAGACAGGATTTTAGAACTGATTTAAGTGCTCCATTTAACTTTTAATGTTTCTAAATATCCATTTTAGGAGCCCCTAGTAGCACAGTGGGTTAAACCACTGAGCTGCTGAACTTGCTGATCGAAAGGGCGCAGGTTCAAATCAGGGGAGCAGCATGAGCTCCCACTGTTGGCCCCAGCTTCTGCCAACCTAGCAGTTTGAAAATATGCAAATGTAAGTAAATCAATAGCTACCGCTTCGGCGGGAAGGTAACGGTGCTCCATGTAGTCATGCCGGCCACATGACCTTGGAGGTGTCTGTGGACAACACCGGCTCTTCGGCTTAAAAATGGAGATGAGCACCAACCCCCAGAGTTGGACATGACTGGACTTAATGTCAAGGGAAAAACCTTTACCAACATATCAATTTTAGTTCCTGTTTTTTAAATATTATTAATAGTTTAATTTAGTGTAGTGTTGCCTTTTTATCTTTTTAAACTGAATCTTTTTAATGTGTAAATCATCCCCAATTTTGTGGCATGCCGAGGAGGAAAATTATCATAATCTTTAGTTGCCCTGCCGAGTCATTTGGGGTCTCTTGGTAATAGAGCTACCTTCTATTTGTCGCTGCCTAGATAATGCAGACCTTCAGAACTAGATACCCTCCCAATGTCACAGATCCCCAGTCAGCATATAGTCCACAAGGGATAAGTTTTCAGGAGATGTGACAACAGCAGCAATCCCACGCAGTCTTGTATCTGATTGGGTTTGTGCCCATTCTGACATTCTTGAGGGTAGATATTTTTTCTGATTGTGCATCACAAATACCCTTTTCTGCCTTCATTTTCTGTTAAATGTATGTTTCCTTTACTGTCAGCTTCAAAACAAATGTGTTCTGCAAGCGCCTCCTAGTTGCTGACCTGTTTAAATATAGATTCTGTGTGGATAGTGAGTATATACCGTAATATATGCATTGTATAGAGAAGACAGATCAAGTATTCCTTATAATTGTCCTAGCTTCTTAAAAGTGGTCCTTCTCAGCATTTGAAAGAAATTATTTTTTGCTTTTGGAACTATAGTTGAGTTTTCCCTTAACTCCAGGAACGTTAGCTTATATAACTGATGAGGATCTCTGCAAATGCTTCCCAGGTGAGAATAGAGTGGCTTGTTTTAGTTCAATCTTATTTATTTCGAGCATTTCTACCCCGCCCTTCTCAATCCCCTAGGGGTGACTCAGGGGACTCTTGGTTGTTGACATTCCTCCCAATCTGCCTGGCAGCTTCTTCTGGAGATGATTCCGTTTCTCCAGAGTAACCCTGTTTTCCTCTTCTGAGAGGGCTGCATGCAAAGGAGGATGTTCAAGTCTGTATGTATCTTTAGATCAGTGGTTCTCAACCTGGGGTCCCCAGATGTTTTTTGCCTACAACTCCCAGAAATCCCAGTCAATTTACCAGCTGTTAGGATTTCTGGGAGTTGAAGGACAAAAACATCTGGGGACCCCAGGTTGAGAACCCCAGCTTTAAATAGAAGATATATAATATCACGGTACCTCTTTTACCTGGTGTGTGTTGTCTCATCACCCTTTCTAGGTGTGCATTGTGTCCTAGGACAGCTTTTGTCACCCTAGTGCAGTGGTTCTCAACTTGTGGGCCTACAACTCCCAGAAATTCCAGCCAGTTTACCAGCTGTTAGGATTTTTGGGAGTTGAAGACCAAAAACATCTGGGGACCCACAGGTTGAGAACCACTGCCCTAGTGCCTTTTGGGTATTTTGAACTGCAATTCCTGTTGACCTTGATTACTAGCTGTTCTGACTGTGGCTGTTAGAAGCTGCAGTCCAACAAAATGTGGAAGGCACTAGGTTGGGGAAAGCTGCCTTAGAACCTGTAGTGGCTTTGCAGCCTTTGACGATCACAACATTTCTTAAAGTTGCTCTGGCCACCTTCTTGGGCCTCTGAGGCCTTGTCTGCATTGGCTCTATACCCTGATGTTGACAAGAAGCCGCTCCGGGGTTAGTGGAACATCTGGAATGGCAGATAAATGGCCAGGTAAGGGTGAACATCCAGTGGGGCAGGACCAGGTTCTGCCCTACTGGACAGTCTGGGCTTGGTTTCTGTGGCTTGAGTGTGTCCAATCAGCAGCATGTAATCCGGGGCTCGCCCATATCAAGAATGGGGCAATCTTGCCTTGATTAGAGATATGTGTGAATGAGCCCTGAGTTGTTGCTGCCTTCCAGGTATAAAACCACTGGTTTCCTCAAATAATGTACTATCTTGGCTTGTAACTTACTGTGGCACAATGAGTTAAACCCTTATACCGGCAGGATTGCTGTCCTAAAGGTCAGCGGTTCGAATCTGAGGAGCGGGGTGAACTCCTTTCTGTCAGCTCTAGCTTTTCATGCATGGACATGAGAGAAACCTCCCACAGGATGGAGTCTCCTGGGCAATGTTCTTGCAGACGGCCAATTCTCTCACACCAGTAGTGACTTGCAGTTTCTCAAGTCACTCCTGACATGGAAAAAAAAACTTACAGTGGCAAAAAGGTGTTTTAATAGGGTAGGTTTTAAAAATCTTTTTACTGTATTATAATTTATTTTTAAACTTTTTATTTAGGATTTTAATGTAATAGCTTAATTTAAAAACATTTTATCAACTGAGGAGCCCCCGGTGGCACAGTAGGTTAAACCCCTGTGCCGGCAGGACTGAAGACCGACAGGTCACAGGTTAGAATCCGGGGAGAGGCGGATGAGCTCCCTCTATCAGCTCCAGCTCCTCATGCAGGGACATGAGAGAAGCCTCCCACAAGGATGATAAAACATCAAAAAATCATCCAGGCGTCCCCTGGGCAACGTCCTTGCAGACGGCCAATTCTCTCACACCAGAAGCGACTTGCAGTTTCTCAAGTCGCTCCTGACACGACAAAAAAACCCTGGGTTTTAGCTGTATTGTTCTAATTTCTGTTAATCCGCATTGAGTCTCAAACCAAGAGAAAGAGAACCAGTGCTAAACTGTGGTTTGAGTGTTGGACCAGAACTCTGCGGACCTGGGTTCATATCCCTGCCCTGCCATGGAAACTCACTGGGTGGCCCTTTGCAAATCACACTCAGCTTCAGAAGAAGGCAGTGGCATATTTACTCTGAGCAATCTTGCATGTGGTTGTGTCACTATAAGTCAGAAATTATTTGAAATTCCACAACAGCAACAAACCAGGGGCCCTTCCACACAGGCGTATAACCTAGAATATCAAGGCAGGAAATCCCGTGATATCTTATTTGCACTGAGTTATCTGAGTCCACACTGCCATATATTCCAATTCAAAGCAGATATTGTGGGATTATCTGCCTTGATATTCTGGGTTAGATGGCTGTACAAAAGGGCCCCAGGAGGAAAGTGGGACAGATAGACAGACAGATAGATTATGCTGAACAAAATAACCTACCCTCCTAGGGGAGAAACAGCCTTTAAATACAGAACTGAATGCTTTCTATGTCTGGGAAATTAACAGAGATGTGTTAGGTAGGTTGTCCTAAAAATGAATTTCATTGAAGGCATGCTGATTGGGTACAAAAGAGAATGGAAGCTCAGGCACAGTTTTTCTGAACCTAGAACAGTAAATGCTCTGTTTGGTGTCTTGTTTCAGGTGACACGCTGCTAGCCATTCGGGCCCCATCAGGCACTCAATTAGAAGTTCCCGTCCCTGAGGTAGGTAGCATTTGTGGATGTTGTATGTCAGCCTGTTTAGCCTATGGTTGTGTCTGGTGATGTTCATGTTCAAGTTGATTTTCATGTAGATGTTCCTGAAGGGAATGGGAATTTTGATTCAGTGTCTGGGGATGAGAGGCTAGAGAGGCCAGAGTTGCTGCAAGGGCCTGAAGGAAGTTTAAAAGACAGGTCACAGTGGCTGTAAGAGGATTCTCAAGGTCTTGAGCCTGGGAAAGGCTTTGCGCTGCAGTTCTCCGATCTTGAGATTCCAGGTGCAGAAGTTAATGAGGGGAGTCGGAGTAGGAAAAGATGTTTCAGTAAACAAAGAGATGCTGAACAACAATTAAGGCGCTCTGCTAGAATTCAACAGAAGTTGGAAATGAAACCAAAATTAAGAAAAAATACTTTTCTATCTGTTTGGGAATTAGGTCAGGGGTTTTTAAGTGACTAGGGAGAAGAATTGCTTTAGTTGAAGCAACATTGAATTCACGTTAAGTTCCCAGCATTAAGTCTATGGATTAGGTTCTGTTCATGGAAGCCAATGTCTAAGCCAGTGTTTCTCAACCTGGGGGTCAGGACCCCTGGAGGGGTCGCAAGGGGGTGCCAGAGGAGTCACCAAAGACCACCAGAAAACACAGTATTTTCTGTTGGTCATGGAAGTTCTGTGTGGGAAGTTTGGCCCAATTCAATCATTGGTAGGTCTCAGAATGCTCATTGATTGTAGGTGAACTATAAATCCCAGCAACTACAACTCCTAAATGTTAAGGTCTATTTTCCCCAAACTCCACCAGTGTCCACATTTGGGCATATTGAGAATTCGTGCCAAGTTTGGTCCAGATCCATCATTGTTTGAGTCCACAGTGCTCTCTGGATGTAGGTGAACTACAACTCCAAACTCAAGGTCAATGCCCACCAAACCCTTCCAGTATTTTCTGTTGGCCATGGGAGTTCTGTGTGCCAAGTTTTATTCAATTCCATTGTTGGTGAAGTTCAGAATGCTCTTTGATTGTAGGTGAACTATAAATCCCAGCAATTACAACCCCCGCAGGACAAAATCAATACCCTCCCCCAATCCCGCCAGTATTCAGATTTGAGTGTATTGGGTATTTGTGCCAAATTTGGTCCAGTGCTTGAAAATCCATCCTGCATATCAGATACTTACATTACTATTCATAACAGCAGCAAAATGACATTTATGAAGTAGCAATGAAACTAATGTTATGGTTGGGGGTCACCATAACATGAGGGAGCGTATTAAGGGGTTGTGGCATTAGGAAGGTTGAGAACCACTGGTCTAAGCTGTTGTTTTGTTCATGTTTTCAAGTGCCTAGTTTCATTGATTTCTTTGGACTTTATTTCTTTGGACTCTTTGTTCCCACATTGGAGTTTCCACAGATATATAAACCCAATTTTCCTCGTTTCCAACAGAGCTCACAATCTCTGAGGATGCCTGCCAGGTCAGGAGAATCCCGAAAAATCTACAACAACCCACTGTTGGCTAGTTGTAGGTCTTACCAAGTTGCTGGGTTGGAGAAGGGAGGAGAGTGTTAGAGAATCACTGTTTGAAAATAAAATACTAAATGTATGCAACAGACTTAAAAGAAAATTGGATTAAGTAGTATACAGATGGTAAAAAATATGACAAAAACCTGGAAATTGTTACAAGAATATAAATACAAAATGTTGGAAATGTGGAAAGATTGAGGGATCATATTTCCACATGTGGTCGTGCACAAAATCTAAAATATATTGGAGAAAAATCCATGAAACACTACAGGAAATACTAAATATAAGAATACAATTCAAACCAGAGATATTCTTATTAGGGATAACAAACCAAAAGTTAGATAAAAATATGAATAAGCTCCTTTCCTATTGAATACCGCTGCAAGAATTTGCTATGCAAAATTATGGAAGAAAGAAGAGATTCCAGAAGTCAGGGATTGGATAGAAAAAATCGTAGATATTAGAAACATGGACAGATTAACATATTTGATATCAAAAAATAAGGGGACCCCAATAAGAGAAACTGATTGGACAAAAGTGACAAACTATTTGAAACAGAAGAATGGAAATACAATAATATAAATGGAAGAGAAAACAAGAGGGAGGAAAAATCAAGACGGAAGAAAGAAGAGGAAAAAACACTCGGAAGATACATAGGAAGTCAATGAAGGAGGTGTATATCATCTTTCTCCTGGTTTTTAACTCTTCATCTATTGCTATCGTCTTCTTTCTCTATTTATTTTCCTTTCTTTTTCTCTTATGTTTTCCTTTTTTTCTCTTTTTTCTTTTTCTTTTCTTTTTTTCCTTATGTTATTTCTATTTTATTACCTTGTATTTTAAAAGAAAAACTTCTCAATAAAGATTATATTTTTAAAAAAGAGAAAATACTAAACACAGGGAAAGCATATTTACTAACATGAACGCATTGCTTAAGTCCTGCAGGCAGGCTTCCCATAGTCATCTGATTGCCCACTTACGTAGCCAGAATAGTGGGCTTCACAAGCCTTTGGTCTGATCAAACATGGTTCTTACGTTCTTTGTGGCAATCTTGCTCTTGTTTGGTTATTTGTAGGGCTTGAATGGCCAGAAGAAATACCAAATCCACCTGAAAAGTACAAGCGGTCCGATTGATGTCCTGCTTGTCAACAAAGATGCCTGGAGTTCTCCTCCAGTAGTGCTTCCTGTCCCTCCCCCCGAAGACCTCATCCAGTGCCAGCTGGTCACCCCTTCCAAGCCTCAGAGGCCACCCCTCGTCCACTCTGTTCCCAGTCGTACCCAGCCTTCTGCGCCCGTCCCCAGCAGCACACAAGACCATGTCTGTGCGGCCCTGAAAACAGCTGGTGCCACAGGTGAGCTCAAGAGGAAGTCCTCCTTCTCGGTAACCTGTTTCGGTTGAATAAGGGAGGAGCTGGTCAACCTTTCTATTCTTCATGAAGTTTGGATAGCGATCACACTTTTTATTAGTTCTGACATTTGGGGACCTCTTTCTTGGAGGGCCTTGAAGGTCCCAACATTGCCATCTTTCAGAAAAAAATGAAAATCTTCAAATTCAATTATTTTTCTTTCTGATTCTCCAGCCTATAGCTTTTATCACTCCCACATAGAATGGGAATCCCCACATTGAATGGGAATTATGGACCTTCTAAATAAATCCACAAATTTACTGGGGTAATATTACATGTTTTGTGTGAATGAACATTTTTTTCTTTTTTCCCCATCTGAACAATTTATTTGTATGCAATTTTAAATGAACATTTTTCTTTTTGAGGATTAGCTAAAGTTACTTTTTGGAACGACAATCCCAAAGGTTCCTAATTATAAGCTGAAAGGCATGAGGGCATGTAATTGGATTCCCTTTCATGCCAAACGTTGCTTCCTCCTGGAAGAGAATCACATTGGTTCCAATTTAGGATTATTTTTATTATTTATTTATTTACCGCATTTATATCCCGCCCTTCTCACTCTGAAGGGGACTCGGGGAGTATCACAGAACAAATACACAGCAAACAGAAAGGACAGACAACGGATAGAGGTATATGTCGGCATTTTTTCCCAACTTCGGCATCCTGGAGGTTGTGCTTGATTCTTATCAATGTATTTGGATTGTTGTTTACATGATTTTAATATGTTGTGAGCGGTTTTGGGTCCTGTGAGGGAGAAAAGCGGGATACAAATAAAGATTTATTATTATTTTTATTTACATTGAAAAATGGTTGCCGTCTGTGCCTGTTTGTTCCACAGAAAGCGCCATCTCGATAGCAGAATCCAAAAACATTGGGGAGCTGGACCCTCTCACTCCCCCGGCAGCTCCCGTCATCTCCCCTGCTGGGCTGGATACACAGCCCCTCCAGTCGTCCGCCTCGCTAGACAGTGGCTCTGTCCTGCCCAGCCCCTCTACCTCTTTTCAGCTGATCAAACCAGACCCCACAGAAAGTGAGTATTCCTATGTTGCTAGCTTTGAAGTTGTTTACTTTCACCCAAAGCTTTGGGAAAGTTCCTTTTTTGGACTACATCTCGTATAACTCTTGGCAAACCAGTTGGGGGGCTGTGGAAGTTGTATTCCAAAGACTTTCCTAAGTATGAGATTTAGTGTTCTCAAACAGATAAAGCATGATGCCATTCTCTCCTTCCAGAAGTCTGAGTTACTTTGCTGTGATCTAGTTGCAATATGTGATGGAGAGAAATTTACTGAAGTCTGATGTGTATACACACACATATACATATATATCACATCAGACTTCAGTACATTTCTCTCTCTGTCCCTCTATAAAAGGTAAAGGTTTCCCCTGGGCATTAAGTTTAGTTGAGTCTGATTCTCGGGGGGGGGGGGGGGGGGCTCATATCCATTTCTAAGCCAAAGAGCTGGCGTTGTCCGTAGACTCCTCCAAAGTCATGTGGCTGGCATAACTGCATGGAGCGCCGTTACCTTCTTGCTGGTGCTGTACTTATTGATCTACTCACATTTGCATGTTTTGGAACTTCTCGGTTGGCAGAAGCTGGGCCTAATGACAGGAGCTCACCCCATCCCACAGATTTGAACTGCCAATCGTCTAGTCAGCAAGTTCTGCAGCTTAGCAGTTTAATCCGCCGTGCCACTGCCCTTCTCTCCCCCCCCCTCCTCTTTATATATACTAGTTGTCCCCTGCCACGCATTGCTATGGCCCAATCTGTTGATCTGGAAAATAAAGTAATGAGAAACTGTTGGTTTCTAATATATGTAATTTCTTTATGCTTGTGGATAAACATTATTTCTTGTTGTTTCTTTGTCAGTGTTGATGTAGAGATAGTCTAGTTTGCCTACTCTGGAACATGCAACATATAATTGTCCTCCTTTAGGGATCCATTTCAAATCTATGATCCTATATCTGTCATATACATGTGTGTGTGTGTGTGTGTGTGTGAATCATCTATATCTATGGCTCGATGGCTCTTTGTCAGGAGAGCTTTGATTATGTTTTCTTACCCTGGTGAAGGGAGTTGGACTGGATGGCTTTAAGGCAGTATTTCTCAACCTGGGGGTCGGGACCCCTGGGAGGGTTGCGAGAGGATGTCAGAAGGGTCGCCAAAGACCACAAGAAAACACAGTATTTTCCGTTGGTCATGTGGGTTCTGTGTGGGAAATTTGGCCCAATTCTATCATTTGTGAGATTCAGAATGCTCTTTGATTGTAGAACTATACATCCTAGTAACTACAACTCCCAAATGTCAAGGTCTATTTCCCCCAAACTCCATCTGTGTTCATATTTGGGCATATGAAGTATTCATGCCAAGATTGGTCTAGATCCTTCATTGTTGGAGTCCACAGTGCTCTCTGGATGTAGATGAACTACAACTCCAAAACTCAAGGTCAATGCCCACCAAACCCTTCTAGTGTTTTCTTTTGGTCATGGGAGTCCTGTGTGCCAATTTGGTACAATTCTATCATTGGTGGAGTTCAGAATGCTTTATGATTGTAGGTTAACTATAAATCCAAGAAACTACAAGTCCCAAATGAAACCATTTTTTTTTAGTGATGGTCACTCCTTTGGTTAGTAGGTGTCTTGTGGCCAGATTTGGTGGCAATTAGTCCAGCGCTTTTTTGAGTTATGATGTCATTCAAAACGAACAGAGCCATTTTTTCTATATAAATTAAAAAATAATGTTCGTTTGTGGGATTAACAGAACTCAAAAACCACTGGGCGAATTGACACCAAATTTGGACACAAGACACCAACCAAAGCAATCTATGTCCTTCATGCAAAAAAACCAAAAAAAAATTACCGGAAAGAATTTAAACCCCCCACAAAGCTAAATGACTATACAGAGCATGCGTTAAAAAACACCCTCCTCTGCCCCTCGCTCATGCACGAGGGGAAAAAAACCAACAGCTGAGAGAGAGAGAGAGAGAGAGAGAGAGGCGGCTTGAGAGGGAGGGAAAGGTAGCTGGTATATCCCTCTGGCTACCTCCTGCCTCTCCCTTCCCAAAGGATTGAGGGGAGGGAGAGAGAGAGAGGACACCCTCCTTCAGATCCCCTTCCTTTCCTTCTTGCCTGTCGGCAGCATGGAGCTATATGCACACACATACACATCTCTATATACTTCAACTCCCAGAAAGCTCACCCATACTGAGTTATGGGAAGGAATTCTGGGAAATGAAGTATTCAAAGAAAGGACAAAAACAGGAAATGCACGCTCTGTGAATTAGGAAAGGCTGGAAGGCACAATCAAAACACTCCCAAAAGATGGCCTTTCATTTCTACTCTATAGCAACCCTGGGCTATAATATATCCACAATAATAATATCTATGCATCTATCATAATAATATATATAAGTCTATAACAATAATAATAGGACTATGATATCTATATGTCTATAACAACAATATCTACATGTCTATAATAATATCTGTATGTCTGTAATAATAATGTCTATATGTATATAATAATATCAGTAAGTCTATAATATCCATATGCCTACAATATCTGTCTATAATAATAATAATAATAATAATAATAATAATAATAATAATAATAATAATATCTATACACGTATAATATGTATACATCTGTAATTTTTTTTTTTGTCGTGTCAGGAGTGACTTGGGAAACTGCAAGTCGCTTCTGGTGTGAGAGAATTGACTGTCTGCAAGGACGTTGCCCAGGGGATGTCTGGATGATTTGATTTTTTTATATCATCCTTGTGGCAGGCTTCCCTCATGTCCCCTCATGAGGAGCTGGAGCTGATAGAGGGAGCTCATCCGCCTCTCCCCGCATTCGAACTTGTGAACTGTCGGTCTTTAGTCCTGCTGGCACAGGAGTTTAACCCACTGCGGGGCTCCTACATCTGTAATAATACATCTGTAATAATAACAGCTATAGAATATCTATAATAATAATAATAATATCTATAGGTCTGTAATAATAACCATACATCTGTTGCTTGCTTTTGCTTGAAAGATATTTAGCCCTGTGCTCCTTCTATTTTTTTATCAGTTTTATACTAATTTATGCAATAATTTTGATACAAAATAAATAAATAACATCTATAATAATAATACCTACATGCCTTTAATAATAATAATAATAATATTTGTGTCTATAATAATATCTATATGCCTATAATAATATCTATACGTCTATAATAATAACAACAATAATAATATACCTATATAATATCTTTGAACTGGGTTATATGGCAGTGTGGTTTCAGTTAACCCAGGGCCCTTCCACACATCCATGTAACCCTTTGGCCTCGAGGAGACTGAAATGGGTCTATATTAGGTTGACACTTTGCCACTTCAGTTGTGTATTGAAAACTTAGAAACCAGCTCTTCCTCTTTTCTTTCTTTCCCATTTCTCCACAATGGGTCACAGCAATGTGTGGCTGGGTACAGCTAGTATATATATAGAGAGAGAGGGAGAGGGAGGGAGGGGGAAGGATGGTCTTTAATTCAGCAGCAGGACACATGTTTTGTGTATCAACTGTTCGGTTTTTTTAAAAGGATGGCAAATGATGGTGATAACATGGAGAGCCAATGGCAAAGCACAGGACTAGGCTAAATGGACAAGATTCCAACCTGAGCTGCTTCAGAAGAAATGAAAAAGCTCATTGTACCATGCTAAATGGGATCCGCCTTGAGTCCACAAGACACTTACCTCATTGCATTTTTTCCCTTTTTCTTTAGGCTGTACCTCCCATAATCCCCAGGTTAGCGATGCTGGCCGGGAGACTCTGGGAATTGCAGCTCAGCACATCTTTAAAGGCACCAGGTTGAAGAAAGCTGACATAGTCTTAGAAATTTTTATAGTTGAATTAGCTCAAAAAACGTGGTTTCGTGACAGCTATTATTTTTGATGGGGCATGGGAAACTGCAAACAATGGCAGTTTATCCAAGCAGATGAAAATAAAGCATATAGACAGAAGCATTTCAGGAGGTCTTGGGGCGGCATGGAAATCAGAATTGTTTCTTTATTTTTTTCAGTACTAGAACTTCCTAAAGAGCTTTCAGAGATGTTTGAACCAGACAGAGGTACGTAATTAGAGGTTGTCCGCAGATTTGCTTTGTTCCCCCCCCCCCCATCCTTTTTTTTTCATGTCAGGATCGACTTGAGAAACTGCAATGGAGGGCGGGCCAAATGTACGAGGTAAAATGTTAAAAAGTTAAAACCCTGGGTGAGATAGGGATAAAAGTGCATTTGTAGGAAAGGAGCCCAACAAGGAGGAACCATGGGATTTAGCTATTTGGGGGGGGAGTGCTTTATTCTGAGGGCAGCTGTAGACTAAGACAACCAGATGGGTTGAATGGTCATTCTCCAAAAGCACAACGGAAGAGCCAGGTTTTTAGGCCTTTCTTAAAACCAGCTAGGGTGGGCGCTTGCCTGATCTCCTTAGGCAGCAAATTCCAAGGAGCCTCCGGTGGCACAGTGGGTTAAACCCCTGTGCCAGCAGGACTGAAGACCGACAGGTCGCAGGTTCGAATCTGGGGAGAGGCGGATGAGCTCCCTCTATCAGCTCCAGCTCCTCATGCGGGGACATGAGAGAAGCCTCCCACAAGGATGATAAAAACATCAAATCATCCGAGCGTCCCCTGGGCAACATCCTTGCAGATGGCCAATTCTCTCATACCAGGAGCAACTTGCAGTCCTGACACGACAAAAAAAAAAGCGAATTCCAAAAGCGGGGGCCACAGCGGAAAAGGCTCTCACCCTTGTTGAGCCAAGGAAGACGGGGATGGAGGGATTCTTGTGGAAGGGACTCAAAATCTGGATGTTTCTGAACACGCTTACACATGCAATGCGGCTCTTGTCTTTTTCACAGAATGCATGAATTCGGAGCTGTTAGAAGAGCTAATGTCATCTGAAGGTAAGGCTAACGCACACTGAGTACAGAAAGTGGCATAAAGTGCATGTTGTAATACAGGAATGGGCAAACTTTGGCCCTCTAGGTGTTTTGGACTTCAACTCCCACAATTTCTAGCTGCTAGGAGTTGTGGGAGTTGAAGCCCAAAACACTTGGAGGGCCAAAGTTTGCCCATGTTTGCTCTAGTATCTCTGCCACCTATTTCAGCTTACAGTAGAGTCTTACTTATCCGACATAAATGGGCCGGCAGAACATCGGACAAAGGAAAATGTTGGATCATATGGAGTCTCCTACAGCCCCCACCCCTCACAGTTCCCTTGTCTTTGGTGCTGCCTTTCAAGTGTGTGGTACTAAACACCTAGAGCAGTGGTTCTCAACCTGGAGTCCCCAGATGTTTTTGGCCTACAACTCCCAGAAATCCCAGCCAGTTTACCAGCTGATAGGATTTATGGGAGTTGAAGGCCAAAAACATCTGGGGACCCCAGGTTGAGAACCACTGACCTAGAGGCAGCCGGGCCCAGAAAAGGAGAGCAGCAAGGTCCTGGCGTTTCATGAGGAAAGGAGTCGACCAGGCTCAGGTGCTTTGTGAGTCCTCTGGGAAGGGGTCAGTTAGCCCGGGTGCTTTGCAAAGCCTCTGGAAAGGGGCAGTCAGGGCTGGGTGCTTTGCAAGGCTCCAGAAGGAGGCAGCCAGGCCCCAGAGAGAAAAAGGAAGCAGCAGGACCCAGAAGTGGGTCACAAGGCCCGAGAAAAAAGTAAAGTCCCGGAAAAGATAGAGTTGCAAGGCCCAGAGGAGGGGGCAGGTGGCAGGAGCCTGAAAAAGTAGTACTTACTTAGGTGATCCCTTGTAGCCTGAGGGTGATGGTCCTCCAAGCCTGGTGTCTTGGCGGTGGGTTCATAGGTGGCGGTGGAGCCCTGTTCTCGATCTGCATATTCTCCTGCAGTGAGGACACTGGTTTCCAGGTAGAAGGCGGTCCCGGTCAGAGTTGGCTTGATGTGCCTCCCTCTTGGCACATTTATCCCTTTTGCCCTCCATTCATGCATCTTTGAATTCTGCAGCACTGCTGGTCACAGCTGACCTCCAGTTAGAGTGCTCAAAAGCCAGGGCTTCCCAGGTCTTGGTGTCTATGCCACAGTTTTAAGGCTGGCTTTAAGCCCATATTTAAGTCCCTTTTGCAAAGGTTGGATAAGTGAGACTCTACTGTATTTTGTCTTTTTAAGGGAGCACATGAAATCCATGCTTTTCTTGCATATTTTGATAGTGTCTTTTAAAAGTTTTGTTTCAGGGGCGCACTAATGTCAGTGTTTCTTGTTCGACAGTGTTTGCCCCCTTGCTTCGCCTCTCCCCCCCTCCCAGTGACCACGACTATATCTACAACCTGGATGAGAGCGAAGGCGTGTGCGACCTCTTTGATGTGCCTATCCTCAACCTCTGACTCCTGGGCCGAATACTTTGGAAGTACTGTGGGTTTTTTTTTCCTTTTAGAAAGCCACCCTGTCTTTTGAAAAGACAAACAAGCCTGTTTTTTATTATTATTATTTTCTTTTTATGCTTCCGTGACACATCGACCTGCTGGGTCTCAAGACTTCAAAATGAAGAGGGATGGACTTCCGAACTGGCATCCTCCAGCTCTCTCCCTCCCGTGTTGGATAGGCCAAGTCCTTTGGTTTGACCTCATTCTCTCCTACCTGTCCTGTCACTGGATCCTGGGGCTATTGCTGTTGAAACTTCCTGAATGGCGAACGTTCTTCCTCAAGTCCATGGACCTGTTTGAGCTTCCTTGTGCTGCTTTGGTACAGGGGAAAGCAAAACCACTGCATCAACTCAGTGGATTGGTTTTACACACGGAAAGGTGCTTAGGAAAATTGGCATTTCACGTCTCAGCCTCCTTTGTGTATCTTAAAGCATCATGATCCTGCAAGCTCTCCTCTAGCAATGTTCAAAAACAAAGCAATGAAGCATGTGCCAGTTTTGCACCGTCACTTTCCTCCCAGTAGTCAGGATTGCTTGAAATGTCACTGTTATCAGCCAGGGAAGATCTTCTGCACCTTGCGAGGCTCCAAACCATTCTTCAAGATTGGGGGTGGGTGGGGGTGGAGACACTTGTCAGTCGACGGAACTGGTAAGCTGTAGGTTGACATTCCCTCTGGAACTAGATGCTGACAGTGGGATTCTTTCAGTGCTCAAGGATGGCACATTTTTCCATGTTACCTTTGTATTGCCATTTCCAAAACTCAATATGTCTCCCTGACACGTTCTCTGTTTTCCAGTATCAGGCATTTTTACCTTTCCTGCACCACCTTTGCCATTACTTTCTGGTCCTTGAGGTGAGGAAGGGTACATCACCACCACTGCACTTCATTTGCACTTCTTACATTCTCGACAGTTGAATCCTTATGCTGCATTTGAGTTTTTACCAAATACTGCGACTTTGTGTGGACTCTTATGACCCTTGCATATTAAGTAACCCAGGCAACTCTCCAAGGTGAGCTGAGGTGGTTTGGGGCCAAACTGGAAGCCACTTTGTATCCCAACTGCTTCGATGAAAGCCCAGTTTGAGTGGGATGTTGTGACAAATGTCACAATGTTGTGGCAATGCAAATGGGTTTGCATGGCCAGCCCAGTTTAAGCCAGCTGTATAAGCAAGGCATTTCTCCCCTTCTAATTAACACATGGCTAGTGGGAACTAGTTGGAGTCGGCTGCAATCTTTCTTCTGGAATGTGGCCAGGATTCAATGGAAGTAGACTTTGCTAAGTTGCTATGGGTTTTCCGGGCTGTCTGGCCATGTTCCGGAAGCAATCTCCCCTGACATTTCACACACAACTATGGCAGGGATCCTCAGAGGTTGTGAAGTTGGAAACTAGGCAAGTGGGGTTTATATATCTGTGGAACAATGTCCAGGGTGGGAGAACTAACTCTTGTCTGTTGGAGGCAAGTGTGAATGTTGCAATTGATCACCCTGATTGGTTGATTTCAAGGATTTATATCCTGTCCTTCTCACCCCCAAAGGAGAATTCAGGGCGGCTTACAAAAGGCAACAATTAGATGCCAGCAATATACCTGAAAGCTTTCCAAATTTCTCTATTTTATTTAACAATCTTGGAATATTTTCCAATGTGTCTTCAATTATACAGATAAGATAATCAGCAAAAGCACGTGTTTTAAAATGTTCTTTCTTATTTTTGTTCCTCTCAAGTTTTTATCTTCTCGTATATCAATAGAATTTCCATTGCCAGTATAAACAGTAAAGGGATAGTGGGTAGCCTTGCCTTGTTCCTCTATTTATTTTTATTTTTTTAGTTGAATTTCCATTTAATATTATCTTCACATCTTGTTCATTGTATATTGATTTAATTGCGTTGGTAAAAGAAAATCCCATGTCCAGTTCTTCTATTAATAGTATAAAGAAATTCCAGGTTAAACTATCAAATACGTTCTCTGTGTCTAATGCCAATAATACTAATTCTTTTTTATTATTTTTATCATAAAACTCAGTTAAATTTATTATTCTGACATTTTCTTTAATGTGTCACTGGGGCAAAAAGCCTGTTTGGTCCACATGTATCCGATATTTTAAAAAGTCTTTTAGACATTCTGCTAGGATATTTGTGAATAATTTGTAATCTATGTTTAGTAGAGAGATCGGTCTATAATTTTTGTCATCTGATGGTTCCCAATTTCCTTTGTAAATCATGATGATATTGGCTGTTTTCCAAGAGTCTGGGATTTTTTTCTGGGTTAGGCCCTTAAGATAAGGGGTTAATTCTTCCTCCATGGCTTTATAATATATTACTGTGAAAGTGTCTGGGCCTGGAGCTTTACTATTATCCAATTTCTTGATTGCTTTATTAATTTTCCCTAGAGATATTTCTTTATTTAAACATTCTCTTCGTTGATCTGGAATTTTTTGTAGTTTTTGTCTTCCTAAATATTCCACTATGACTTCTTTCCTTATCTGTTCTTTACAATATAAGTTCTTGTAGTATTTATTCAATTGATCTATAATATCCTTATCCAAGGTATAGGTTTTATCTTCACTACAAATCTTTGTGATGTGTTGGAACTGTCTTTTTCTTCTTATTTTCCTAGCCAGCCACTTCCCTGGTTTGTTTGCATTTTGGAAGTGTTGTTATTGTTTTATGTATTTCAGGGATTTTTTTGCCAATTGTTCTAAGTCCTGTTTGACTTCTGTATCTTCGGGTCTTTTTTCAATTTCTTCTCCATTTCCTCTATGGCGATCTGTATTTCATTTATTTCTTCCTTAGCCAGTTTATTTTATATGCTTTTTGTTGTATTAAATTACCTCTCTTTACTGCCTTGCTGGCATACCAAATAGTATGTCATTGAGAGTAAAAAAATAATAATATTACTTTAATTTTTTAGCATATCTCCTTCTGACTTTTGTAAGTTATCATTAGTCTCCAGGAAAAGGGTCTTTGTGCTTACTTATTATCTCTATTGGGCAATGATTCCAACAGTAACGAGAGAGAATTTTAATCATCTTGACTTTTCTTACGAATGGATTTGACATCCAAGCTCCATGTCAGGTCAGATCTTCATCTCCTGGTTTTTTCATATCCAGTATTTTGCAATGGTTCATTTTTTTTGATCTTCCAAGATTGTACTTCAATTTTTCTGTTCTGCTTCATGAAAATGTTACCTCAACACATTTAACAATTTCTCTTGAGATAATAATAATAATAATAATAATAATAATAATAATACTTTATTTATGCCCTGCTACCATCTCCCCAAGGGACTTGGAGCGGCTTACATGAGGCCAAGCCCAAAAACACATAAAAACAGCAAGCGATAATAAAACAACAGTAACCAAAATAAACAGTACAATCAATATAAATCACAAGTAGACAACAACACACAAGAATTTAAAAACCCATGGCTGGGCTAGATGTAACAGTTAAAAACTTTAAAAATAGATGCTGGACATGAGCAGAGGGTGTATCTATTGGGAGGGTTTTAAATCAAGGTAAGATCAATCCAACGGGTAATTAAAGTGCTCCTCGGAGTATTTGCTGGAGATTGTTTCCTTTATTCCGGGAAGGCACATTGGAACAGCCATGTTTTCAGGCTCCTCCTAAAGACTGTCAATGTGGGGGCTTGTCTGAGATCCTTGGGTGGTGAGTTTCAGAGTCGAGGGGCAACCATGGAGAAGGCCCTCTCCCTTGTCTCCACCAGGGAGCTGGGAGCGAGAGCAGGGCCTCCCCGAGATTGGCGCTCAGACCCAGAGCCTTGGCCAGGAACTGCAGCTCACTCTACTTGAGTGTCTCCAGCCATGCCTCCAGAGGGGAAACCTCCATTACTGGATGCCGCTCGTCTCCAGCCACCAAAGAGAAGGCTCCCTTTGATTAGCATTGAATATCCTTGCAGCTTCAAGGCTACAGCATTCACACTTGCTTCCAACAGATGAGAGTTCTTTCTCCCACCCTGGACATTCTACAGATATATAAACCCCACTTTCCCAGTTTCCAGTAGACCTCACAACCTCTGTGGATGTCTGCCATAGATGTGGGCGAAACATCAGGGGAGAATGCTTCTGGAACATGGCCATACACCCCAGAAAACTCACAGCAACTCAGTGATTCCAGCCATGAAAGCCTTGGACAACACAGTATTTCTGGTTTCAAAAACCTTTGGCCTGCCTGGTTTCCAGGCATGTAAGTCCCAGCAGCCCCATCCCACATGGCCAATGGTACAGGACTGTGGGAATAGTAGTCCCAGGCACTCAGAGGGCCAAAGGTCCTCCACTTCTTCAGTTCTTCATGTCTGCAGTTTCTTTTCTCATCCCATGCAGGATGACGGGATGCCTTTAAGAAGGCAGAAGTCTTTCTTGCTCATTTGTGTCTGTTCCTTGGCATCTTTCTGTCTTGAGTGTTTGATGGGGAGCACTCATCATCATTGTTTAGCAGCTGACCTTTCCCTCTTCTTTGCTGTCAACCTCTTTCCCGGAAAAGATACCTACAGAAAATGTACAATTGGGGGGTGGGGTGGGGTGAATTTTGATTCATATATAAAGATTATTTTTATACTTTTTTGCAGCTACAGAGCCTTGACTATAATATTTGTACAGTTTTTTTTCTGAGTGAATAAACAAGAACCTTTTCAAAGCTGTCTCCTGTCGTTTTGCTGGGACACACATCCATGTCATACCCTCCACATAAGCACAGCTGATGCTGGGGCAAAACCCTCTTGAAATGCTGAGTGAAGAGTTTTGAGCAGAACTTCCTGGAACGAAGTTTTGGCTTCTTTTTAAAAGTATCTTTCTATCCAAGGTTTTTATTTATCGTATCAGAAGTAAATTGAGAATACAGCTAGTGCCTCTGGTGTTGCTATGAGAAGATCCTCCATTGTGCATATGGCAGGGCTCAGGCTGCATTGTAGTAGGTGATCTGTGGTTTGCTCTTCTCCACACTCGCATGTTGTGGACTCCACTTTATAGCCCCATTACTTAAGATTGGCTCTGCACCTTCCAAGCCACCCAGCCTTCTGTGTGGCCAGGAGGGAGTTTCTCATCCAGTCTCAGCCATTGATTGAGGTTCCGGGTTTTTACTTGCCACTTTTGGAGTCTTGCTTGCTGAGGTGTGTGATGAAGTGTGAATTTTAACCTACAGTTATGTATAATTATAGATAGGTGTTTAAAAGGGTAAGTATTTAAAATAGCATAACTGGGGGGGATGGTGGCCAGCTCAGCTCACTCTGAGCTAGGTTGCCATGGAAAAAGGGGCGGAGCCAACTGCCACTTGGTAGGGCAGGCATTTTAAAACGGTCAGTCTGTAGTCAGAACTGCAGGAAAGGCTGGTTCTACAGTGTTGAGAATCAGGGAAGCAGTCTGTAGTTAGAGAACTACAGGGAAAGGCTGGTTCTACCGTGTTGAGAACCAGGAAGGTTTAGGCTTTTAGCCTGTGTGGTTTAGATAGGTCCAATTGTCTTATTTAGATTAGTAGTTAGCGTATGAGCAAAAAGGGGGAGAGAACCCCACTAAGTATCTTTACTGCAACAGAAATAACATAGGAAAAGAATAAGTTTACCTGAAGTGAATTGTTAAGGAAAGAAACTCAGTTTGAAGAAAAATAAGTTTAAAACCTGTTTAGTGGAAGGAACAGTCCTCCCAAGAGTTGTTTTATGAAATGTTATAAATGTAGCCTCTAAAGAAATGTGCCTCTAGGAGTTAAGAAACATTGAAACCATTAAGCTTCTTTTCTACTTCAATAAACTTGTTGCAGTTTCTCTTAAAGCCAACTCTCTGTTTTGAATACTTTCAAGTCAAGCCGTGCTACGCATTAAAGAAAGCCCGACAAAATATTACAAGCTATCAGCTGTGTTATCAATTTTATAAATCCATTACAAATAGTAGGAGACCCTGATAAATCAGTGACGGCTCTACTGCTTCTGGTGTCGTCTTTACAAAGTGATAGCGTCATTACAAAGTGGAGGCATCTTTACTAGGTCTGTGAGTATCTCTGTAGATCTTCGGAAGCTATTTCTTGATTTAAGGCATTGGCATGCTGGCTCATATCCGAACAGAGAATGGGCTGGAGATGTCAATGCCTTGGTCTTTTCATTGCTGACTAATACTTCCTGGAGGATATAAATACCGGCTAAACAGTATAATTTCTCCAGGTGGCCCACATGGGGGTTCTGTGCGGGAGGTTTGGCCCAATTCTATCATTGGTGGGGTTCAGAATGCTCTGTGATTGTAGGTGAACTATAAATCCCAGCAACTACAACTCCCAAATGTCAAGATTCTAAATCCCAGCAACTACAACTCCAAAACAAAGGACACTGCCCACCAAACCCTTCCAGTTTTTTCTGTTGGTCATGGGAGCCCTGTGTGCTAAGTTTGGCCCAATTCCATCATTGGTGGAGTTCAGAATGCTCTTTGATTGTAGGTAAACTATAAATCCCAGCAACGACAATTCCCAAATGACAAAATCAAATTTTTTTTCAGTGAAGGACATTGGGTTGTTAGGTGTCTTGTGTCCAAATTTGGTGTCAATTCCCCCAGTGGTTTTTGAGTTCAGATGGTATCACAAACGAACATTACATTTTTATTTATATAAGATTGTTGTTGTTCATTCGTTCAGTCGTCTCTGACTCTTCGTGACCTCATGGACCAGCCCAAGCCAGAGCTCCCTGTTGGCCGTCACCACCCCCAGCTCCTTCAAGGTCAGTCCAGTCACTTCAAGGATGCCATCCATCCATCTTGCCCTTGGTCGGCCCCTCTTCCTTTTACCTTCCACTCTGCCCAGCATCATTGTCTTCTCTAGGCTTTGCTGTCTCCTCATGATGTGGCCAAAGTACTTCAGCTTTGTCTCTAGTATCCTTCCCTCCAATGAGCAGTCGGGCTTTATTTCCTGGAGGATGGACTGATTGGATCTTCTCGCAGTCCAAGGCACTCTCAGCACTTTCCTCCAACACCACAGCTCAAAAGCATCGATCTTCCTTCGCTCAGCCTTCCCTGTGATTGTCGGTGAACTATAAATCCCAGCAACTACAACTCCCAAATGTCAAGATTCTGTTTTCCCCCAAACTCCACCAGTGTTCACATTTGGGCATATGGAGTATTCGTGTAGAGTTTGGTCCAGATCCATCATTGTTTGAGTCCACATTGCTCTCTGGATGTGGGTGAACTACACTTCCCAAACTCAAGGTCAGTGCTCACCAAACCCTTACAGTATTTTCTGTTAGTGGGAGTCCAGTGTGCCAAGTTTGGTTCAATTCCATTGTTGATAGCGTTCAGAATGCTCTTTGATTGTAGGTAAACTATAAATCCCAGCAACGACAACTCCCAAATGACAAAATCATTTTTTTGAGTGGAGGACATACATTGGGTTGTTAGGTGTCTTGTGTCCAAATTTGGTGTCAATTCCCCCAGTGGTTTTTGAGTTCTGATGGTAGCACGAAGTAACATTACATTTTTATTTATATAGATGGTCACTCCTTGGATTAGTCCAAATTTGGTGTCAATTCCCCCAGTGGTTCCTGAGTTCTGTTAATCCCACAAACAAACATTACATTTTTATTTATACAGATTATTATTATCTAGAGCCCCCGGTGGCGCAGTGGGTTAAACCCCTGTGCCGGCAGGACTGAAGACCGACAGGTCGCAGGTTTGAATCCGGGGAGAGGCGGATGAGCTCCCTCTATCAGCTCCAGCTCCTCATGCGGAGACATGAAAGAAGCCTCCCAAATCATCTGGGCGTCCCCTGGACAATGTCCTTGCAGACGGCCAATTCTCTCACACCAGAAGTGACTTGCATATTCTCAAGTCTCTCCTGACGCGACAAAAAATTATTATTATTATTATTATTATTATTATTATTATTATTATTATCAAGCTGGCCCACTGCTGCATTCACACCTGCCTCCAACAGACAAGAGTTCTTTCTCCCACCCTGGGCATTATTCCATATAGAGAAACCCCACTTGGGTAGTTTCCAACAGCTGTCACAACCTCTGAGGATGCTGGCCAGAGATGCAGGCGAAACGTCAGGAGAGAGTGCTTCTGGGACATGGCCACACAGCCTGGAAAACTCACAGCCACCCAGAGATTCTGGCCATGAAAGCCTTGAACAGCACAGTGCAGAGCCCTCTGAGTTTTGTGCAGAATTGTGGACAGGAGTGCAAAGCAGATCCTGTTCCTGTCCTTCCTTCCTTCCTTCCTTGGGGCGGGGCGGGCCTCTTCCTCCGCGCCCTTCCCGGGAGAGGAAGCCCAGCAGAGCCCGCCGCCCCGGAACTGCCCTTCGAGGAAGAGGAGGAGGAGGAGGAGGCGCAGAGGAAGCCAGCCTGGGCGGCCAGGTCCAGCCAGGAAGCCCACTCACCGGACAGGTAAGGCGCCCTCCCTCTCCTACTCCTCTGGTCCTGGAGGGAAGAAGGGAGGAAGGAAGAGGAGGAGAGAGGGAGCGGAAGGCCAGGAGAGAAGATCGGATGGGGAGCGGGCTTTGGAGACCCCAAAGGCTAGGCAGAGGCCAAGTCCACCCCCTTCCCAAAGAGTTCTCCTCCTCCTCCTCCTCCTCCTCTCCTTCCTTGGAGAACGACTCCTTCCACTTGCTTCCAGCCCAGCTCCACCTCCACTTCCCCAAACTCCACCAGTGTTCACATTTGGGCATATTGATTGAGTATTAGTGCCAAGTCTGCTCCAGATCCATCATTATTTGAGTCCAACAATGGAAGTGGAGGTGGAGCTCCACCACCCCCATTGCCAACCACAGCCACCATCACCAACAGTGGTCACCACCACCATCACCTCCTCCTCTGCTTCTCCATTCTCCCAACTGCCCTCAGGCTGAGCCTGGCACAGCTTCCTCTTTGAGGCCTGGGCTGCCCTGAATCATAGACTCATGGAGTTGGAAAAGACCCTGTGGAGTTGGACGAGACCTTATCCTGCCATGCAGGAAAGGCGCAATCAAAGCACCCCCGACAGATGACCATCCAGCCTCTGTTTAAAAGTTTCCAAGGAAAGAGTTTCCACCACACTGCGAGGCAAACAGGTCATCCCTCCTCAGGCCCGTAGGCAGGATTTCGTTTCAGGGGGGGGAGGGGGTAATTTTTTTCAGGGGGGGTTTCGGGGGGGGCTGAGTCTGAGTGAAAGAGGGTCTAGCCTAGCAAACCTTTTGTATCGTTACCCCAATACCCCCATGCATATGGGATATATTGATATATTGATCTGAACATGAGGAAGAACTTCCTGACTGTGAGAGCCGTTCAGCAGTGGAACTCTGCCCCGGAGTGTGGTGGAGGCTCCTTCTTTGGAAGCTTTTAAACAGAGGCTGGATGGCCATCTGTCAGGGGTGATTTGAATGCAATATTCCTGCTTCTTGGCAGGGGGTTGGTCTGGATGGCCCATGAGGTCTCTTCCAACTCTTTGATTCTATGATTCTATGATTATGGTGATCAGATCATGATATGAATAAACATAACAGTTTAAATAATGCACCAGTAAGGCCTTTTCGTGAACCACCATGAGAATTTCGGAGGGGGGCTGAAACCCCTCAAGCCCCCCCTCCCCCCCCTCCGGCTACATGCCTATCCCTCCTGTTCAAGGAGCTCCACTGGCTACCATTCATCTACTGGAACAAATTCAAGGTGCAGGTTCTTACCTTCAAAGCCCTGAACGGTTTGGGACCCGCCTACCTGCGTGACCGCATCTCTGTATACGAACCCACACAATCCCTTCGTTCATCTGGAGAGGTCCTGCTCATGCTCCCACCTCCTTCGTAGGCACGATTGGTGGGGACGAGAGAGAGGGCCTTTTCAGTGGTGGCCCCTCGACTCTGGAACTCACTCCCTAAGGATATCAGACAGGCCCCTACTCTGGCAGTCTTCAGGAGGAGTTTGAAGATGTGGTTGTTCCAGTGTGCCTTCCTGGAATAATGATCCCATAGCACTTTATTATTATTAGATATTATAACTTTATTTGTACCCCGCTAGCATCGTTCAAGATTGGGAAAGGCGTACGGCAAGGCTGCATACTCTCACCCAACCTTTTTAACTTGTATGCAGAACATATCATGTGATGTGCAGGGCTTGACGAATGCAAGGTTGGGATGAAAATTGCTGAAAGAAACATTAACAACCTTAGATATGCAGATGACACCACTTTGGTGGCCAAAAGCGATGAGGAGCTGAGGAGCCTTCTAATCAAGGTGAACAAAGAAATCACAAAAGTTGGGTTGCAGCTAAACATTAAAAAAAAACCAAGATTATGGCAACAAGAATGATTGACAACTGGAAAATAGAGGGAGAAACCGTGGAGGCCGTGACAGACTTTGTATTTCTAGGTGCAAAGATTACTGCAGATGCAGACTGTAGCCAGGAAATCAGAAGACGCTTACTTCTTGGGAGGAGAGCAATGTCCAGTCTCGATAAAATAGTGAAGAGGAGAGACATCAGACTGGCAACAAAGATCCGCCTAGTCAAAGCCATGGTATTCCCTGTAGTCACCTACGGATGTGAGAGCTGGACCTTAGGGAAGGCTGAGCGAAGGAAGATCGATGCTTTTGAGCTGTGGTGTTGGAGGAAAGTCTGAGAGTGCCTTGGACTGCGAGAAGATCCAACCAGTCCATCCTCCAGGAAATAAAGCCCGACTGCTCATTGGAGGGAAGGATACTAGAGACAAAGTTGAAGTACTTTGGCCACATCATGAGGAGACAGGAAAGCCTAGAGAAGACAATTATGCTGGGGAAAGTGGAAGGCAAAAGGAAGAGGGGCCGACCAAGGGCAAGATGAATGGATGGCATCCTTGAAGTGACTGGACTGACCTTGAGGAGCTGGGGGTGGTACAGCCCACAGGGAGCTCTGGCGTGGGCTGGTCCATGAGGTCACGAAGAGTCGGAGACAACTGAACGAATGAACAACAACAGCATCTCCCGAAGGACTCAATGCGGCTTACATAGGCCAAGGCCTCAAAACACAATACAACAATACAATACCTAAAGCAAATTAATTTGTTCCTCCAATGCACTTTATACTTTTAGTTCTGCTCGTATGTCTTCCACAAACGCCACTATCACCTTTCGCCCACGTTTCAGCACTATTTCCAATTTTAATTTTACATTAGGCCTTCCTACAGTTTTAATTGTATGTTGTCTTATTGATAATGTGATATGTCTACTGTCTATGTTCTTATTTTAATTGCTTGTATTGTTGTGATTATTGCCTGTATTGTTGTGTTTGGGCTCGGCCTCATGTAAGCCGCACCGAGTCCCTTGGGGAGATGGTAGCGGGGTACAAATAAAGTGTTGTTGTTGTTGTTGTTGTTGTTATTATTATTATTATTATTATTATTATTACTGCTGAACAGTCATAGAATCATTGAGTTGGGAGAGACTTCATGGGCCATCTAGTCCAATCCCATGCCATGTAGGAAAAGTACTATCAAAGCACCCCCGACAGATGGCCATCCAGCCTCTGTTTAAACGTTTCCAAGGAAGGAGTTTCCACCACACTCTGAGGCTGAACAGTCATAAAATCATTGAAGCGTTGAGTAGGAAGAGACTTCCTGGGCCATCTAGTCCAACCCCCTGCCATGCAGGAAAAGCACAATCAAAACACTCCTGACAGATGGCCATCCAGCCTCTATTTAAAAGCTTCCAAGGAAGAAGTTTCCACCACACTCTGAGACAGACAGTTCTACTGCTGAACAGTCTGCTTCTTATAGGCAGGAGGTTTTTTCCTAATGTTCTGGTGGAATCTCTTTCCTTGTCACTTGAATCCACAGCAAGCTGGCTTCAGGAAGGGCAAAAGCTGCACATCGCAAGTGCTGAACCTGAATCAGCACATAGAAGATGGCTTTGAAAGGCAGCAGATCACAGGAGCTGTCTTCATAGACCTGCCAGCAGCTTATGATACTGTAAACCACCACCTCTGCCTGAGAAAAATGTAGAATATTATAAAGGACTACCATCCCACCCGCCTCATAGGAAACCTGCTACAAAACAGGAGCTTTTTTGTTGAGTTCTAGGGCCAGAGAAGCAGATGGCGGAAATAGAAGAACGGCCTGTCTCAGGGGAGCGTGCTTGCTCCATCCATGTTCAACATTTACACAAATGACCAGCCACTGCCAGAAGGGACAGAGAGCTTCATCTATGCTGATGATCATGCCATTACTGCTCAAGCAGGGAGCTTTGAGATGGTTGAACAGAAGCTCTCTGAAGCTCTAGGTGCTCTTACTGCCTACTACAGGGAAAACCAGCGGATTCCTAATCCATATAAAACACAAACATGTGCTTTTCACCTCAAGAACAGACAAGTATCCCGAGGATTACCTGGGAAAGAATTCCACTGGAGCATTGCAACACACCCAAATACCTGGGAGTCACTCTGGACCATGCCCTGACCTACAAGAAGCACTGCCTGAATATCAAGCAAAAAGTAGGCACTAGAAACAATGACTGGCACAACCTGGGGATCACAATCAGACACAGTGGAGACATCTGCCCTTGCGCTATGCTACTCTGCTGCTGAGTATACATGCCCAGTGTGGAACACATCTCCACACACTAAAACAGTGGTGTCTGTGGGTGTCTGCGCCCTACACCACTGGAGAAATTACACTTTTTAGCCGCTATTGCACCACCTGACATCTGCCGGGAAGTAGCAGCCAATAGTGAAAGGACCAAGGCAGAGACATCTCCAGCTCATCCCTTGTTTGGGTATCAGGCAGCATGTCAACGACTTAAATCTAGAAATAGTTTTCTAAGATCTACAGAGACACTCGCTGGAACACTCCAGCAAGTGTGAGTCCAAAAGTGGCAGGCTCAAACCCAGCACCTCAATCAATGGCTGATACCAAATGAGAGACTCCCCGCTAGGCACACAGAAAACTGGGCGACTGGCACCACGAGATGCAGAGCCAACCTTAAGAAATGGGGCCACAAAGTGGAATCCATGACATGAGAGTGTGGAGAAGAGCAAACTACTGACCATGCTGCCACCTGACATCCGCCAGGAAGTAGCAGCCAATAGTGAAAGGACCAAGGCAGTGATATCTCCAGCTCATCCCGTTTGGATATCAGCCAGCAAAGTGGATCCATGCTCTAGTACACGCATGGGCAAACTTGAGCCCTCCAGGTGTTTTGGACTCCAACACCCACAATTCCTAACAGCCAGTAGGCTGCTTGGAATTGTGGGAGTTGAAGTCCAAAACACCTGGGGGGCTCAAGTTACCCATGCCTGCTCTAGTGTGATGAGGTCCATGGTCTCCTGACCTTTGAACCTTTTTGTTGTCCTCCCCTGGACACCTTCCAGCTGGTGAATATCTCTCTTAAATTGTGATGTCCAGAATTCGATGTAGCCGCTGAGGAGGAAAAGAAAGGGGCCTGAGGCTGCTAGGAATTGTGGGAGTTCATCTATGCTCCAAAGCATCTGGAGGGCCGAAGTATGCCCATGCCTGGTCTGTAAGGAAAGATAACCTCAACCGTACAGTGCTCATCCCTCTGTCTTCCTTCTACTCTCACTTTGGTCTTTTTAATGTGTTCCATTTCAGGAGCTGCTCTCAAGTGGAAGCGCGAGGGGTAGGCACCATGCCTCCCTCAAAAGATGTTGTGAAAATTGCAGTCCAAATGATGGGAGCAATCCCTCAGCTCATAGAACTCAACCAGGTATGTGCCTTCTTCCACCTGCCCTCATTCTGTGCCTGATGCTTGGAAATGTTTACCTGCTGAACTCTTAGGTTGAATATACTTTGTGTAAGGGATTTTGTAATACCTTTGAGACTAATGGAGACAATGACGTTTGTAGCATAAGCTTTGGTAGATTGGTCCCACATCATCAGGCCTAGGGCCTGTCTATACGGTTTTGTCCAGATCCGTAATAGGTGGTGGTCACTGGATGTAAGTGAACGACAACTTCCAGAAACGAAGGCCAGTTCCCCCAAAACCCCTCCAATATTTTCAGTTGGTCATGGCGGTTCTGTGTGCCAAGTTAGGTCCAGGACCATCATCAGTGGAGTCCAGAGTGCTCTTTGATTGCAGGTGAACGATAAATCCCAGTACCTACAAAGGTGAATTTCCCTCCAAACATCTCCAGTATTTTTCTTAAGTCATGGGGCCAAATGTGGTCTAGGTCCATTGTCAGTGGGGGTCACAGTGCTCTGACTTGATGTAGGGTGAACTACAACTTTCATCATATGGAGTTAATCCCCCAAACGCCTCCAAAGTCCACAGAAGTAGCATTGTAGTCAAACCGGTCCAAGGTCAAGGAAGGGGGAAATCCACACTCATGAGAATCCAATCCAAGTCGAAAGCACACACGAACAGGAGCAGCAACCTGCAGATCCCAAACCCAATGCCGAACACGAACAGGCAGCGACAAGTCCAAACAGTACCCAATGCACGAATGTATACCAACACCTTGCCTTCTGCAAAGATTCCCCATTTCTGAACCCAGGTTCGTTCCAATTTGTGAACCCATCTGTCCCAGTTGTCCCTACACAATCAGCCACACTTTCCCGCCCAAGAACACTTCCCCTGTTCAGCCCACTCAGTTCCCTCACTGATTCTTCATTCACTTTAACATCRGAAGCATCCTTACCTGACTCCCAAGGGAGRCTACATTCCAGCCTTACTTCCTYTGAGAGTTGACTAGCCACAGGGGGGGAGGGGGGCTYGGTAGAAGGRGGTGCCATTCAGGTCGTGTGGGGGAGGAGATTTGYGGGTCACCAACATCCTAGGGAGAAGCGCAACAGAGTTCTTRCGACCCTAGAGAAGGTAGGAAGTGGTAGGCTCCATGGCAGTCCCCCCGGTCTTAAGGTCCTGCTGATCAATGCTAGGTCCGTTAATGGTAAGACCGCTGCCATTCAGGACTTGATTCTGGATGAGAGGGCRGATCTGGCATGCATTACTRAGAYGTGGTTGGATGAGCTGGGGGGAGTAAATCTCACTCARCTGTGTCCACCGGGCTTCGGAGTGCATCAGCAGGCCAGACAGGGGGGGGCGGGGAGGAGGGGTTGCAGTAGTCTTTYGGCAATCCATCRCCGTGGTCAGATGTGCWGTTCCGCAAGCACCTGGGTTTGAGTGTGTCCTCCTGAGGGTGGGGAACTGTGACAGCGTGGGGTTTCTGTTGGTGTACCGCCCACCCCGCGACCCAACAGTTTCCCTGTCTGAGCTAGCAGAGGTGGTCTCCAATTCGGCCCTGACCTCCCAGCGCTTGGTGGTGCTGGGAGACTTTAACATCCATGCCAAGACCTCCTTGTCTGGTGCAGCTCAGGACTTTATGGCCACCATGACGACCATAGGGCTGTCACAAATTATATATGGACCCACTCATCAGGCTGGACATACACTCGACCTAGTTTTTGTGGCGGACAGTGGAATGATCAGAGTGGAAGAACAAAACATCCTTCCGGTGTCATGGTCTGATCACTATCTGATCAGTTTTAGACTTTCTGCAACCCCTAACCTTCGCAGGGGTGGAGGACAGATTAAGATGGTCCGCCCCAGGAGACTAATGGATCCGAACGGATTCCTGAGGAATCTTGGGGTTCTTCCTGCCATGGAGCCTGGCGATTCTATCGATGCCCTGGTGGATCCCTACAACAGGGAGATGTCTAGGGCAATAGATACGATCGCTCCCGAACGCCCCATCACGTTGCGTCGTGACAAGCCGTCCCCCTGGTTCACTGGGGAGCTGGCTGCCATGAAGCATACGAGAAGGGGGCTAGAGCGCAAATGGAGGAAATCTCGGGACGTGTCTGACCAAGCACGGGCTAAAGCCTCTCTTAAGGCATACTCCGTGGCTATACGGGTGGCCAGGGAATCTTTCACGACCACCCGTATAGCGTCTGCAGCAAATAGATCATCGGAGCTGTTTCGGGTTGTCCGAGAACTCCTCCACCCTCCTGTGGTGGAGGAGACCTCTGACGACCCAGCAGCTCGGTGTTGCAATTTCGCACACCATTTTGCAGACAAAGTTGCTCAGATACGCCTTGAGCTTGACTCCAATTTCACCGCAGTGCCAGAGGAGGTGACGGAGGTATCTGCTTGTCCAATTTTGTGAGATTCTTTTAGGCTTGTTCTTCCTGAGACCGTAGAAGAGGTCCTTGGGGCTGTGAGGGCGACGACTTCGGCGTTAGACCCTTGCCCATCTTGGCTCATCAAATCTGCCAAGGAGGGATTGGCTGATTGGTTTGTATTGATCATTAACACATCGTTGGAGCAAGGGATTTTTCCATCTAATTTGACACAGGCTGTGGTTCGTCCACTCCTTAAAAAGGCTTCCCTTGACTCCACAGTGCTGAGCAATTACAGGCCAATCTCCAACCTCCCTTTCTTGGGTAAGGTGCTAGAAAGGGTGGCCGCCTCTCAGCTCCAGGGCTTTTTGGATAACATCAACTACCTAGATCAGTCACAGTCTGGTTTCAGGCCTGGTCACGGCACCAAGACAGCCTTGGTCGCCTTGGTGGATGACCTCCGTAGAGAACTGGACAGGGGGAGTGTGACTCTGTTGGTTCTCTTGGACATCTCAGCGGCTTTCGATACCATCGATCATGGTATCCTTCTGGGTCGTTTCTCTGGGATGGGCCTTGGGGGCGCGGTTTTGTGTGGCTCCGATCCTTCCTGGAGGGTCGATCCCAGTTGGTGAAGCTGGGAGACGCCTGCTCGGACCCCTGGCCTTTGACCTGTGGGGTCCCGCAAGGCTCTATTCTGTCTCCCATGCTTTTTAACATCTACATGAAACCGCTGGGAGAGGTCATCCGGAGTTTTGGAGTTAGGTGCCACCTCTATGCAGATGACACACAACTCTACTACTCCTTTCCACCTAACTCCAAGGAGGCCTCTCGAGTGCTGGACGAGTGCCTGGCCGCTGTGTCTATCTGGATGAGGAGAACAAGCTGAAGATCAATCCCAACAAGACAGAGGTCCTCCTGGTCGATCGCAAACCTGATCGGGGTATAGGGTGGCTGCCTGTGTTGGATGGGGTTACACTCCCCCTGAAACCACAGGTCCGCAGCCTGGGAGTTCTCTTGGACTCATCGCTTACGCTTGAGGCTCAGGCGTCGGCGGTGTCCGGGAGAGCTTTTGCACAACTGAGACTTGGCGCCAGCTGCGACCGTACCTCGCGAAGGCTGATCTGGCCGGGGTGGTCCATGCCTTGGTCACCTCTAGACTGGATTACTGCAATGCGCTCTATGTAGGGCTGCCCTTGAAAACGGCTCGGAAATTCCAACTGGTCCAACGGGCAGCAGCCAGGATATTAACCGGGGCTCATTACAGAGAGAGGTCAACCTTCCTGTTTAAGGAGCTCCACTGGCTGCCGTTTATTTTCCGAGCCCAATTTAAGGTGCAGGTGCTCACCTACAAAGCCCTGAATGGTTTGGGACCACCCTACCTGCGTGACCGCATCTCCATCTATGAGCCTACACGCTCACTCCGGTTATCTGGAGAGGCCCTGCTCGTGATCCCGCCTGCGTCGCAAGCGCGCTTGGTGGGGACGTGAGACAGAGCCTTTTCTGTAGTGGCCCCCCGACTTTGGAATGCCCTCCCAAAAGATCTTAGACAAGCCCCTACATTGGCAGTCTTCAGGAAGAATTTGAAAACCTGGCTGTTCCGATGTGCCTTTTCAGATTAGGAACCTCAACACCAAGTCCCAGATGCACTTTAGTAGAACCACGATCACTGCACACCGCACACTGCACTTATGTTATAACCCTATATTCCTCCCGCAATATCAGCACTTTTAATCCTGTACCCACTACTCTGGCCGGCCCAGTTTTAATAATTGTCTGATGTATTGTTACTGTTTTGTTTACTTGCTAACTGTTTTAATTTGCTTTGTACTGTTTTGCTGTATTGTTGTTCTGTGTCTTCGGCCTGTTGTAAGCTGCATCGAGTCCCTTGGGAGATGCTAGCGGGATACAAATAAAGTTATAATAATACACATCATCATCATCAGAAAATGAACTGACCACCGCCCATGATCATCCCTTGCAGCTGCTCCCAACTCTTCACGTGAGGTTCCACGCCCATCCCTCCATCTTCTCCATCTCCTGTCAAGACTTAGATCCTCCCAAGACTCAGCTGTATTCCCCAATTGTCAATCTTCACTTCCAGAGAATCTCATAGTTATTATGATTATTATTAATTTTATTTATACCCCGCAAAATCTCCCGAAGGACTCGATGCGGCTTATAAAGGCCAAGGCCGCCGACAATACAAAATACAATACACAACGGGGTGTATCACTAGATGTTGGCTCCACACAAATAGCTTGCACTTCCTTTACCTTAGTCCAATCCACAGTCCCCATTTTCCCCACTCTGTGATCCATCATCCCCAGAGAAACCCTCAAATGATTCCTCATCCGTAGGTGCTGTAAGTATATCCCGAATCCTCTTCCTTTGTCGCTCCTCATCCGATTCTTGCTCCCGAGTAGCCCTTTTTCTTCCTCTATTCCCATCCATTGTGTCTCCCTCCTCTCCTTCACTAATTGACCCATCATTCTCAGAGAACCCCTCAAATAAGTCCTCATCTGTAGGTGCCATAAGTATATCCCGAATCCTTTTCCTATGTTGTTCCTCATCTGACTCCTGCTCGCGAGTAACCCTTTCCCCCCCTCTGGCACCCATACTACTGCTTGCAATGTTACTTACATGCTCTATTACAACAGTAGGTGCCATTTGTAAGCCACCTTAAGCCCCCCCCCCCCCAGGGTAGAGAAAGGAAGGGTATAAATGAGGCAAATAAATGAATAAATAAATAAATAATTCCCCACCAATTGAGAGAGTAACACTGGGATGTCTGTGGTGGAGAAAACATGTAAAATCTAGGATGAAATTGTCCCCGGATGAAAGCATCCCTTGGGTGGTGGGCAGTATTGTGTTTGGGGAGGACATTGGCAGGGGTTGGGCTATATGTTTATGGCGCTCGCTATAACCTGAAATGTCATTGGAGGGAGGGCTTTTGGTGGCTCCTCAGCTGTTTGTGGAAGTGGGATCCTGTCTGTGGAATTGGGCACCCCAGCCACATACACACATATTTTCACTTTTCTTAGGCATATATCTCACACCAAAAGTGGCTTGTTGCTCAAGTCGCTTCTGACACACACACAAATTTATGCATATAGATATAGGTGAAATATAGATATAGATACAGATATAAACAAAACCTCATGAATGGGAAAATTACTTTGTTAGTTACTGGAGCCTCCGATGGCGCAGTGGGTTAAACCCCTGTGCCGGCAGGACTGAAGACCAACAGGTCGCAGGTTCGAATCTGGGGAGAGGCGGATGAGCTCCCTCTATCAGCTCCAGATCCTCATGCGGGGACATGAGCGAAGCCTCCCACAAGAATGATAAAAACATCCAATCATCCAGGTGTCCCCTGGGCAACGTCCTTGCAGACGGTTAATTCTCTCACACCAGAAGCGACTTGAAGTTTCTCAAGTCACTCCTGACACGACAAAAAAAAAAACTTTGTTAGTTAATGAAATATAAACAGTAAGGAAAAATGCATTCAAGCTTGTACTACTTAGCAATCATAAATTTATCCTGCTAATCATGAGCATTTTAAATAATTATCATTAGGAAATTCATACCTGGACAACACTGGGCACATAAGCATTGCCTGTGGGCCTTTGCTTGGGGACTTCTGCTTTAATGTGATATACCACCTGTATTCATTCTTGCCCCGATATTTCCGGGAAAATATGGTCTGTTGCTGTGTTTTGTGAGGTGTGTACAATTTGGGGGGCTGAAGTGGATTTGGCTCTCTCCCCTTCCCAGATCTGGTGCTCAACTCATTGTCGAAGTATCCACATGCTGTTTGCTTTTACTTGCAGGCCAAACCATTGTCTGCGGTTGTGAAAGAGGTGTGCGATGTGTGAGTAACTGTTCCTTTCTCCATCTTCGGGCCTAAAAAAAATTATTGTCATTTCAGAAGCACTTTTAGATAGCATGTAATGTCCTGCAAATATATGCAGAAATTTACCATAGTTGGAATAGATGAGTACTTGATATCTTCAGTCTTGTTAATATTTCTGAGATCATATGTAATTTGCACCCATGGAAATTTTGTATAAGTGGTTTGTAAAGCAATATGCTTCTTAGCTTCATAAATGCAGAATTGAAATTTTATATTTAAATAGCAGGGTCTTGCTCTGTTACTATAGATCAATTGCATAAATACTGCTCCAAAGAAATCATGCTGGTATCATCTTTACAGATATTCTGGATTTTATTTTATTTATTTATTTACACCATTTCTACCCCGCCCTTCTCACCCCCGAGGGGGGACTCAGGGCGGCTAACACAGGCAACAATTCAATGCCAACAGTATGAATAACAACAATATAAAATACTATTACATAACAATTAAACAGTGATATTAATTAAAATTACATAATCACATAGAACAAATCACATAATCACAAGTCATATAGCAATTTCCAATTTTCATAACAATCCTATTGTCCGAGTTCAGTGCCCACTAGCCAAAGGCCTGGCTCCAAAACCACATCTTTAATTTTTTCCTAAAAGTAAGGAGGGAGGACACCAATTTAATCTCACTGGGGAGCGAATTCCACAAGCGGGGGGTCACCACCGAGAAGGCCCTGTCCCTCGTTCCCACCAGATGCATTTGAGATGCTGGTGGAACTGAGAGCAGGGCCTCTCCAGTAGATCTTAAATTCCGAGGTGGAACGTAGAGAGAGATACTTTCGGATAAGTAAACTGGGCCGGAGCCGTATAGGGTTTTATAGGTCAAGACCAGCACTTTGAATTGTGCTTGGAAGTGGACCGGCAGCCAGTGGAGCTGACGCAGCAGGGGGGGTGGTATGCTCCCTGTATGGCGCTCCGGTGAGTAAGGACGGAGGACGCCGATCTAATCTCGCTGGGGAGCAAATTCCACAAACGGGGGATCACCACCGAGAAGGCCCTGTCCCTTGTCCCCACCAGACGTGTTTGAGACACTGTGTCCACTAGTCAAAGGCCTGGCTCCAAAACCACGTCTTTAGTTTTTTCCTAAAAGTAAGGAGGGAGGGCGCCGATCTAATGCTAGTTAAAACTGCTGTTTTGTAAGAGCTATGCCTTATAAGAGGAGCCCCAGGTGGCACAGCAGGTTAAATCGCTGAGCTGCTGAACTTGCTGACCGAAAGGTTAGCAGCTCAAATCCGGGGAGCGGGTTGAGCTCCCGTTGTTAGCCCCAGCTTCTGCCATCCTAGCAGTTCGAAAACATGCAAATGGGAGGAGATAAATAGGCATCGCTTCAGTGAGAAGGTAACGGTGCTCCAAGCAGTCATGCCAGTTACATGACCTTGGAGGCATCTACGAACGACGCTGGCTCTTTGGCTTAGAAATTGAGATGAACACCATCTCTCAGAGTCGGACATGACTAGACTTAATGTCAAGGGTAAACATTTACCTTTATTATGCCTTTAAAGATTATTTTTACTTTATGTTAATGAGTTGTTTTGTTTTTATATTGTAATAAAGTGATAGGATGTCTTTGGGATTTCAGTATCATCAACAGAAAAAAGTATTATTTATCTATATAAGAATACACCCAATATTCTAAGATGAATCCTGTTTTTAGGGGGGAGTGTGTCTTAGAACCAAAGAAATAGGGAATATCTCCAGAGCTCCTCCAACAATGTGATGCAGCAGCTTAAAAAGCCAATGGGATTTTGGGCTACATCAGAAGGAGTCTAGGAGCCCCCGGTGGCGCAATGGGTTAAGCCCTTGTGCCGGCAGGACTGCTGACCAAACGTCAGTGGTTCAAATCCGGGGAGTGGGCTGAGCTCCCATTTGTCAGCTTCAGCTTCCCATTCGGAGACCTGAGAGAAGCCTCCCAACAAATGGTAAAAACATCCAGGTGTCCCCTTGGCAACATCCTTGCAGGTGGCCAATTCTCTCACACCAGAAGCGACTTGCAGTTTCGCAAGTTGCTCCTGACACACACACGCACAAAAGCAGCATAATGTCCAGATCAAGGGAAGTGATAGTGACACTCACCTGGAATTATGTGTTGAATTTCGGGCACCACAATTTAAGAGAAATATCCAGAGGAGGATGACCAGAAGGAGCAAAGATCTGGAGACCATGAATTCCTCTGAGGAGTGGTTCAAAGAACTTGGTCTGTTTAGTCTCAGAAGAGAAGGTTGAGAGGGTACATGATAGCCATGCTTAAGTATTTGAAAGGATGCTGCTCTGGAGAATAGAACTCAATGGAGACATGGGTTCAAATTACAGGAGAGTCCACCTGAATATTAAGAAGAACTTCCTGATTGTAAGAGCTGTTCAGCAGTGGAACTCTCTTCCTTGTAGTCTGATAGAAGCTCTTCCTTGGAGGCTTTTAAACAAAGGCTGGATTGCCATGTGTCGGAGTACTTTGATTGTGCTTTCCCTTGCATGGCAGAAAGGGGTTGGACTGGATGGCTCATGGGGTCTCTTCCAACTCTATGATTCTATGATTCTATAGGTGGAACCTGAATAATTCCGAGCGTTATGCTCTTCAGTACGTGGACGGCCAGCAAGCATACATCACAGAATCGGTGAGTGTGTCTGGTATTTTGTCTAGTGTTGTCTTGCTACCTTGTGCCTCTAGAGAGGCAAGGGTGGGCTGGTGGAGGAGAAACTGAAACTTCTGTCACAGGGAGGAGGGAGAAAGCTTGTTTTCTGCTTCCCTGGAGACTAGGACACGGAACAATGGCTTCAAACCACAAGAGAGGAGATTCCATCTGAACATGAGGAAGAACTTCCTGACTGTGAGAGCCGTTCAGCAGTGGAACTCTCTGCCCCGGAGTGTGGTAGAGGCTCCTTCTTTGGAAGCTGTTAAACAGAGACTGGATGGCCATCTGTCAGGGGTGATTTGAATGCAATATTCCTGCTTCTTGGCAGGGGGTTGGACTGGATGGCCCATGAGGTCTCTTCCAACTCTTTGATTCTATGATTCTATTATCCTCACTCGCTATTATTATTATTATTAGTAGTAGTAGTAGTAGTAGTATCCCACTCTATCTCTAAAAAGAGACTCAAAGTAGCTCATAGTAAAACCAATACAATATAATTTCAAACCTAAAAATATACAAATATTTACTGATACCACTGACTGTGGTATCCTTCTGAGTTGCATTTCTGGGATGGGAATTGGGGGCACGGCTATGAAGGGGTTTCAGGCCCCTTCTACACTGCCATGTAATCCAGATTATCAAAGCAGACAATCCACATTATCTGCTTTGATAATGCTTTTACATGAGTCTACACTGCCATATAATCCAGTTCAAAACAGATCAGCTGGATTTTATATGGTAGCGTAGAATGACCTCAGTCTTTCTTGGAGAAGCAAGATGGTAATGAGGGACTCCTGTCCAATGCTGTGACAGTTGGGTCCCTCGTGGCCAATAAAACCACTAAAAACCAATTACACCTCATTAATGGTCAGCGTTCACCATCTCATAGTCCAGTTTCCAATTCCACTTTGTCAGTCCTGTCAGTCCTAATTGTCTGATTGTCCTTATCTAGTTGTTAGATTGCCCAAAGGCCTGGTCCCACAACCATGTCTTTACTTTTCTCCTGAAGGAGAGGAGGGAAGTTGATGACCTAATTTCCCCTGGGAGTGAGTTCCACAGGTGAGGGGCCACCACTGAGAAGACCCTGCTCCTCGTCCCCACCAACCTCACTTGTGATAGCGGTGGGGTCGAGAGCAGGGACTCCCCAGATGATCTCAAACTCTGGGGTGGGACGTAGAGGGAGATGCATTCAGACAGGTACGCTGGACCGGAACTGTATAGGGTTTTGTAGGTCAAAACCTGCACCTTGAATTGTGCTCGGAACTGGACCGGCAGCCAGTGGAGCTGACACAGCAGGGGGGTGGTGTGCTCCCTGTATGACGCTCCGGTGAGTAATCTGGCTGCCGCTCGCTGGACCAGTTGAAGTTTCCGAACAGTCTTCAAGGGCAACCCCACATAGAGTGTGTTGCAGTAGTCTATTCAGGATGTAACAAGAGCATGGACCACTGTGGCCAGATCAGACTTCCCAAGGTATGGGCGCAACTGGTGCACAAGTTTTAATTGTGCAAAAGCTCTCCCGGCCACCGCCGAGACCTGGGGTTCCAGGCTCAGCGATGAGTCCAGGATCACTTCCAAGCTGTGAACCTGCGTCTTCAGGGGGAGTGTAACCCCCCAGAAGGCACCTTGGGTCCAGTATTGGGAGAAAGGCAGCATAATGAATTAATAAATTAAATAAATAATAAATCAATAATAATAATAATAATAATTTCTTTTATTATTCATGAGTTGGTTACATTTCTTCTTAAGAGGTCCTGTATATGCTGGGGTACTAGACGACCTTTTAGGCATGTAAAACCTTATAAAATTTTGCGGGTCGTCTAGTACCCCAGGTATAAAATTAAAATAATAATAAAATTACCGGTAGAGCCTCTTGGTGTGGATGGCCTTGGCCATGGGCTCCCCTCCTCCTCCGCCTCCTCTTCTGCTGCCTTGGCTCATGGCAGCCCCCCGGGCAGGCTCCCCGTCCTTCCTCTCTTCTTGGCTGCCGCGCTGGTCAAGTCGCTCTTCTTCTTCCTGGCCAGGCCTCGCGAGAAGCACCTCTTCACCCGTGAGACAACTTTGTGTCGCGGGAGAAGAGGCGCTTCTCGCAAGGCTTGATAGGGCTGGGAGGCAGAGATGGAGAAGGAGAGCAGCCTGAGCAGCGCGGGAGGCCCTTCTGGAGGTAGCGCAGGAAGCAGCCCAGAGGCCCAGGGTCAACCACACGCCAGGCGTAGAGGACAGAAACTACCTGGCATAGAGGACTGAAATTGCAGAGTCATCTTATAGCCCCAGTCGTGTAATACCCCGGAATATACGGTAGATTAGATGGGAAAAAATAGTAACAGGACCAGGCTAACTCATTAGGTTTCATAGCTCATTGGGCACTAGAACCTTGGTTTTATCAAGTTAAACATTCTACCTATTATAGTACAATGGCTGTTTGCACACTATACCATATGCAGAGTTTTAATAATGCTGTCGTCATGTTTTATTTCTGTAGAATCGTGGAGAAATCAAGAATGGGAGCATCCTGCAACTGACCACTGCTCCAGTGAGTTACAATGTAGAGTTGTAAGAGCAAAAATTACTCCAATCTGTCACTACTCTGCTTAAAACCCCTATCCATTCACATATTTTTCAATCCGTTTGAATTCTTTGTCCAGGTATTGTTGTTAAAGTAACTTAAAATTCTGCTACCTTACCTGATTATTATTTTATTACCTAATTATTATTAATTATTATTATTATTTGATACACAACATGATTTGAGTACCTGGTGGCGCAGTGAGACCGAGACTGCCTTCCACCTGGAAACCAATGCCCTCACTGCGGAAGAAGATGCAGAGCAGGAATAGGGCTCCACAGCCACATACGGACCCACAAGAACACTGGAAGACAATCATCCTCGGAAAGCGAGGGATCGCCTAACATAACGTCGCCTAACGGTGCAGTGGGTTAAAGCACTGAGCTTGTTGTGGATGAGCCTCTGAGTAGTAGTAACACTTCCCAGCTGAGTGGAAATCATCTATCTGACAGATGGCAAGCTGTTTAACCTCAGCAGACCGAAAGCCAAAACCAAGGTTACAACAACATCTGTTGTAGAACTCTAGTATGCTGATGACAACATCATCTGTGCGCATTCAGATGAAGATCTACAAGCCACTCTAAACACCTTTGCAGAAGCATACGAGAAGCTCGGCCTGTCATTGAACATCGAGAAAACCAAAGTGTTCCAGTAGACACCAGCCAACCCCTCTCCAATGACAGCGCTACAGCTTAATGGTGTAACATTTGAATATGTTGATCATTTCCACTACCTTGGCAGCCACCTCTCCACCAAAGTCAACATCAACACCGAAATACAATACTGCCTGAGCTCTGTGAGTGCAGCATTTTTCCGAATGAAGCAGAGAGTGTTTGAGGATTGGGACATCCATAGGGATACCAAGGTGCTTGTCTATAAAGCTATTGTCCTCCCAACCCTGCTATATGCCTGCGAAACGTGGACTGTCTACAGGCATCACATGCAACTCCTGGAACGATTCCATCAGCACTGCCTCCGGAAAATCCTGCAAATCTCTTGGGAAGACAAGCAGACAAACGTCAGCGTGCTGGAAGAAGCAAAGACCACCAGCACTGAAGCCATGGTCCTTTGCCATCAACTCCGCTGGACCGGCCACGTTGTTCGGATGCCTGACCACCGTCTCCCAAAGCAGTTGCTCTACTCCGAACTCTACCCCATTGACAATGCAAAGGCTTAAATGCAAAGACAAAGTTCCCAAGATCCAAAGGCAAACACATGAAGTATAATCCCTTAGCAATGGTCAAACAAGAGTCCACGGAAAACAGTTGAGAACAAGATCCAAATCCCAGACTCGGGAAGCCAGAAGCGTGCTGCTAAAAGCCAAAGTTAATCCACAGAAGTTTGCATGGGAAGAGCTACGTTGGACTGACAATCCCTGCTTGTCAGCTACAAGGCTGAATACCCTTTGCAGACATGAACACATTGCATTGACCTTTGGCACCCTTGGCTTCTTGCTTGCTAGCCAAGCGAGTGCTTCTCCACGGCCTTAATTGCAGACGATCTTGTCTCCTCATTAATTCATTATCATCGAGGCTATGCAACCCCTTATCTTGGTCCAGCTGGACCGGATCACTGTGGGAAGGCAAAGATGTCTCCACCTGGCCGTGTGGGATTTCACTCTCATTATCAGTCTCACTAACATTCCTGTTGCAATCCAGATCAGGAAACGAGACCATAAGATAACCATCCACCACATTTGACTGTGGGAAAAACAATCCCTTTTTATTGATGAAAAAATGGTTACAAAATAGAGGAAAATGCAAAGTCAAAAAGCCACAGTAAAATTCAGCAGTCAGGAATATCTATGAACTAMATCAAAATTCCAAAAGCAACACTGTAAAAACCTGGAACCTGTTAGCATTTCACTAACCGTACTTGGAACACTAGAAGCCTCTTGGGGTGCAGGCCACGGGAAACGGGAAATCTGCCAAGGTAATGCCTCAGTGTAAACGATGCCTGATCTAACGAGGCAGCCCGGGGAGAGGCACTTAAAACTAAAGAAACTGTTTCAGGACACGCCTCCAGGCTTTGAAGCCTGGGACTCCCTTTGCCTTAATCTGCTTGACCTTCGCGGACTCTGCAATTCACTCCTGTTTTTCCAAATCTGCTCTTTTCTATCCTCATTAAGGAAGCCAGGTGTTAGCTCCTCTGGAGAGCTATCCCTGCTTGGTTCTGAAACATTCTCATCAGGCTTGGAAGTTTCACTTTCCAAGCCACTGACCTCAGAATCAACATCTTCCAAACCATCAGGGAAAAATACATGTTCAGTAGCCTGTTCAGTTGCATCAGGAAATACAATCAGAGAATCAAGTTCAGGTTCACATGCAGGCTGAACCCCAACAATTCCTTTCCCCTGGGAACTGACTTGCTGTTTCCCCTTCAGCAGCCCACCGTCAGCCCTGTCTGAAGCATGTACAGAAATCTGTAACCCATCAGCCTCTTCATCATCCTGTAGGAATTCCGGCTCAGAAGGCCCACAGAGCTCAGCTTCGGACTCAGAGTCAAGCTGAGTCACAACACTTTTCTTCTGTTTTTAAAATATCCTTTTTAGCTCTTTGAAATTGGCTTTGAAATGAAGATGGTCAGGACTGTACACAGCGTTATTGTGAATGTGTAGGCTCATCTTTATGACTCTTCCTTCATAGGATCAAGAGGCTGCAAAGTTGCATGGTGGAATTCAAAGCAACAACTTTGATGTAAAATCCGACTCTCTGAAGAAGCTGGCGTTTCTCTCTCGGGATGTTGCGTTTGCTCAGGAGTTCATTAGCAGGAATGGTCTCAACCAGCTTTTTCTTATTGTGGAAGAGGATAAAATGTGAGTATTAGAGGAAAGGAAGCTTCAGAGGCACCAGTCTCTGGGAAAGAAATGCTGGATTATGTCCTTTGTCTTCCAAAGGGATTGCCTACTCCAACCTATTGAGAGCCTATAGGGAATTGCCAGATAAGGCAGCAAAGCACACTAGTCGTCTTAGCACCAAGGTTTGCTTCTTCTTAGCAATTTTGTCTTTGGAATCTGAGCGGAACATTTGATGTTATAATATCCAAAATCTTTCTCACCTCTAAAATGGAAGAACTTAAAAGGGGAGGGTCTCAGCAACATGCTCTTCTTCCTTGAGCTTGCTCCTATGTTGACCTTCTGGGTCTGTGGAGCATGAGACCTTCATAGAATAGAATAGAATAATTATAAGATAAAATAATTATAAAAGAATTGGGTTGCTGTGAGTTTTCCGGGCTGTCTGGCCATATTCCAGAAGCATTCTCTCCTGACGTTTTGCCCACATCTATGGCAGGCATCCTCAGAGGTTGTGAGGTCTGTTGGAAACTTGGTAAGTGAAGTTTATATATCTGTGGAATGTCCAGGGTGGGAGAAAGAACTCTTGTCTGTTTGAGGCAAGTGTGAATGTTTCAATTGGCCACCGTGATTAGCATTTATTGGCCTTGAAGCTTCAAAGCCTGGCTGTTTCCTGCCTGGGAGAATCTTTTCTGTTAGTCTCAAACGCATCTGGTGGGGACGAGGGACAGGGCCTTCTCGGTGGTGACCCCCCACTTGTGGAATTTGCTCCCCAGCGAGATTAGATCGGCATCCTCCCTTCTTCCTTTTAGGAAAAAAACTAAAGATGTGGTTTTGGAGCCAGGCCTTTGGCTAGTGGGCACTGAACTCGGACAATAGGATTGTTATGAAAATTGGAAATTGCTATATGACTTGTGATTATGTGATTTGTTCTATGTGATTATGTAATTTTAATTAATATCACTGTTTAATTGTTATGTAATAGGATTTTATATTGTTGTTATTGATACTGTTGGCATTGAATTGTTGCCTATGTTAGCCGCCCTGAGTCCCCCCTCGGGGGTGAGAAGAGCGGGGTAGAAATGTTGTAAATAATAAATAAATAAATAAATAAATAAATAAATAAATAAATAAGATGGCCTTGATTATTTCATGTCAGGAATTCCCCTGTTTTTTAGTGTTCCTCTTTATTTACTGTCCTGATTTTAGAGTTTGGTAGCCAGATTTTGTTCATGGTTCACATGCTTGTGGATTTCAATGGTTTCTCTGTGTAGTTTGACATGGTGGTTCTTAGCGTGGTCCAGCATTTCTGAGTTCTCCAATAATATGATGTGTCCAGGTTGGTTCATCAGGTGCTCTGCTATGGCTGACTTCTCTGGTTGAAGTAGTCTGCAGTGCCTTTCATGTTCAGGACAGTCAATAATGAGGAACACTAAAAATATAGGGGAATTCCTGATATGAAATAATAATAATAATAATAATAATAATAATAATAATAATAATAATAATAATAATTGTCAAACGCTTTCATGGCTGGAATCACTAGGTTCTTGTGGGTTTTTTCGGGCTATAGGGCCATGTTCTAGAGGCATTTCTCCTGACGTTTCGCCTGCATCTATGACAAGCATCCTCAGAGGTAGTGAGGTCTGTTGGAATTAGTACAGTGGGTTTATATATCTGTGGAATGGCTGGGGTGGGGCAAAGAGCTCTTCTCTGCTGGAGCTAGGTGTGAATGTTTCAACTGACCACCCTCATTAGCATTTGAAGGCCTGGTTGAGCCTGGGAAAATCTTTTCTTGAGAGATGTTAAGATGTGCCTGATTGTTTCCTCTCTGCTGTTTTGCTGTTGTAATTTTAGAGTTTTTTTAACACTGGTAGCCAGATTTTGTTCATTTTCATGGTCTCCTCCTTTCTGTTGAAATTGTCCACATGCTTGTGTATTTCAGTGGCTTCTCTGTGTAGTCTGACATGGTGGTTGTTGGTGTGGTCCAGCATTTCTGTGTTTTCAAATAATCTGCTGTGTCCAGGCTGGTTCATCAGGTGCTCTGCTATGGCTGACTTCTCTGGTTGAAGTAGTCTGCAGTGCCTTTCATGTTCCTTGATTCGTGTTTGGGCAAAGATGCATTTGGTGGTCCCTATGTAGACTTGTCCATTACAACAGAAAATTACAACAGCAAAACAGCAGAGAGGAAACAACCAGGCAGATCTTAACACCTCTCAACAAAAGATTTTCCCAGGCTCAGCCAGGCCTTCAAATGCTAATGAGGGTGGTCAGTTGAAACATTCACACCTAGCTCCAGCAGAGAACAGCTCTTTGCCCCACCCCAGCCATTCCACAGATATATAAACCCATTGTCCTAATTCCAACAGACCTCACTACCTCTGAGGATGCTTGTCATAGATGCAGGCGAAACGTCAGGAGAAATGCCTTTAGAACATGGCCCTATAGCCCGAAAAAAACCCACAAGAACCTAATAATAATAAAAATAATAATCTTTATTTATACCCCGCTACCATCTCCCCAGGGGACTCGGTGCGACTTACATGAGGCCGAGCCCAGAATACAACAATACAAGCAATAACAACAATATAAGCAATTAAAATCAAACAAGACAGTAAAACAATAACATAGCATTAACAATAGGACAACACACTTTAAAATCTATGGGTAGGCCAAATGTAATTAAAATTTAAAAATAATGCTGGACATGGGCGAAAAAGTGATGGGGCGGTTTGTGGAAACATACAAGCAGACCTAAACAATATAAAGTGCTTTGGAGGACAAAGTGCTATGGGATCATTATTCTGGGAAGGCACACTGGAACAACCACGTCTTCAAGCTCCTCCTAAAGACTGCCAGAGTTGGGGCATGCCTGATGTCCTTATGAAGTGAGTTCCAGAGTCGAGGGGTCACCATCGAAAAGGCCCTCTCTATCATCCCCACCAATCGCACTTGTGATGCAGGTGGGAGCGCGAACAGGGCCTCTCCAGATGATCGAAGAGATCGTGTGGGTTCGTATACAGAGATGCGATCACGCAGGTAGGCAGGTCTCAAACCGTTCAGGGCTTTGTAGGTGAGAACCTGCACCTTGAATTGAAACAGTCAGGACCAGCTTACACCTCCCAACAAAAGATTCCTCCAGGCAGGAAGCAGCCAAGCTTTGAAGCTGCAAGGCCATTCAATGTTAATAATACAATATAATAATTATATATTTCATATTACATGTAATATTACTCATAATATTACAGCATAGTGGCATAGTACAATATTGGAATGTATGGTACTAATATTGTTCTATGCTAATAATATAATACATTGTATTTACATATAACTTGTAAGCTGCTTTGAATCCCCTTTGGGGTAAGAAGGGCAGCATATATGAACCATCAAGGTTGTTAAGATCTTCTGGAGGGGCCCTGCTCTCGGTCCCACCAGCTTCACAATTGCGTCTGGTGGGGACGAGGGACAGGGCCTTCTCGGTGGTGGCCCCTCGGCTCTGGAAATCTCTCCCACTGGAGACTAGAACTGCACCTTCTCTCCTGACTTTTAGAAAGCTGGTGAAAACTTGGCTCTGGAATTTAGCATTTGATGAGTGAGTCAATAACTCTTGACCACACAGACGGATGGTGATGAATTGTGATTTCATTTTGATGACTTGGCCTTATGTAATTATATGATTACATTTTAATGTATTTTATGTATTAGTGTATTATGGGGTGTGATGTTTTAAACTATTGTTTATGAATCTTTTGTTGTAAACCAGCCTGAGTCCCTCTTCGTTATAAATAAATAAATATAAAATAAATTAAAATAAAATAATCAAGGTGGCCACTTGCAACATTCACACTTGCCTCAAATATATGGCACAATGTTTCCTATTGCATTGTGGACTGCCTCTAAAATTGTATAAATATATGGCACAATATTTCCTATTGTATTCACATACCAAATGTAAAAAAAAAAAATCTTACCAAGCAAAATTCTATGCCTTCTGTTTTTCTGAAATCTTTCTTTGTCTTTTCTGGGAATTTCAATTTATACACAAACTTCCTTTTTCTCCACTGCTCTTCCTTTTCCTCCCTCCTTCTCTTTTTCTTTTCCTCTTTCCCCCTCTTCTTTCGTTCTCTTCCCCACTCTCTTTTCTAGGTATGTCTAATGCACCATCCCTGTGGTTTCTGACTGTCTTGGTCAGAGCTGCACTTTGACCTTCAAGGGTGGCATGTTTGGGGCTCTCTTACTCTGTTTGCTGTCTGTTGCTCCAGGATAGGAGAGATTCTGGCCTATGCTTTGAAGGCCTTTGTGGAGCTGATGGAGCACGATTTTGTGTCCTGGGAGACTCTCAGTCCAGCTTTCATCAAAAAGGTAAACACTCCCTTGGGATGCGGTTCTGAGTAGACCATACAGCATGCCTGGGCAAACTTGGGCCCTCCTTATGGTTTTTTTAATTATAATTTTTATTCTGAAGGAATACCAGTATTCTGTGGTCCAGCATTTCTGTGTTCTCAAATAATATGCTGTGTCCAGGTTGGTTCATCAGGTGCTCTGCTATGGCTGACTTCTCTGGTTGAAGTAGTCTGCAGTGCCTTTCATGTTCCTTGATTCGTGTTTGGGCAATGCTGCGTTTGGTGGTCCCTATGTAGACTTGTCCACAGCTGTAGACTTGTCCACACCAACAACCACCATGTCAGACTACTCAGAGAAGCCATTGAAATCCACAAGCATGTGGACAATTTCAACAGAAAGGAAGAGACCATGAAAATGAACAAAATCTGGCTACCAGTATTAAAAAACTCTAAAATTACAACAGCAAAAACAGCAGAGAGGAAACACACAAGGACATCTAATCACCTCCCAGCAAAGATTTTCCCAGGCTCAGCCAGGCCTTCAAATGCTAATGAAGGTGGTCAGTTGAAACATTCACACCTAGCTCCAGCAGAGAAGAGCTCTTTGCCCCACCCCAGCCATTCCACAGATATATAAAACCATTGTCCTAATTCCAACAGACCTCACTACCTCTGAGGATGCTTGCCATAGATGCAGGCGAAACGTCAGGAGAAAATGCCTCTAGAACATGGCCATATAGCCCGAAAAAACCCACAAGAACCTAGTGATTCCAGCCATGAAAGCCTTCGACAATACAATACATCAGTGGTTCTCAACCTGTGGGTCCCCAGATGTTTTGGCCTTCAACTCCCAGAAATCCCAACAGCTGGTAAACTGGCTGGGATTTCTGGGAGTTGTAGACCAAAACATCTGGGGACAGCTGCTTGGCAGATATCAGAGACTCCCTAATTTCTCTCACAACTCAGCTCAGAGAGTATCTCAGGGCTACTATCTCACAGCCTCAAACATAAACATACATCACAGCAATACAGTCTTGTGGCATCCATATTACAACTACATGAAATTACATTTAAAACACATTACATACTTTAACATATTCTTACAATGGGCGGTATAGAAATAAAGTTTTTATTATTATTATTATTATTATTATTATTATTTGTGCCTAATTTGGTCCATTGAATGAAAATACATCCTGCATATCAGATATTGACATTACAACTCAAAACAGTAGCAAAACGACAATGATGAAGTAGCAACGAAAATAATGTTATGGTTGGGGGTCACCACAACATGAGGAACTGTATTAAGGGGTCAGGGCATTAGGAAGGTTGAGAAACACTGCTATAGGATATCAGTGTCTTGAAGTAACTTTGGGCTATGGCTAGTTAGCAGCTAGGTCATGGCACGGTAGTGGGAAATGGTGGCGATGGTAGAGCGGCTCTGCCACACCAATCTCTCCAGGTTGATGCTGGGCAGTGGGAGGGAAGACCAAGTGGAGTGCAGCTCAGGGAATTGAGTTGCTCTCGCTGGTGGTCGGGTTTGTGTGTGGACCATAGGCGCTCTGATGGAATCAGGCCCTCAGTAGAATGCTAGTCAGCTGGGCAGTCGATGGAAAAGGCCGCCCCGGAGCAGTTAAAGATGGCGGGAGGGCCTCTCAGCCGCTGCTGAAGAGTGCTTGGTTGGTAGGCTGGCTCCCTCCCACTCAGCGGCTGGTGGAATGGCAATTAAAGATGGCGGGAGAGCCTCTCAATGGTTGTTGGAGAGTGCCTGGTTGGTAGGCTGTAACTTTGGGCAATGCTTTGATCCTTTCTCCCTTTGTTTGTGAATTTGCGTCCCTTAATACAGATTGTTGGCTATGTCAACGTGGTTCCAATGGATGCCTCCATCCAGCAGATTTCGCTGGCCATTTTGGAGAACATGGTGCCAACCAGCCATTCCCTCTTTGAACTGGTCAAGCAACAGGTGACCCTTGAGCGACTCATCTCCCTTCTGCAAGTGTAAGCACTCATCTGCAGTCCTCTTTCCAGATGTCATTTTTGCTTCTATTTCTATCCTTATCCTTACTATTATTATTATTTACGGCATTTATATGCCGCCCTTCTCACCCCGAAGGGAACTCAGAGCGGCTTACAATATATATTTTCATACGATATATTATATTATTAGCATAGTACAGTATCAGCATTATATATTACTGTATTGCACTATACCATTATATTGTAATATTATTAGTAATATTACATGTAATGTAAATATATAATTATAATATTGTATTATTGTTACTAGTATTATATTGTGTTACATTATAATATTATAAATAATATATGTGTATATGTCTTCGCTCTGGCCAGAGCAGCCGTTGGTGCCACAAGTGGGAGGGGTCTCTCAACTGATTAATTGCTTTAATTGATGTAGGAGTAAACAGTGTCCAAGTCTGCAGTATCTATGTGTATGTCTCAATAGGGTGGAGGAACCTGTGGCCTTCCAGGTATGGAATCCAGACATTCCATTCTAGACCGTCGTTCCCCTGCAATCTGTCAGTATTCTTTGGTGATCCAAGACACTTTCAGTCATCTTTGGGCTGTTATAGCTCCCTTTAAGGCCACTTCTACACAGCCATATAAAATCCTCACTGAACTGGGTTATATGGTAGTGCGGACTTAGATAATCCAGTCCAAAGCAGATAGTATGGATTATCTGCCTTGATATCCTGGGTTATATGGCTGTGGAAGGGCCCTAAGGGTGTTTGTCCCACTAGGTTTGGGGACTTCTCCATACCTTCCAGAAGACTGCTGATAACCATCTCTTTGGTGGCAATGGACTAAAGCAGCTGTAATGCTATCTGAACACTTTAAACCAGGGGTCCTCAAACTTTTTAAACCGGGGGCTAGTTCACTGTCCCTCAGACCGTTGGGGGGCCGGACTATAGGTTTTTTTTAAAAAAAAATCAATTAAAAAATTCCTATGTACATTGCACATATGTTACTTTGCTGTGTGGAAGGGCCCTTAGAGGGGGTTCTTTCGAGCCCTCTTTAGGCAGTAATTCCAGGAGCAGAGAATGGGAAATCTTCCTATTTCTAGTCTGAACAAAATCTGGCTACCAGTATTAAAAAAACTCTAAAATTATAACTGTAAATAAAGAACAACACTCAAACACAGGGGAACTCCAGACAAGAAACAATCAGGGCCAGCTAATCACCTCTCCCTAAAAACTGTCAGGCTATGAAATGGTAATCAAGGTGGCCAATTGAAACATTCATACCTACCTCCAACAGACAAGAGTTCTTTCTCCCACCCTGGATCTTCCACAATTTTTCTAGTTAAAGGTTTTCCTCTGACATGAAGTCCAGTCGTGTCTGACTCTGCGGTGTGGTGCTCATCTGCATTTCTAAGTCGAAGAGCCGGTGTTGTCTGTAGACATCTCCAAGGTCATGTGGCCGGCATGACTGCATGGAGCGCTGGGGCAGCCTCCCTGATGGGCAGCGTGAGCCTGCCAAGGGAGGAGCAACACCGCGCGGCCTACTTTTGCGATGGCCCGAAGGGCAGCATGAGCCTGCCAAGGGAGGAGCGGCACCGCGCAGCCTACTCGCGCGTAAAGCACCTCGCGAGGTGCTTTACGCGTGAGTAGGCCGTGTGGAGCAGCTGCCCTTGGCTGGCTCACGCTGCCCATCGGGCCTGACGGATAGCGTGAGCCAGCCAAGGGAGGGGCACTGTGTGGGGGGGGGCGCTCCTCCTCCACGGGCCGGATAAGTGCCCTTGGCGGGCTGGAAGTGGCCCGCGGGCCATAGTTTGGGGACCCCTACTTTAAACCAAGGAAATGACAATTGGCCTTGCAAACTTTGGCTTTGACTCTCAGAATCCTGACTGAAGGGCAGAAGTGAGGCAACCCAACCTTTCTGATCATAATATGCTTCCCTGCTTTTTTCTTTCTTTATAGAATGAACCAGCAGCTGCAACTAAAAGCGATGGCTCTTCTTATCGCTCTGCTTCTTAATGCCAGCGAGTCAGAAAGGAGGGTAAGGGGGATCTTTCGGTCCCATGCATTTGACTCACTCCAGGAGGGGAGGAAGAGATCCCTGGCCAAGGATCTCAGAGAACGGGATTGGGGATCATCCCGTCGTCTAGATCAGGGCTTCTTACAATTTTTCCACTTGTGACCCCTTTTCACCTGTGAAATTTTTATGTCACCTCAGGTACATAGGTATATAAAATAGCTATTAAAAACATTTACTGATAACAAACCAGCATTTGTAAATCTTGCTAAACAGGCCGATTTCTCTTCTTATGTAGAACAGTGGTAGCATTTTCTACAGAGTCAACTGTAAATGCTGCATATTGTTGCTAACAGATTTGTATAAATGGGTGGTGTTCAGAAACGTTTCCAATTTTTGTGTGACTCCAATGTTGAACTAAGGCAGTGTTTCACAACCTGGGACCCCGGGAGGGTCACGATACGATGTCAGAGGGGTCACCAAAGACCATCACAGAACATAGTATTTTATGTTGGTTATGGGGTTCTGTGTGGAAAGTTTGGCCCAATTCTAACGTTGGTGGGGTTCAGAATGCTCTTTGATTGTAGATGAACTATAAATCCCAGCAACTACAACTCCCAAATGATGAAATCAGTCTGCACCCCCAACCCCACTCGTATTCAAATGTGGGCATATCAGTGTGATGAAGTGTGAATTTTAATCTACAGTTATATGTAGAATAATAGATAGGTGTTTAGAGAGGTAAGTATTTAAACTAGCATAATTGGGGGGATGGTAGCCAGCTTAGCTCACTCTGAGCTCGGTTGTCATGAAAAAGGGGCGGAGCCAACTGCCACTTGGCAGCGTAGCCATTTTAAAGTAGTTAGTCTGTAGTCAGCGAACTACAGGGAAGGCTGGTTCTGTTGTGTGTTGAGAACCAGTAAGGTAGTCTGTAGTCTAAGAACTACAGGGAAAGGCTGATTCTACCGTGTTGAGAATCAGAAAGGTTTTGGCTTTTAGCCTGTGTAGCTTAGATAGGTCAAGTTGACTTATTTATATTATTAGTCAGTGTATGAGGAAAAGTGGGAGAGAACCCTAATAAGAATCTTTACTGCAACAGAAATAACATAAGGAAAGAATAAGCTTGTACCTGAAATAATCTGTTAAAGAAAGAAACACATTTTAAAGGAAAATAAGTTTAAAACCTGTTTAATGGAAGGAACAGTGCTCTCAAGAGTTGTGTTATGAAATGTTATGAATGTAACCTCTGAAGATATGTGCCTCTGAGAGATAAGAAACATTGAAACCATCAAGCTTCTTCTATACTTCAATAAACTTGTTACAGTTTCTTCTAAAGCCAAGTCTCTGTTACAAATACTTTCAAATTAAGCTACGCTACACATTTAAGAAAGGCTAAATCAACATTACAAGCTGTTAGTTGTGTTATCAATTTAATAAGTGGTGGCTTCTTTACAAACTTTTACAAATTGGTGGTATCGTTGCAAACTGGGTGCTATCTCGGTGGCCTCTTTGCACGGGTATTTGTGCCAAATTTGGTCCAGTGAATGAAAATACATCCTGCATATCGGATATTGACATTACAATTCATAACAGTAGCAAAATTACAGTTATGAAGTAGCAACAAAAGTAATGTCACCACAACATGAGGAACTGTATTAAGGGGTCGCAGCATTAGAAAGGTTGAGAAACACTGAGCTAAGGGGACCCCATTTGGGGCCAGGGACCATAGTTTAGGAAGCAGTTGTCTACATGGACTGCAAGCCCCATCAGCCCCTGTCCAGCGCCGTCGGTTGGGACGAATGCTTTGCATTGCAGTCCAGCAGCATCTGGATGGTTGCACAAGACCGAGACTGATGATGATAATTTATTTGTAGGCCTATCTCCCCTAAGGGACTCCGGAAAGGGCCTGAGGCCAGGTCCGTAGCCAGGATTTTGATTCAGGGGGTGCTGAGTTTGATTCGGGGGGGGCTGAGGATCTACCCTAGCAAATCTTTTGTATCGTTATCCCGATACCCTATGCATATGGGATATATTGAGCATGGTGATCAGATCATGATATGAATAAACATAACAGTTTAAATAATGTACCAGTAAGGCCTTCTCGCGGACCACCCTGAGAATTTCGGGGGGGGGCCTGAAGCCCCTCAAGCCCCCCCCCCCGGCTACATGCCTGCCTGAGGCTGTTAAGAAATGTAGGAGTTGAAGTCCAAAACACCTGGAGGACCAAAGTTTGCCTGTGCCTGAATTAGAGAATTATGCCAAAACTAACAAAATGAATGTCAACACAGACAAATACCTCCGCAGAAAAAGTGAGATACATAGATACACAATGGGTGAAGCCTGGCTTGACAACATTTCCATGTAAAAGCAACCTTGGAGTCTTAGAGCACAAGTTGAACATGAGCCAACAATGTCATGCAACTTCTCAAGAAGCCAATGGAGTTTTGGGCTGCATCCAAAAGAGTCTAGTGTCAAGATAGAGAGAAGTCATGTTGCCTCTTTATTCTGCTTTGGTCAGACCTCACTTGGAGTCACACTGTGTCCAATTCTGGGCACCACAATTCAACAGAGATATTTCCTTACTGTAAGAGCTGTTCAACAATAGAACTCTCTGCCTCGTAGTGTGGTGGAAGCTCCTTCCTTGGAGGCTTTTAAACAGGGGCTGGGTGGCCATCTGTCAAGGGGGCTTTGATTGTGCTTTTCCTGCCTTTCAGAAGGAGATTGGATTGGATGATCCATGTGGTCTCTTCCAACTCCTATTATGCTATTCTATTATGCTATGAATCAACTCCTATTATGCTATGGGCATCGAATTTGTGCCGCTTTGGGCTGAGAATGGCGGTATAGAAGCATAGTAAATAAATAAATTAATTCTGTAATTCTATGATTGGACCCATCTCATTGCCCCCTTTCAATTTCTAGGACATGATGGAGTATCTAGGGGAGAAGAACCTCAGGCAGTTTATCCACAAGGTGGGCATGAAGGTGGCATCGGGGGTGGGGGTGAGGGTCCTTGGCATGCATGTTTTGTCCCAGTGTCTTTATTACCTAATCCTGGGCCTTTGCTTCTAATGCTGTGAGTGGCTCCTCTAGCCTCAGTGTATCCTTCCATGACAAGGTGGAATGTGTCCAGAGGAGGGCGACTAAAATTATCAAGGGTCTGGAGAACAAGCCCTATAAGGAGCGGCTTAAAGAGCTGGGCATGTTTGGCCTGAAGAAGAGAAGGCTGAGAGGAGATATGATAGCCATGTATAAATATGTGAGAGGAAGCCAGAGGGAGGAGGGAGCAAGCTTGTTTTCTGCTTCCCTGGAGACTAGGATGCGGAACAATGGCTTCAAACTACAAGAAAGGAGATTCCATCTGAACATGAGGAAGAACTTCCTGACTGTGAGAGCCGTTCAGCAGTGGAACTCTCTGCCCTGAAGTGTGGTGGAGGCTCCTTCTTTGGAAGCTTTTAAACAGAGGTTGGATGGCTATCTGTCAGGGATGCTTTGAATGCAATATTCCTGCTTCTTGGCAGGCGGTTGGACTGGATGGCCCATGAGGTCCCTTCCAACTCTATGATTCTATGAGCCTTCCCACTGGAGCAGTACCTATTGATCTACTCACATTTGCATACTTTCAAAGTTCTAGATTGGCAAAAGCAGGGGCTAACAGTGGGAGCTTTCCCCGATCCCCTGATTCAAACCACCACCTATTTGGTCAGCAAGTTCAGCAGCTCAGTAGTTTAACCCGCTGTGCTGGGGGGGGCAGTTACTTTTTGGGGAGACTAAAACTTCCTGAATTCCCCATCCACATAGCAACTAGACAACATGCAACAGGGAGGGATATTCTGGATGCTATTATCTTTAAAAAGTCAATTTTCTAAGCTGTGAAATGTGTGCTTCTAGAACATTGTCCATGCCTCAGAGCCGATTGGAGATGAGATGGCCCATTATCTCTATGTGCTGCAATCCCTCACATTGACCTTATTGGAGTGCAGGATGAGGACCCCAATGGATCCCTACTCACTGGTGAGTTTCCCCTTGACTCACTTTTCAATAGTTTTGTTACCTCTTAGCTCCATTTCCTTTTCCTTTTTATAAATGTATACAATGTGTAGGGTGGTTGTGTGTATGGACTAAGTTTTCCAGCTAGCCACATGCATTTTGACTAAATCTATATGTCGGTTTGTTTGCACAGGAACAAAGGGAACTGCTTCATTCCTTGCGCCACGCAGCCTTTGTGTCTGAGAATGAATCTTCACCTGGCAACTCAAACTCTGAACGCCGCCACTCCCTTTGCTCCAAGGAGTTCCGCAAGCTAGGCTTTATGGTGAGCTTTATACGGATTGCAATGTGCCTTGAGAAAACAGAGCAGCAAGTTCAGCTGATAAGGGATGCTGGAGTCTTAGCATCTCAGCTGGATCTACACTGAACCCTTAGTAATAATAATAATAATTTACAAAGTGTCTGGGTTAGTACTGTGAGTAGGTTGAAGAAGACTGATGTTGAGGGCAGAGAAGAGGTAAGTTACTTCAGTGGGTAGCCTTCATGGTACATAAAGACACATGAGGTATAATAATAATATTTATTTGTCGTGTCAGAGCAACCAGTCCATTATATTATATTTCTAACAGAACAAAGCAAACAGACAAATACACAACTTGTGAGTTTGGTAGTTGGTTAAATGTCCTTTGACCAGTATCTGGCCACTTGGAGTGCTTCTAGTGTTCTGCAAGAAGGTCCTCCATTGTGCATGTGGCAGGGCTCAGGGTGCATTGCAGCAGGTGGTCAGTGGTTTGCTCTTCTCACTCACATGTCGAGGATTCCACTTTGTAGCCCCATTTCTGAAGGTTGGCTCTGCATCTCGTGGTGCCAGAGCACAGTCTGTTCAGTGCCTTCCAAGTCGCCCAGTCTTCTGTGTGCCCAGGGGGGAGTCTCTCATTTGGTATCAGCCATTGGTTGAGGTGCTGGGTTTGAGCCTGCCACTTTTGGACTCTCGCTTGCTGAGGCGTTCCAGCAAGTGTCTCTGTAGATCTTAGAAAACTATTTCTAGATTTAAGTCGTTGACGTGCTGGCTGATACCCAAACAGGGGATGAGCTGGAGATGTCTCTGCCTTAGTTCTTTCACTATTGGCTGCTACTTCCCGGTGGATGTGTAATTTCTCCAGTGGTGTAGGGCGCAGACACCCCGTGATAATGCGGCATGTCTCATTAAGAGCCACATCCACTGTTTTAGTGTGGTGAGATGTGTTCCACACTGGGCATGCATACTCAGCAACAGAGTAGCACAGCGCAAGGGCAGATGTCTTCACTGTATCTGGTTGTGATCCCCAGGTTGTGCCAGTCAGCTTTCGTATGATATTGTTACTGGCACCCACTTTTTGCTTGATGTTCAGGCAGTGCTTCTTGTAGGTAAGAACACAGTCCAGAGTGACTCCCAGGTATTTGGGTGCGCTGCAATGCTCCAGTGGGATTCCTTCCCAGGTGATCCCAACTTGTATGTGGTTGCTTCTGTATTGAGAATAATAATAATAATAATAATAATAATAATAATAATAATAATAATAATACTACGAGGGGTATTTTTTAAGTAAGGTCCGTTTGAACATAAGTACACAACAAAAGTTTATTTCAAAAAAGTAAATTTATTTTCAGAAAGTACATACTTCACTCTATTTTTCGACATAGTTGCCAAGTTTGTTCAAACACTTATCATACCTCTGAACCAATTTTAAAATACCCTCTTCATAAAAACTTGCCGCCTGCTCCGATAACCAAATCGTCTGTAATCAAAGAAGGGCGACCGGAGCGGTCCTCATCATGGACGTTGTCACGGCCATCTTTGAATTGTCGTACCCACTTACGCACTTAACTTTCACTCATAAAAGTATCACCGTACACTTCACAAATCTGTCAATGAATTTCTGCAGCAGGCAGGTTCCTTGCTGACAAAAACCGTATCACTGAGCGAACCTCACATGCGGAGGGTGAGTTGATAGTCTTAAACATTTTTAAAGCACAGAACAGAACCGTACAAGTTAGCTACAGAGTGAAAACTGAGCACAGTTGTTCCTGAGGCATACCGGTACACGACGCACGTGCTCGTTGCGGGATGCACGCGAACTACTAGTGTCTACAACAAAACGGACCTTAATTAAAAAATACTCGTAATTATTATTATTATTATTATTATTATTATTATTATTATTATTATTATTCAGACAGACAGAGTTTTGGAGCACAATACTCCCGACCTCACGATCGTGTTAAAAAACAAAATATGACTTTCCTACAAAGTATGGATTGTTGATGTTGCAATCCCAGGTGACAGCAGGATTGAAGAGAAACAACTGGAAAAGATGACACGATATGAGGATTTAAAGATTGAACTGCAAAGACTCTGGCACAAGCTAGTAAAGGTGGTCCCAGTGGTGATCGGCACACTGGGTACAGTGCCGAAAGACCTTGGCCTGCACTTAAACACAATAGGCGCTGACAAAATTACCATCTGCCAGCTGCAAAAGGCCACCTTACTGGGATCTGCACACATTATTCGCTGATACATCACACAGTCTTAGACACTTGAGATGTGTATGACATGTGATCCAAAACAACACGCAGCAGAATGCCTGCTGTGGATTCATCTTGTGATGTTAATAATACTTACTTAGGCGATCCTTTGTTGGACGAGTAAGATGGTCTTCCATGATGGGTTTCCTTGTGGATTCGTAGGTGGCTGTGGAGCCCTATTCTTGACCCGCATCTTCTCCCACAGTGAAGGCATTGGTTTCCAGGTGGGAGGCGGTCCCAGTTGGGGTTGGCTTGACGCGCCTTCCTCCTGGCACGTTTCTCTCTTTCACCCTCCACTCGTGCCTCCCCGAATTCTGCAGCACTGCTAGTCACAACTGACCTCCACCTGGAGCACTCAAGGGCCAGGGCTTCCCAGTTCTCAGTGTCTATGCCAGAGATTTTAAGGTTGCCTTTGAGGTCCTGCCTCTTTTCCCCCTTTCCTTCCTCTTCCTTCTCCTCCTCCTTATCTTGCCTTTTTCACTTATTGGGAATGGAGAGAGAGTTGAGGAGTGCTCCTTTAATTGAAGGAGACATACTGAAAGAAAAGGGATTTTATTTATTTATCGTGTCGGGGCAACCAGACAGTTGCATTACATTTCTAACAGAAGAAAACAAACAAACAGACAAAACACAAAGTTTGCAAGCTTGGTAGTTGATTAAATGTCCTTTGACCAGTATCTGGCCACATGGAGTGCCTCTGGTGTTGCCGCAAGAAGGTCCTCCATTGTGCATGTAGCAGGGCTCAGGTTGCATTGCAGCAGGTGGTCAGTGGTTTGCTCTTCTCCACACTCGCATGTGTGGAGCTACTCACTTTGTAGCCCCATTTCTTAAGATTGGCTCTGCATCTCGTGGTGCCAGAGCGCAGAGCAGAAAAGGGATAAGAGTGTTGGATTAGATAGAATGGTAGATAAACAAAGGTCGGATAAGCGAGACTCTACTGTACCTCCCTGCTTAATGTGGAGAGGAGATTCCATCTGAACATGAAGAAGAACTTCCTGACTGTGAGAGCCGTTCAGCAGTGGAACTCTCTGCCCCGGAGTGTGGTGGAGGCTCCTTCTTTGGAAGCTTTTAAACAGGGGCTGGATGGCCATCTGTTAGGGGTGATTTGAATGCAATATTCCTGCTTCTTGGCAGAATGGGGTTGGACTGCATGGCCCATGAGGTTTCTTCCAACTCTTTGATTCTATGATTCTATGATTCTGTGATTCTATGATCTATTTATCTACTCACATTGTTGTTTTCAATCTGCTAGGTGAGCAAAAGTTTGGGCTGACGGCAGGAGTTCACCCTGATCTAGGCTTGAATTGCCAACCTTTTGATTGGCCAGATTTTCTGCAGCTTAGTGGTTTAACCTGCTAAGCCTGGCACTGATCTACATTTGCTCTTTAGTATTTCCTGTGTATATCTACAATTTTAAGGACTAGGAGCATTTCTTTCTAAAACAAACAAAATGCTCTTTTCAGGATTCTCTGTCATTTGTCAAGATATGCAGGCAGAAGTACATTAATTTTTTGTCCCTCAATGGGCTCAGCTAATGTTTCCAGATGCATTCTGTGATGTTGCTTTGAGGGGTTTTCTGCCCTTTGTTGTTTTGCTTCCTTTTTTGTTCTAAGCCCCAAAGACATAAAGATGCTTTTATCTTTTCCTTTCAGAATAATAGTAATCCTGCAATGGATCTTCACCGGATTCCTCCTGGACTGCTCGCCTTAGACTGCATGGTCTATTTTTCCAGACACTTCCCCAGTGCCTACAGCAGGGTAACTCAAAGACCTGTCTATATTCTTGTGAGGATGTATGTTCCCGTTTCCCACTTATTACAATCTGAGTTTATGCTTTGACAATCAGTTTCTTCCCATTAGCAAATCAGATTGTAATATTAACGTGCTGGAATTGTTATTTCTGCTTGCCATTTAAAAGGAATAGTCTACACTTGACAGAATTAATATTGTGACTGTTCATTTCCAACCATGGAAATGAACAAAATCTGGCTACCAGTATTAAAAAAAGTCTATAATTACAACAGCAAAATAGCAGAAGGGAAACAATCAGGGACATGTAATCACCTCTCAACAAAAGATTGCCCCAGGCACTACCAGGCCATCAAATGCTAATCAAGGTGATCAGCTGAAACATTCACACCTAGCTCCAACAGACAAAAGTTCTTTGTCCCACCCTGTTCATTCCACAGATATATAAACCCATTTTCCTCAGTACCTCTGAGGATGCTTGCCATAGATGCAGGTGAAACGTCAGGAGAAAATGCCTCTAGAACATGGCCATATAGCCCGGAAAAAACCTACAACAACCCAGTGATTCCAACCATGACGTTGGGGCTAATTCAAGCCTATATTCCTAACATTGTTGTATTTGTGCATACCAGTGAACGCATTCTCCAATTTTGGATTATTATGTAGCCAAAATGACAACATCCAAGTACATTTCTCTCTGAGAAATGTTAGAGAATGTGAAACTAGTCCGAAGGCTTTCAATATGTAAGAGACAACAACAAGAATATTTTATTTGTACCCCAAGGGGCTCTAACAAAGTACTCCAAAGTGCTGCACATAAAAGTAAATTTATTTTATTTAGAAATTTTATATACCTGTCTTCTCACCTCCGAGGAGGGACTCAGGCCGGTTCACAACATGTGTTCATATACAGTAATATACAAAATAGCACAATGCATCATCATTATATATTAAAATATAAGTACAATAAAAACATCATCATCACATTACACGAGCCAAGTCATCAATACAGTCACAATTCATCGCCATCCTTCCATGTGGACAAGGGTTATTGACTCAATCTTCAAATGCCATCTTCCAAAGCCAGGTTTTTATTAGTTTTCTAAAGGTCAGGAGGGAGGGAGCAGATCTAATCTCTGGTGGGAGGGAATTCCAAAGCCGAGGAGCCACCACCGAGAAGGCCCTGTCCCTCGTTCCCACCAAACGCGATTGCGAAGGTGATGGGACCGAGAGTAGGGCCCCTCCGGAAGATCTTAGTAACCTTGATGGTTCATAGGGGAGAATCCGTTCGTACAGGTAAACTGGGCCGGAGTTGTTTAGGGCTTTATAGGTCAAGACCAGCACTTTGAATTGGGCTCGGAAGCGAATCGGCAGCCAGTGGAGCTGGCGTAACAGAGGGGTCGTATGGTCTCTGTACCCCGCTCCTGTTAGCAATCTGGCTGCCGCTCATTGGACTAATTGAAGCTTCCGGGCAGTCTTCAGAGGCAACCCCACGTAGAGAGTGTTGCAGTAGTCTAAACGGGATGTAACCAGAGCGTGGACCACCGTGGCCAAGTAAAACAATTACATAGACATAAAAGCAACAAAAACATGAGCACACATTCATAAAATATTACATAATGAAATTAAAATTTTAAATTAGCACAGCAGGTTAATCACAAGCTGTAGCTGCAGTAAATCTTGCCAAAAGGTTGACAGTTCAAAGTCGGGTCAGGGTGAGCTCCTGACCTTCAACCCAGCTCCCCCGCCCTTCTATCGGATGGAAAACAGCAGTGTGAGTAGATGACTAGGAACAGCACTAAACAGGGCGGCGTTTTAGGGAAGTCGTCAGTCTAACCCTGAGACAAGACTGGACAATTTATTTTTATTAATTTATTAATCAATTTTAGGCTCGGAGCGGTTTACAGTATATATATGCAATACATTACATTTAAAATCAAAGAAAATTTCAGTCAGCAAGATTCAAATGCCAGCCTAAATAAATAAGTTTTACAAGCTCTATGAAAAGATAGTAAGTCTCAGAGAGCTCGTGTTTCCACTGGCAAGGTAACCTGTTCTCAAACATGTTGTTTCAAGCAGTTGCTGTTGTGACGCATCATGGTTGGGTCATTTTCTGAGGCTTCTGGTGGCCGGAGAAGGCACTAACGTTGATTTCTCTCTCTCAGTTCATTCTTGAGAATAGCAGCCGAGAAGATAAACACGAGTGTCCATTTGCCCGGAGTAGCATCCAGCTTGCCTTCACACTCTGTGAGATCCTTCATGTGGGAGAGCCTTGTAAGTGTTTTCTGTTTCTCTGCAACCCATAATGCTTTGGTTTCGCAAACTCAGCATTGTTGCTCACCGTGCACTATTGAGTCCTTTTATGAGCAGAAGCCATGCTCTGTAGAGTAAGGCCCCAACTACACTGCCATATCCAGTTTTTGATGCCAGATTATCTGCTTTGTGTTGGGATTCAACTCCACACTGCCCAAGTTTCAAGTCCTCAATGAGGAACAGTTTGGTTAGCTTAGGGCTTGAGGCTGTTAGAAATTGTGGGAGTTGAAGTCCAAAGGAGCTCCAATGGCTGCCGTTCATTTTCCGGTCCCAATTCAAGGTGCAGGTTCTTACCTACAAAGCCCTGAACAGTTTGGGACCCGCCTACCTGCGTGACCGCATTTCTGTGTACGAACCCACACAATCCCTTCGATCATTTGGAGAGGCCCTGCTTGAGCTCCCACCTTCTTCGCAGGCGTGATTGGTGGGGACGAGGGAGAGGGCCTTCTCGGTGGTGGCCCCCTGACTCTGGAACTCACTTCCCAAGGACATTAGACATGCCCCAACGTTGGCAGTCTTTAGGAGGAGCCTGAAAACATGGTTGTTCCAGTGTGCCTTCCCAGAATAAGGAGAACTCTCAGCAATATGTCCTCACAATGCACTTTAGTACTGACTTAGGATAGACTGTGCTCTCTCATTTCTCTCTGAAAAATCCTATCCTAGTTATATTTTAGCTTGTTCACATCAGCATATTTTCAATTTTAATCTATTACATTTGGCCCGGCCATTTTTAAAATTGTTTATGTCACTATTGATTGTTTTTTGTTTATGTGATTTATATGATTTGTATTTTATTGATTGTTTATTGATGTTGTGTTTATTGATGTTTTGTTTGATGTACTTTCGGCTTGGCCTCGCCAAGTCTCTTGGGGAGATGGTAGTGGGATACAAACGACATCGCTCCTAGACGCCCTCTCCGACCCCACCGAAATCAGTCTCCTTGGTTTACTGAGGAACTTCGACTGATGAAGCGGGAAAAGAGACGGCTAGAGGGCGTGTGGCGAGAACTCCGTGACGGAGCATCGAGATCAACTTATGAGGCATTTAGGGAGTCCTATGAGCATGCTATCACCGAGGCAAAGCAAGTATATTATGCTTCTTTGATAGCGTCTGCTAGCTCACGCCCCGCAAAATTGTTCAAGATAATTCGATCTCTAACAACGGTCCCTACCGTCCCAAAAAGCGGTGATCAGGCCCCTTCAGCCGCGGTTTTTCAGAGCTATTTTGCAGACAAGATCTCGCTACTTCGCCGGGACCTCCCCGCCACAATTGATACAGTGAGAGAACTTGAGACTCCGTGGCCACTTGCTGGGCCCGTCCTCGACCGGTTCATCCCGCTGGACACAGGGGCTGTCGATAGGCTCATAGCTGCAGCTAGACTGACCACTTGCTCCCTTGATCCGTGTCCCTCTTGGTTGGTGAAATCCTGCTTGGAGGGATTACGTGACCCTCTGTTGAAGATCATAACCAGCTCCCTTGAGTTTTTCCAAAGGGTTTAAAAGAGGCGGTGGTCTCTCCCCTGCTGAAGAAACCAGATTTAGATTCTTCGGTTCCCTCCAGTTACCGCCCAGTTTTGAATCTCTCGTTCCTGGGCAAGGTGATTGAGAGGGCAGCAGCGGAGCAATTGCAGCAATTCCTAGATGACACAGCCGGACTAGATTCCTTCCAGTCCAGCTTCCGTGCAGGGCATGGGACAGAGACTGTTCTGGTCTCCATCACGGATCACCTTCAATGCCAGCTTGACCAGGGCGGATCAGCGCTGCTTGTGTTATTGGATCTCACAGCAGCATTTGACACAGTCGACCACAATCTTTTGACCCACCACCTTGCTGTTGCTGGAGACAGGGGGACAGCTTTAAATTGGCTGTCCTCCTTTTTTCACAACCGTGGACAGCGAGTGGAGAGGGGAGGCCTGGTCTCTGAGAGGTCCCCTCAATCTTGTGGGGTTCCTCATGTTTAACATCTATATGCGACCACTTGCTCAGCTGGTTCGAAGTTTTGGGCTTGAGTGTTACCAGTACGCTGATGACACTCAGCTTGTGCTGAAGATGGAAGGCCGACCGGACTCTGTACCCAATTGTTTCCATCAGTGCCTCGAGGCCGTTACTGGATGGCTGCGTGCCAGCAGGTTGAGGGTGAATCCAGCAAAGACGGAGATCCTATGGCTGGGTTGACCAGGCAGTGCGGATATCCAGCTGCCTACCCTGGATGGCGAGGCGCTACGCCCGTCATCATTAGTAAAGAGTCTGGGAGTCCTTTTGGACCCTCTGCTGACGATGGAGGCCCAGGTGTCCGCCGTTAGCAGAACCGCCTTTTTTCATCTGCGGTAGGCTAGACGGCTGGCCCCCTCCCCAGGGACGACCTAGCTACGGTGATCCAGGCTATGGTCATCTCAAGACTGGACTACTGTAATGCCCTCTACATTGGCCTTCCTCTGTCGGTGATCCGGAAGCTCAAGTTGGTACAAAATGCAGCTGCTCGGCTTCTTGCGGGAATTCCGATGAGATGCCACATAACACCAATCTTACTACAGCTGCATTGGTTACCAATTGAGCACCGGATCACTTTCAAAGTGATGGTACTCACCTTTAAGGCCTTGCATGGTCTGGGGCCGATGTACCTGAGGGACCGCCTCACCCCCTACCAACCCCAGAGATCCCTCCGTTCTGAGGACCAAGATCTATTGGAAATTCCCAGTGTCAAGACCTTGCGTCTAACAGCAACCAGACACAGAGCCTTTACAGCAGTGGCACCATCACTCTGGAATACTCTGCCACCTGAAGTCCGAGCCTTGCGGGACTTATCAGCTTTCCGCAGGGCATGTAAGACATATCTGTTTTGACGGGCTTTTGATCTCTGATATTGCTGTTTTTAAATTGTTTTTAAGTTGTGTTCGATTTTAGCCTGTTCTTGTAACCCGCTCCGAGCCCCAGGGGAGTGGCGGCATATAAGTTCGAATAATAAATAAATGAATTATTATTATTATTATTATTATTATTATTATTATTATTATTATTATTATAATAAAACACCTGGAGGTCCAAAGTTTGCCCATGCCTGATTTAAAGCCTAGGATTCTGCAGGAGGCAGCCACAGGATTTCATATGGGTTTTATAAGCTGTGGAGGCTAGAAAAATATTTCCTCTGACTGCCAGGAAGTTAAGATTCAAATACACGGTTCACTACAATGGAACCATCTCATATTCTCAGCTTTAGTCATGAAAACCTCAAGTGTCTGATTTTCTAAATACTATGGGGTTTATTGAAGAGCAGAGTCATCTGGGATGTTTGCTTTACTTTTATACTTGGAAGCGTAGAAATGAATTGCGGAGGAAGAAGAAAGAAAAGGCACGTCATGTTCAGGCGTCATGTTGCTCTTTTACTACAGGTTCTGAGACCGCCCAGGCCTTCTACCCCATGTTCTTTGGACAAGAACATTTTTTTGAGGAACTGTTCTGCATCTGCATCCAGCTGTTAAACAAGACCTGGAAGGAGATGCGTGCTACACAGGAGGATTTTGACAAGGTGAGGCCCATCCATTAATGTCAGTATGTTTTTTTTTAAAGTGGAGATTGTTATTTTGTCTTATATCTGTAAAGCTGTCAGATATGGTTGTTATAACTGATGTTTTACTGGCCTCCTTAGATTTCACTGGCCAATACGAATTTTGGTGCCTCAGATGTTTTCCCTGTTTTGAGGTATATTTCACCTGCTGATTCCAAAAATAAAGAAGTGATTCCATCACTTTTCCTCTACTTACAGGGGGAAAGTGCAGACCTGGCCCCCCTTAACTACAGGTTTTAGAGGGCTAAAGTTTGACACAACATAGTCCTGGGGTAAAGCAAGAATGAGGCATGCAGTTACAGAGCCTCGCTTCTCTGGGTTGGCTTTCAAAGATGATGAGGAGATGCTGGTGGATAACTCAGCAGTCAAGCTGAAGCCCAGCAAGACCAGCAGCTCTCCCATCCAAGTAGAACCCATAGAAGGAACTACTACTTCTCAGCCTGCAAAGCAAGTGCAAGCGAGTTCCTTTGAGCCAGCTGAGGTAGACCACCACACAACACAAGAGTCCAGGAATATAAGCAAATAGTTTATTGTAAAAACATATAAAAAGCATATGAAAAATCAGGAATACACAGAAAATAGGTTTAGAAACAGGTGATAACCAGGCAATAATGCAAATGTCTCATAAAGTTCCAGAGGTGACAAAGTCCAAGAACAGCCAGAAATCACAGATACAGCATAAATCCACAATCCAGAAGGTATAACTAGTAAAACTTGAACAGGAGTACATGAACAGGAACATAAAAAACTTCCAGGATATATTAAATCCAAAATCAAAGCTTGACTTGAGCCAGGAACAAGAGAACTCAGGCTTAGAACTGACCTTATGGTAAACAACTTTTTGTCTAATAGACATCCATGAAATCATTCCGTTTCCTGTGAATTTCCTTTGCAACTTTCCCACATAATCTCTCTGAATAATGCAATTTATTTTTGGCTCGGATTTATAAGCAAAAACTTTGGTTGATCTCCGTAGTTACAGGTGGATTCTCATGGGAACTCTCTTTATCACTCAGCTCTTCACTTGATTCCTTATCTGTCGTTGCTACTTCTGACTCTGCTGAATTGCCCTCACACGACAAATAAAAACTCCGCTGAATGCTCTTGAGGCCCTGCATTTTCTGAGACAGTTTTCTCACAGAAAGAAGAATTATTTCCCAGACTTATGTTTTCCAGACATGAGAGCCCATCACTTTATGCCACAGGAAAGCTCACAATCATCTCTAAATCATCAGTTAAACCATCAGCCTCTGGTTGATCTAGAACAGAACCTCGGAATCTTGCTATCTTGTATTCCTGAATTCCGGATTTTGGCTTATGGATCTTGATATAACCTTGTACTTTGGACTCTCTGATATTTGGCTTATAACCTTGGAATGGATACTCGCCTTCTCTGTTGTGTTTTCCTGCTATTGTTTGCTTCTTGGTTGGACTATTGGCTTGACCTCAGACTGTTCCTTAATGCTTTGTTGGTATTTTGGGGACTCCCAGCGGAGTGGAAATAATCTATCGGACAGATGGCAAGCTGTTTAACCTCAACAGACTGAAAGCCAAAACAAAGGTTACAACAACATCTGTTATAGAACTCCAGTATGCTGATGACAATGTCGTCTGTGAACATTCAGAAGAAGATCTACAAGCCACTCTCAACACTTTCATAGAAGCATACGAGAAGCTCGGCCTGTCATTGAACATCGAGAAAACCAAAGTGCTGTTCCAGCAGTCACCAGCCAACCCCTCTCCAATGCCAGAGATAAAGCTTAATGGTGTAACATTAGAAAATGTGGACCATTTCCGCTCCCTTGGCAACCACCTCTCCACCAAAGTCAACATCGACACAAAATACAACACCGCCCTGAGCTCTGTGAGCGCAGCATTTTTCCAAATGAAGCAGAGAGTGTTTGAGGACCGGGACATCCGTAGGTAGACCAAGGTGCTTGTTTATAAAGCTATTGTCTTCCCAACCCTGCTATATGCCTGTGAGATGTGGACTGTCTACAGATATCACATGCAACTCCTGGAACGATTCCATCAGCGCTGCCTCCGGAAAATCCTGCAGATCTCTTGGGAAGACAAGTGGACAAACGTCAGCGTGCTGGAAGAAGCAAAGACCATCAGCATCGAAGCAATGGTCCTCTGCCATCAACTCCGCTGGACCGGCCACGTTGTCTGGATGCCTGACCACCGTCTCCCAAAGCAGTTGCTCTACTCCGAATTCAAGAATGGAAAACAGAATGTTAGTGGGCAGGAAAAGAGATTTAATGATGGGCTCAAAGCCAAACTCAAAATCTCTGGCATAGACACTGAGAACTGGGAAGCCCTGGCCCTTGAGCGCTCCAGCTGGAGGTCAGCTGTGACCAGCAGTGCTGCAGAATTTGAAGAGGCACGAATGGAGGGTGAAAGAGAGAGATGTGCCAAGAGGAAGGCACGTCAAGCCGACCCCATCTGAGACCGCCTTCCACCTGGAAACCAATGCCCTCACTGCGGGAGAACATGCAGATCAAGAATAGGGCTCCACAGTCACCTACGGACCCACCGCCAGGACACCGAACTTGGAGGACCATCATCCTCGGACTACAAGGGATTGCCTAAGAAAGAAGATTTTGGGGACAAGGCTTTTGACACCAGTTCTAGGACTGAGCTTAAGCTGCCAATGTGCATGTTGACATAGAAGTGTTTACCATAGTTCCCCGCATAATGGTTGCATTTTTATTTATTTTTTTCAAAAAGAGGATGGTGCGACCATTATGCAAAAATACCACCCCCGTTTCTTAGATTTGCCGGTTTCTGTTTCATTTTTTAAAAAACAGCCTCCGAGAAAGGAGAGGGAAGGGAAACAGGGTCTCAGCCCAAAATGGCTGTGTTAATTATACCATGTAACGATTATGCGAGGTAAAGTTAGAAAGAAATTTTTGGACTAGGAAACCAGGAATCGACGAATACGCAGTGGCAATGATTATGCAGTGAATTACGACACCTTGGAAATCTATAGCATTTGGAGCTTAGGGGAGGTGAGGGCAGAGTTTGGCCCTGGTTTCTCCTTAGTTGGCCCTACAGCTCCCGAGTCTGTACCCAGAGTCATGATTGTATTAGTGCTGAAAAAGGTCTTTGGGGCATGTGGTGTGGGCTGAGGAGGAGACCGTGGTATCTCCTGATGGGATGACCCTGTGACTCCTGCAGGTGATGCAAGTGGTCCGTGAACAGATTACCAGAACACTGGCCTTAAGGCCCACTTCGCTGGAGCTCTTCAAAAGCCGAGTGAATGCCCTCAATTACAGTGAGATCCTGCGTCTCCGGCAGACAGAACGGATGCACCAGGAGGAGATCCTTGCAGCACCAGTCCTGTGAGTAAGGAAGGAGACTTGCCGTTTTGTGAATACATGTGTGACAAGAGCAAATGCTGAACTCTTGTGCGTGTGAGTGTTTACCCTATTCAGGCATTCACTGCAGGTACGGGACCAGAAAGTGGGTGTCAATTCGTCCAGTGGTTTTTGACGAAGTTTGCCCCAATTCTGTTGTTGGTGGGGTTCAGAATGCTCTTTGGTTGTAGGTGAACTATAAATCCCAGTATGTTTGTGGAGATCTGTCCACATTTGTGTACCCCTCTAGAATTCTTTCAGTGAAGATATTTATGTAATATTTTAAATGAAAATATACATTAATGTCCGTTTATAAATCAGAGCAGAAAATAAATCCCTCAAGTCACTCCTGACGACAACAAAAAATTAAAATATTAATGGTATAGTTGGAGCAAATGCCAAAATCCTCTTCCAGTTCTATGAGTTTATTATTTGACTAGCCGTCCCCTGCCATGCGTTGCTGTGGCCCACAGGGGGGTTCTGTGTGGGAGGTTTGGCCCAATTCTGTCGTTGGTGGGGTTCAGAATGCTCTGTGATTGCAGGTGAACTACAAATCCCAGGAACTACAGCTCCCAAATGTCAAGATTCTATTTTCCCCAAACTCCACCAATGTTCACATTTGGGCATATTGAGTATTTGTGTAGAGTTCGGTCCAGATCCATCATTTTTGGAGTCCACAGTGCTCTCGGGGTGTAGGTGAACTACAACTCCAAAACCAAAGGACACTGCACACCAAACTCTTTCAGTATTTTCTGTTGGTCATGGGAGAACTGTGTGCCAAGTTTGGTTCAATTCCATCGTTGGTGGTGGGTTCAGAATGCTCTTTGATTGTAGGTGAACTATTAATCCCAGCAACTACAACTCCCAAATGACAAAATCATTTTTTTTTAGTGAAGAACATACATTGGGTTGTTAGGTGTATCGTGTCCAAATTTGGTGCGAATTGCCCCAGTGGTTTTTGAGTTCTATTAATACCACAAACGAACATTACATTTTTATTTATATAGATTGGCCTAAACTGACACATTTTGGTAACCTTGCTGTGTGAGTCTTTCCCTCAACTATAGAAAATCCAAAACGATTTGGAACAGGTCCTAATTACTAGAGGTTTGTGTCCAATTGGATTTTCTAGTTTTTAAAAAATGTCTGGTCAAAGTCCCTTTTTTTGGTCAAAACCTTTTATTATTTAAAAATTCCAACACATTTCAGCCTTTATCACAAGGGCTAATCTAAAAATAAAGGGAAACACATTTAATATTTGTACAGTATTTACAACATATTATAAACAACTCTTAAGATGTTGGTCAAAGTCTTGACATCCTTCATTTTTTACACAAAACTGCACTTACTGTATACATTAATTACTTAAATTTACCTGGTTTGTCAGTGGTGCCCATTTTGCCTCCTAGAAAGGGTAGCCTTGGCTCCAAAGTGTTATGCTATGGGTTACCAGGCATGAGCAACCTTTGGCCCTCCAGATATTTTGGACTTTGACTCCCACAGTTCCCAACAGTTTTAGGGTGTTAGGAATTGTGGGAGCTGAAGTCCAAAATACCCGGAGGGCCGAAGTTTGCCAATACCTGGGTTATTCTATATGTCACTTTGAGTTTTTTCTATACAGTGATGGTAAGGCAGGAAAGGGGAAATTCCAAGATGACTTGAGCCAGGAAGAAAAAGAGGAGAATCCATTCCTTATGGTGGGTTCACCTTCCCCCATTTTTATCTATGTATTGGAGCCACCTGTGGCGCAGTGGGTTAAACCCCTGTGCCGGCAGGACTAAAGACCGACAGGTCGCAGGTTCGAATCCGGGGAGAGCGTGGATGAGCTCCCTCTATCAGCTCCAGCTCTTCACGCGGTGACATGAGAGAAGCCTCCCTGGGCAACGTCCTTGCAGACGCCCAATTCTCCCACACCAGAAGTGGCTTGCAGATTCTCATGTCGCTCCTGACATGATAAAAAAATCTATGTATTAGTCACTTTTGTAACCTGCATTTTATCCAGTGAGCTCAAGGCAGCATACATGGTTTTCATCCTCTCCTCTTTGTCAACGCAAAAACCCTGTGAAGTGGGGCAGGGGCGGCTCGTCCATTACGCGAAGTAAGCGGTCGCAGAACACTTTTTTTTTGCCAGGGGTGCAGAGGCGCCTCTGTAAATGCCCCTTGACTGCCACTTGAGGAGCGCCCCCTCAGCTCACAACAGCCCTAGCAGTCCGGGGGGAGCCTCGGCTTTCTTGCCTCGCTGCCGGGCGATCCTCTTCCCAAAGGGGCCGGGCCCTTGAGCCTCGCCTAGCCCCTCTCGTTCCTGCTCCACCAGGCCACCGGGTGCGAGAGCAGAGCCGGGGAGAGAGGAGGCGGGTGGAGCACCGGGGATCGGGAAAGGGAGCTGGTCATGGGGAGCAGAGCCGGCGCTCAATCGTTCTCCGCGTTTGATCCCTTCCCCATGACCAGCTCCCTTTCCCGATCCCCGGTGCTCCACCCGCCTCCTCTCTCCCGAATCCATTCCTTATGGTGGGTTCACTTTCCCCATTTTTATCTATGTATTGGAGCCCCCAGTGGCGCAGTGGGTGAAACGCTTGTGCCGGCAGGACTGAAAACCAACAGGTCGCAGGTTCAAATCCGGGGAGAGTGTGGATGACCTCCCTCTGTCAGCTCCAGCTCCTCATGCGGGGACATGAGAGAAGCCTCCCACAAGGATGATAAAACATCAAAACATCCGGGCGTCCCCTGGGCAATGTCCTTTTCTCAAGTTGTTCCTGACACGACAAAAAAACAAACAAACAAACAAACTCAGTTTTATGGGCTTCAATCTGCAGTGTAGCCCAAAACTCTTAACTAGTCCACACTACTATACAACATACTGTTGCTTTTTTTTCTATTGTGTTTTTGACCCAGGGAACTCAGAGAGCGGCTGAAACCCGAGCTCCTCAAGCTAATCCAACAGCAGAGGCTCCTGCACCTCTGCGAAGGGACGCTGTTCCGGAAGATTAGCAGCCGGCGCAGACAGGGTACGTTGCAGCCTTGTGACAGTATTTACATCCCACCATTTGGGCAACAAGAATGACTTGTGAATAATTAATAATCATCAGCATAGATGAAGCTCCCTGTCCCTTCTGGCAGTGACTGGTCATTTGTGTAAACGTTGAACATGTATGGAGCAAACACGCTCCCTGAGGCAGGCCGTTCTTCTGTTTCCGCCATCTGCTTCTCTGGCCCTGGAACTCAACAGAAAAGCTTCTGTTTTGTAGCAGGTGAGGTGGTAGTCCTTTGTGATATTATATATTTTTCTTAGGAGGAGGCGGTAGTTTGCAGTATCATAAGCCACTGACAGGTCTATGAAGACAGCTCCTGTGATCTGCTGCCTTTCAAAGCCATCTTCTATGTGCTGAGTCAGGTTCAGCACTTGCGATGTGCAGCTTTTGCCTTTCCTGAAGCCAGCTTGCTGTGGAATCAGACATGGGTCTATTTTTTCATAATTCTATGTAAAATAAGTATCTCCAGAACTTTGTAGAGATGGCACAACAGGGAGATTGGTCTGTAGCTTTTTGGATCATTACAGTCTTTGCCTGGCTTCAAGATGGTGATGACTCTTGCTTTCCTCCAGATTTTGGAGATCCGACAGGATGCAGTGCAGTGCAATAGCAGTACAATATGCAGGCAAGGAATGCAGTTTGGATTTCCCGTTAGAGGAGCTGTTGTGTCCATAACCTTTATGACGGTGGTCTTGTTTCGCTTTGGCAGATAAGCTCTGGTATTGCCGCCTTTCACCCAACCACAAATTTCTGCATTATGGAGATGTCGAAGAAGGCATAGAAAGCGTGCCCATTGAGAACCTGCCCGAGAAAGGTACATGACCCCATCCCCAGTGTTTTCAGGAAGTGGAGCCGTAGAAGATGTTCCCAAGTGAATTTACAGTTGTTAGAGTCCTCTTTCTGTCTTGAAATTTTAAAATATTGTAATAGCAGATTAAGTAACTAAGAGATTTCTGCCCTATCATTACATCCCAAACTCAATGCCACATGCAGCCATATTGTTGTTGTTATTATTACTAATATTATTATGTTTATTTATACGCCACTTTTTCTCTCCACAAAGGAGACTCCAAGCGGCTTCCTTTAAAAGCATTTCAATACAATTTAAAATCCAAAAATATACAAACATTAAAACAGAATTAAACATTATTGGTATTAATTTTAAAATATTGTTCTGCCTTATGACAGAGCCAGTCTTGTTAGCTTTACCACTTCTACAATAATTGTCAAGATTGCTTTTATCCAGTTGCAAGAGAATCTGCAAAGGGGGTTAAAATGATAATTTCTTAAATCTGGAAGGTTTTAATTAAAAAAGACTCTATGTAGAGCAAATGGTGCTTGTTCAGTTTGGTGTGAATAAATTCTAATTATAAATTATGAGTACTTCCTAAAAGTATCAAAATGTATCTCATTATTGGTGAACCAATGGTGCACTTTACCGTATATACTCGAGTATAAGCCGACCTGAATATCAGCCGAAGTACCTAATTTTACCACAAGAAATTGGGGAAACTTATTGACTTGAGTATAAGCCGGGGTTGAAAAATGAAACAGCTAATGGTAAATTTCAAAAATAAAAATAGATACCAATAAAATTACATTAATTGAGACATCAGTAGGTTAAATGTTTTTGAATATGTACTGTATTTCAAAGAAAAACAGAAAAGTAGCTCTTTAAGTAGAAGAGAGTCAATAAAAACAACATGTTATCAACAATAACTTAAGAATAATACTAATAATAATTTGTACTCTGCCCTATCTCCCCATAGGGACTCAGGGAGGCTTCCAACATAGGCTTAATAACATTAAAATTAATAATAATAACAGAGTTGGAAGGAATCTCTAAAGATCATCTAGTCCAACCCACTTCATTCTGCCTTCATGCAGGGAAAGCACAATTAAAGCACCCCCAACAGATGATGTCGACCAAAGCTTAATAATATTTAAAATAATAATATTAGAGTTGGAAGGGCCGTCTGCCTTTCTCCTTCCCTTCTCCCTTCTTTCCTTGTTTCCTTACTTCCCTCCCTCTCTTCTTTTCCTAACTTATTTTTCCTCTCTCCCTCCTTCACTTCCTCAACTCCTTCCTACCTTCTTCCTTCCCTCCCTCCATCCCTTCCGCTTCCCTCCTTGCTCGTCTCGCCACATGCGCACTTCCATTTCTCCATCATCGCACACGTGCCCTCTGCTCTCTGCGCAAACTTGTAGTGCATGTGGTGGCAGGAGAAACAGAGGCGCGCATGTGGCGAGACGAGCAAGGAGGAAAGCGCACCTCCGTTTCTCCTTTTTCTTGCAGGGGTCCCATTTCTCCTTCTTTCACCGCACAGCTGGGTTGCTGTTCGAAAGAAGACAGGGTGTGCGCATGGGGGCAGGAGGAACGGAGGCACGCATCTCCCTCCGTGCTTGTCCTGCTGTGCATGGGCCTCTGTTTCTCCTTCTGCCGCCATGCGCACACCCTGTCTTCTTTCGAACAGCAACCCAGTTGGGTTGCTGCGCGAAGAGCAGAGGGCACGTGTGGTGCAACAGAAGGAGAAACTGAGGCGTGGTCCTCCTTCCCTGCTTGTCTTGCCGCATGTGGGCCCCTGTTTCTCCTTTTAGCTGCAGCCAGGCAAAGGAGGAGGCTGCTGGGGGAGACAAGGCTGGGCAGCAGAAGAATGGGTGAATTTATTTATTTATTTGGTAGTTTTGTATACCGGTCTTCTCACCTCCATTCGAGGGACTCGGGCCGGTTTCCAACATCAATAATACAGACCGTCATTAAAACATCATATTTCTAAATCACACTAAAACATTGAAACATTGAAACAATTAAAATGGCAAAAATACAATCATATGATTACAGTGGTCAGTCGTCATCAAAGTCATTATTCGTCGTCATCCATCCATATCACAGGATCATGGCTCATTTGTTGAATGCCAATCCCCAAAGCCAGGTTTTCACCTGTTTCCTGAACGTTAAGATCGAAGGGGCAGTTCTGATCTCCAGTGGAAAGGAGTTCCAGAGTCGAGGGGCCACCACCGAGAAGGCCCTGTCTCTCGTCCCCACCAGCCACAACGGAGCCCGCCACTGCTTGGCTCGAATATAAGCCGAGGGCATATTTTTCAGCCCCTAAAAAGGGCTGAAAAACTCAGCACATATTCGAGTATATACAGTATATTCTATAATAGCCGTTACCAAATAAGGGACTTTGACTAGTAACTCTTATGCCAAAGTCAATTTGTCACCTTCTTGAACTAAATGGACCATAGCTGCTACAGCACCCTTAATCTTAGGGTTGTGGGTTCGTGCCCCATGCTGGGGACCAGTGGCACATGTCCTGCTCTTAACACTCTTAACAACATCACTTTGGTACAGGGTTTGGAAAATTGCATTTTATAGCAAAAGGATACATATCCTCAATTCTTGTAAATTCATGTGGCTTTAAGAAGTTCCACATATATTCTCTGACAAGCACACATCCTGTTTCAGCTATTTGTGGAGGCTCGATGCAGAAATAAAATCAGTCAGACCCTTTTGTCTCCATGTGAAACCAGCCTAGGTTTCTTTGGGTTCCTTTTTTAGGATTTAGTGCAGGAAGAAGCATATATGCCAGTTCTGTATTTGTTTCTCAGAAGAGTATTAATAATATAGGCACTTCTTTGTCCGTAGTTCCTGTGACAGACATGAAAGCACTGCTCATTGGCCGGGAATGTCCACACACAAAGGAGAAGAGCTCCGGGAAGCAGAACAAGGTCAGGCTCTGTTCTCTCCAGCCCAACCCTCTCCTCCCTGATGCTCCAAACTCGCTTTTCCCAGCCAGTTAAAATGGTGTCAAAATTAATTCTATATAGGTGCACTCCCCCAAGTCTGATATAGCAACTACTACATTGCAATAGTCATCATGGCTAGTACAAAATTGTAACTTTATCCTCCATGGGTTTGTCTAATTGGGAGTGATCCTGGACTCATCGCTGAGCCTGGAACCCCAGGTCTCAGCGGTGGCCGGGAGAGCTTTTGTGCAATTAAAACTTGTGCACCAGTTGCGCCCGTACCTCGGAAAGTCTGATCTGGCCACGGTGGTCCACACTCTTGTCACATCCCGAATAGACTACTGCAACGCGCTCTACGTGGGGTTGCCCTTGAAGACTGTTCGGAAACTTCAACTAGTCCAGCGAGCGGCAGCCAGACTGCTCACCGGAGCAACATACAGGGAGCATACCACCCCCCTGCTGTGCCAGCTCCACTGGCTGCCGATTCAGTTCCGAGCACAATTCAAGATGCTGGTTTTGACCTACAAAACCCTATACGGTTCCGGTCCAGTGTATCTGTCCGAACGTATCTCCCTCTACGTCCCACCCCGAACTCTGAGATCATCTGGGGAGGCCCTGCTCTCGACCCCACCACTCTCACAAGTGAGGTTGGTGGGGACGAGGAGCAGGGCTTTCTCAGTGGTGGCTCCACACCTGTGGAACTCACTCCCAGGGGAAATCAGGGCAGCATCATCCCTCCTCGCATTCAGGAGGAGGGTGAAGACGTGGTTATGGGACCAGGCCTTTGGGCAATTAAATCAGACCATCAGGCGAGTAAGACCAGCAGGATTGATGAAGTGGAACAGAAAACTAGATCTATGAGTTAGCGAATGCTGACCAGGTAAAAGGAGAAATTGAGTTTGTATTGGTTTTTATTGATTTTATGTTAATAATGTATGAATTTTTGTTAACTGTGTTCTGATGTAATTTTGTGTATTTTGTGTGTGATTGTTTTATGATGCAGGCATCGAATTGTGCCTTTGCTTTTGTAAGCCGCCCTGAGTCCCCCTCCGGGGTGAGAAGGGCGGGGTATAAGAACCCCAAATAAATAAATAATAAATAATATCCTGTTGAAGTTAGCAGCCACCGCTACATCTTGTGCCTGTCAATGCCATTTGCTAATGTACATATGCTATCCTTTCCCACATATCTTTCTTCCCTTCCCTCCAGGATCTCCTGGACCTTGCCTTTTCCATAAGCTATGATGTTGGGGAGTATCTGAATTTCATTGCTCCCACCAGGTATGAGGTGAGTAGCTGCCTTGGAACTTTTCTTTCTGGAGAGCATGGGGGACTTTTTTAATTGGAAAAAATATGGCCATGCTTGGTAACACCAAAGTTGAGACAGAGAGAGTAAGAGCAGTGGCTAGCCCAGGCCTGGGCAAAATTGGGCCCTCCAGGTAATTTGGACTTCAACTCCCACCATTCCTAACAGCCTCAGGTGCCTTCCTTTTCCCCTTCAGCTGCTTAACCTGAGGATGAAATTTTATTTTATTTATTATTATATTATTATATATAATATTAATAATGTTGTGATATAATATATTAGGAGCCCCCGGTGTCGCAGTGGGTTAAAGCACTGAGCTGCTGAGCTTGTTGATCGAAAGGTCGCAGGTTCGATTCCAGGGAGCCGCGTGAGCTTCCGCTGTCAGCCCTAGCTTCTGCCAACCTAGCAGTTCGAAAACATGCAAATGTGAGTAGATCAATAGGTACCACTCCAGCGGGAAGGTAACGGCACTCCATGCAGTCATGCCGGCCACATGACCTTGGAGGTGTCTACGGACAACGCTGGCTCTTCGGCTTAGAAATGGAGATGAGCACCACACCCCAGAGTCAGACATGACTGGACTTAATGTCAGGGGACTACCTTTACCTTTACCTTATAATATATTATATAGTACTAGTGGTCCCCTGCCACACATTGGTGTGGCCCAGTCTGGTGATATGGAAAATAAAGTAATTAGAAAGTGCTGGTTTCTAATATATGTAATGTCTTTATGCTTGTGGGTTAACAGTATTTCTTGATGTTTCTTTGACAGTGTTGACGTAGAGATTGTCTGGCTTGCCTACTCTGGAACATGCAACACATCATTGTCCATGTTTAGTAGTCCCTTTCAAATCTATAATACTTTATCTCAGTGTGTGTGAATCATATATATCTATCTATATCTATGGCTGGATGGCTCTCTGGCAGGAGGGCTTTGATTACATTTTCTTGCCCTGGTGAAAGGAGTTGGACTGGATGGCCTCAAGTATTTTCTGTTGGTCATGGGGGTTCTGTATGGGAAGTTTGCCCCAGTTCTGTCATTCGTGGGGTTCATTCAGAATGGTCTTTGATTGTAGGTGAACTATAAATCCCAGTAACTACAACTCTCAAATGCCAAGGTCCAAAGTCCATCTATGTTCATATTTGGGCATATGGAATATTCATGCCAAGTTTGGTCCAGATCCATCATTGTTTGAGTCCACAGTGCTCTCGGGATATAGATGAACTACAATTCCCAAACTCAAGGGCAATGCCCACCAAACCCTTCCAGTATTTTCTGTTGGTCAAGGGAGTTCTGTGTGCCAACTTTGGTTCAGTTCCATCATTGATGGAGATCAGAATGCTCTTTGATTGTAGGTGAACTATAAATCCCAGCAACTACAACTCCCAAATGACAAAATCATAATTTTTTGAGTGATAGTCACTCCTTGTGTTGTGAGACGTTTTGTTGCCAAATTTGGTGTGATTTCCTTCATTGATTCTTTTGTTTTTAAGGTACTCATTATGCACAGAGCATTTATATATATATAGATTACATGTTCTTGTGTTTTTGGGAATTATTGACAAGACCATATTCATTTTCTTCTTGTTCTTCAGTTCTGCTTGTGGACTGACGGCTTGAATGTGCTGCTGGGCCAAGACATGGGGAGTGAACGGACGCAGAGTGACCTGGACATCTTGCTGTCAATGGAGCTCAAGTTGCGGCTGCTGGATCTGGAGAACATCCCCATCCCGGATGCCCCGCCTGTCATCCCAAAGCCCCCCAGCAACTTAAACTTCTGTTATGATTTCACCCATATAGAACAGTAAGGGCTGCCTCGGCCTAGTGTCTCCTGACAAAACAGAGGCGTCTTGAGCATGCGGTACACTGCTTCTGCAAACCAGATCACGAATGTGCCATGAGCTTCCCGCTCTCCTTTTGTCTAGCAATGGGTTTATGCATTTCCAAGTTTCCTCTAAGTATTTTTTGCCAGGGATGACAAAACTCTAACCTGCAAACAGTTTCAAACTGGTTTCAGATCAGTTTTGAGATTTACTTCATATATAGACTTTCTAATCCAGGCATTGCAACAGAATAAATTGTAGCAAACCACACTTATCAGGAAATGGGAGAGGAAGAAGGGAACTGACTCATGGCATGTTTTTAGGTCTTCCGTTTTAGCTTCAATATGGGAAGTGAGTCTGTTGGTAATTCAGAAATCAAAAGATTGGATTCTATTTTTTGAAAATGGCCAAACTTCCATGTCTGCCTATAGGTTCAATTTCCCCCCTTTTAACTGTACCCTTTCAGATATCTCATAATTGTGAATTTCCCTACAATTTGTTTTTTTAACTGTTTGGGAACACATTGAGAGATAGAGAACATAATTTGATTGCTATCATCTATCCACTGTTCTCTGCAAAGCTGTAACTATAACAAGCACTAGGAGGTTAAGGAGAGCGGGAGGCGCTTGCCTTCTGCAGATTCTGGGTTGCACTCTTTGAGACTTTGTTCCAAGACCTCCAATGAGATAGGCAAACACACAGATGCTCCAACCTGATAGGGAAAGATAATGCTTTTAGGAGTTGTCTGTATGTCACTGTTAGTTCTTTAAGGAGGTTGTTCCAATCATGCAGCTCGTGTCGAGACACAGACACTTTAAAGGGCCACACGCAGTATAAGTTCCAAAGTAAAGTTTATTGCAACAAAGAACAGCAGCTCAGAGAGACTTAAACCTCAGTGCCTCTGGCTAAAACTCAAAAAACTAACCAAACTTGGTTCAAAAAGCAAACGGAATATAATCTGGATTAACCAGAGAAAAGAACCGGATTAAACTGCAGTACTTAGCGGCACTTACAGTACTTAGCGGAAGGATACTAGAGACAAAGTTGAAGTACTTTGGCCACATCATGAGGAGACAGCAAAGCCTAGAGAAGACAATTATGCTGGGGAAAGTGGAAGGTAAAAGGAAGAGGGGCCGACCAAGGGCAAGATGGATGGATGGCATCCTTGAAGTGACTGGACTGACCTTGAAGGAGCTGGGGGTGGTGACGGCTGACAGGGAGTTCTGGCATGGGCTGGTCCATGAGGTCACGAAGAGTCGGAGACGACTGAACGAATGAACAACAACAACTTAGCGGCAAACAAACAGCGCGTGCACACAAACAGTTAACAACAGGAAGAAGCTGCTGAAAGAGAAACCAAAGCCAGCCGAAGTCCAGAAGTCGTCGTAGAGGTGATCCGAAGAAGTGTTGTTCCCAAGTCCGTCAAGCAGCGTCGTCGTCAAGCCAGTCCGAGATCCAGGAAGGGAGAAATCCACACTCACGAGAAGTCAATCCAAGTCGAAACCCATGGGAACAGGAACTCCAGACTGCAGAACCTGGACCAAAACCCAACACGAAAACAGGCAGCAACAAGTCCACACGTAACCGACACCTTGCCTTCTGCAAAGGTTTCCCATTTCAGAGCCTACTTTTATCTTACACATCATCATCCGAAGATGAGCTGACCTCTGCCCTGTCACTATCTCTTACAGCTGTTCTTTACTCCACACGTGAACTCCTGTTCCCATCCCTCCAACTTTTCCATCTTCTGTCAAGACTTAGATCCCCCCAAACCGGTGGCGCAGTGGGTTAAACCCCTGTGCTGGCAGGACTGCAGGTCGCAGGTTCGAATCCTGGGAGAGGCGGATGAGCTCCCTCTATCAGCTCCAGCTCCTCATACGGGGACATGAGAGAAGCCTCCCACAAGGATGATAAAAACATCAAATCATCCGGGTGTCCCTGGGCAACGTCCATGCAGACGGTCAATTCTCTCACACCAGAAGCGACTTGCAGTTTCTCAAGTCGCTCCTGACACAACAAAAAACCCCAAACTGGATAGTTTACTGGTCCTCCTCTAAAAAGGTAAATGTTTCTCCTGACATTGTGTCTGACTCTGAGAGTTGGTGCTCATCTGCATTTCTAAGCCAAAGAGCTGGCGTTGTCCATAGACACCTCCAAGATCATGTGGCCAGCATGACCGCATGGAGTGCCGTTACCTTCCCGTAGAAGCGGTACCTATTGATCTACTCACATTTGCATGTTTTCAAACTGCTAGGTTGACAGAAGCTGGGCCTACCCCGCTCCCCAGATTCAAATCGTCAACCTTTTGGTCAGCAAGTTCTGCAGCTCAGTGATTTAACCCACTGCACCACCGGTGCCCCCTCTAAATCTGTGCTTTTCATTAGAGAAAAATGACAGACCACCACCAAAATGTGGCTACTCCAGCTAACTTTTTGCAACATGGGTTTCCAGAAGCACTTCTGTGGTCATATGGGAGCTATGACAATATCAGGAGATACTCTCATTGAGAGTCATTGGACAACCATTCTGGAAAAAAAATGTGATGGTTCTTATTGTTTTTTCATGTGAATGCTGTAAATATCTATATATCGATCACCTTTTTATACTCTTGGCAGTATTTGCCTCTTTGGAAAGTTCATTGCACTGGATCAAGCATTTCTCTCACCTCATGTATCAATCACTTTTGTCCCATTGTACATGTCCAGTGACTTAAAAGGAAAGGAACCTTCCCTCACTCACTGTCTTTTGTAAAGGGACTTCCTGCTCAGGTGCTTCTACTGTAACTTGTTCACTGTGGTACTTGCCTTTGGGAAGGAGGCCTTAATAAAATAAAAGCAAAGCTAAAGGGAACAAACTTGGTTGTGGTGTTGCATTGAATGGTGGAATCTTTGGAATGGCTGCAGCTGTCCTTCAGGAAGGAGATGTCTTAGCTTGCTGTGGTCTTCCCATAACAGTAGTTGCTCTTGGAAATATACCATATATACTCAAGTATAAGCCAACCTAAATATAAGCCGAGGCTGGGAAACTGGGAAAACTTATTAACTCGAGTATAAGCCGAGAGTGGGAAATGCAGCAGCTACTGGTAAATTTCAAAATAAAAATAGATACCAGCAAAATTACATTAATTGAGGTATCAGTAGGTTAAATGTTTTTGAATGATCTGGCCGGGGTGGTCCATGCCTTGGTCACCTCCAGATTGGACTACTGCAATGCGCTCTACGTGGGGCTGCCCTTGAAAACGGCTCGGAAGTTCCAACTGGTCCAACGAGCAGTGGCCAGGATGTTAACCAGGGCCCCTTACAGAGAGAGGTCAACCCTTCTGTTCAAGGAGCTCCACTGGCTGCCGTTTATTTTCCAAGCCCAATTTAAGGTGCAGGTGCTTACCTACAAAGCCCTGAACGGTTTGGGACCATCCTACCTGTGTGACCGCATCTTCGTCTATGAACCCACGCGTTCACTTCGGTCATCTGGAGAGGCCCTGTTCGTGATCCCGCCTGCGTCACAAGCACGTTTGGTGGGGACACAAGACAGGGCCTTTTCTGTGGTGGCCCCCCGACTCTGGAACACCCTCCCCAAATATCTTACACAGGCCCCTACCCTGACAGTCTTTAGAAAGAACTTGAAGACCTGACTGTTCCGATGTGCCTTCCCAGAATAGGAAATCTCCAATACCAAGTCCCATAAGCACTTTATTAAAACTAAGATTGCCGCACACTGCACACTGCACTTGCCCTATAAGCCTTATATTCCACCTGTCACATCAGCACTTTTAATCCTGTACTCATTACTCTGGCCAGGCCCAGTTTCATTGTGTCTTAGTGTATTGTTTATTGCTTATTGTTATATTGCTCTAATTGTTTTTAATTTGCCTTGGGTTTTGTATTGTTATGTTGTGTGTTGAGGCCTTGGCCTTTGTAAGCCGCATTGAGTCCTTCGGGAGATGCTAGCGGGGTACAAATAAAGTTTAATAATAATAATAATAATAATAATGTTTACATAAAATTGTAATTTAAGATAAGACTGTCCAACTCTGATTAAGCCATTATTCTAACCTTCACTGTAAATGTGCTTACATATCTTCCAATAACAGAGTAAAATAATAAAGGTAATAATAATAAATAGAGTAAAATAATAAAGGTAATAATAATAAAAAGAGTAAAATAATACATGTAATAATAAATAGAGTAAAATAATAAATGAAATACAAATAATAATAATAACAGAGTAAAATAATAAATAACTTTGACTCAAGTATAAGGCGGGTGTGTGTGTGTCAGCCTTTAAAAATGGCCGATAACTTTGACTCAAATGATAAATAACTTTGACTCAAGTATAAGGCCGGGGGGGGGGGGGGGGGGGGGGGGGTCAGCCTTTAAAAATGGCCGAAAACTCAGCTTATACTCGAGTATATACGGTACTTAGATTTTAGCAGAAGCATCTTACTGGACTGTTAGATTTGAAATTGACAATGTTGAACTTAGAAATTTGGAAATTAGTTCCTTATCTGTATTCATATTTGAAATATTTTATATCAGCGGTTCTCAACCTGGGGGTCGCGACCCCCCAGGGGGTCGTTTGGCCATTTCGGAGGGGTCGCGAGGCCGCCTCCTTAGGCCCCGCCCACAAGGCTGCGAGCCCTCCCTGGGCGCCTTCGCAGCCCGCGGGGGAGCCCAGGAGGGGCTCGCGCGAAGGCTGCCTCAGCTCCCTCACCGCTTCGCCAAATGGCGAGGCCGCAAGGCAGCCGGGGGCTCCTTTGCGCGAGTCCTCCCTGGGCTCCTTCGCGGCCTCGCCATTTGGCGAGCGCGCGGGGGAGCCCAGGAGGGGCTCGCGCGAAGGCTCCCTCATGGCTTCGCCAAATGGCGAGGCCGCAAGGCAGCCGGGGGCTCCTTTGCGCGAGTCCTCCCTGGGCTCCTTCGCGGCCTCGCCATTTGGCGAGCGCGCGGGGGAGCCCAGGAGGGGCTCGCGCGAAGGCTCCCTCATGGCTTCGCCAAATGGCGAGGCCGCAAGGCAGCCGGGGGCTCCTTTGCGCGAGTCCTCCCTGGGCTCCTTCGCGGCCTCGCCATTTGGCGAGCGCGCGGGGGAGCCCAGGAGGGGCTCGCGCGAAGGCTCCCTCATGGCTTCGCCAAATGGCGAGGCCGCAAGGCAGCCGGGGGCTCCTTTGCGCGAGTCCTCCCTGGGCTCCTTCGCGGCCTCGCCATTTGGCGAGCCTGCGGGGGAGCCCAGGAGGGGCTCGTGTGAAGGCTGCCTCGGCTGCAACTCCCAAATGTCAAGTCAAACCCCTCCCCAAACTCCTCCGGTGTTCACATTTGGGCGTATTGAGTATTCGTGTCAAGTTTGGTCCGGATCCATCATTGTTTGAGTCCACAGTGCTTTTGGAGGTAGGTGAACTATAATTCCAAAACTCAAGGTCCATGCCTGCCAAATCTTTCCAGTATTTTCTGTTGGTCATGGGAGTTCTGTGTGCCACATTTGGTTCATTCCATCGTTGATGGAGTTCAGAATGCTCTTTGATTGTAGGTGAACTATAAATCCTAGCAACTACAACTCCCAAGTGTCAAGGTCTAATTTCCCCAAACTCTACCAGTGTTCACATTTGGGCAGATTGAGTATTCTTGCCAGGTTTGGTCCAGATCCATCATTGTTTGAGTCCACAGTGCTCGCCTGATGTGAGTTACAGCTCCAAAACTCAAGGTCAGTGGTCACCAAACCCTTCCAGTATTTTCTGTTGGTCAAGGGATATCTGTGTGCCAAGTTTGTTTCAATTACATTGTTGGTGAAGTTCAGAATGCTCTTTGATTGTAGGTTAACAATAAATCCCAACAACGATACCGCTGAGTTGCTGAGCTTGTTGACCCAAAGGGCACAGGTTCTAATCCAGGAAGCAGCATGAGCTTCCGCTGTCAGCCCCAGCTTCTGCCAACTTAGCAGTTCAAAAACATGCAAATGTGAGTAGATCAATAGGTACTGCTCTGGTGGGAAGGTAACTATGCTCCCTGCAGTTATGCTGGCCACATGACCTTGGAGGTGTCTACGGACAATGCTGGCTCTTTGGCTTAGAAATGGAAATGGGCACCACACCCAAGTCAGACATGACTGGACATAATGTCAGGGGAAAACTTTTACCTACAACTCCCAAATGACAAAACCAACTCCCCCCCCCCAACCCCACCAGTATGCAAATTTGGGTGTATTGGGTAATTGTGCCAAATTTGGTTTGGGGGTCACCACAACATGAGGAACTGCATTAAGGGGTCACGGTATTAGGAAGGTTGAGAACCACTGTTTTATATAATAACAATGAACTGAGTATTTCAGACATTCAATTAGGGAATACTACATGAAAATGGTATGGAGGTCTCTCAACTCTAGGGTCCCATCTGTCATAGATCCAATTCAATGGGCTTTTAAAAATCCTTTCAAAATTCCCTTTAAAAAAAGGTAAAGGTAGTCCCCTGACATTAAGTCCAGTCATGTCCGACTCTGGGGTGTGGTGCTCATCTCCATTTCTAAGCCAAAGAGCCGCCGTTGTCCGTAGACACCTCCAAGGTCATGTGGCCGGCATGACTGCATGGAGCGCCGTTACCTTCCCGCCGGAGCGGTACCTATTGATCTACTCACATTTGCATGTTTTCGAACTGCTAGGTTGGCAGAAGCTAGGGCTGACAGCGGAAGCTCACGCCGCTCCCTGCGACCTTTCGATCAACAAGCTCAGCAGCTCAGTGCTTTAACCCACTGTGCCAAGGGGGCTCCCAAAATTCCCTTACTCAGACCTAATTTTTTACTATTAGGATTAGTCTATGAGCAGATGTGGACATTTCAAACCGAATCGCCATTCACTTTCTGTCCTTCTGCTCCTAGTCAAGATGTGTCTTCCACAAAAGTCAGTGCTAGATCAGGAGCCCCCGGTAGCGCAATGGGTTAAACCAGTGGTTCTCAACCTGGGATCCCCAGATGTTTTTGGCCTACAAGTCCCAGAAATCCCAGCCAGCTTACCAGCTGTTAGGATTTCTGGGAGTTGAAGGCCAAAAACATCTGGAGACCCCAGGTTGAGAACCACTGGGTTAAACCCTTGTGCCAGCAGGACTGCTGACTGACATGTTGGCAGTTCGAATCCGGGGAGCGTGGTGAGCTCCCATCTGTCAACACCAGCTTTCCATGAAGGAACATGAGAGAATCCTCCCACAAGATGGAAACACATCCGGCATCCCCTGGGCCAGGCCCATAGCCAAGATTTTCAGGGGTGGCTGAGTTTCCGGGGGGGCTGAGTCTGAGTGAAAGAGGGTCTAGCCTAGCAAACCTTTTGTATCATTACCCCAATACCCCCATGCATTTGGGATATATTGAGTATGGTGATCAGATCATGATATGAATAAACATAACAGTTTAAATAATGCACCAGTAAGGCCTTTTCGCGAACCACCATGAGAATTTCGGGGGTGGGAGCTGAAGCCCCTCAAGCCCCCCTCCGCCCCGGCTACATGACTGACTTCGCAGAACCATGCAAGAAGCTTGGCCTGTCACTGAACATCGAGAAAACCAAAGTGCTCTTCCAGCAGTCACCAGCCAATCCCTCTCCAGTGCGAGAGTTACAGCTTAATGATGTAACATTAGAAAATGTTGACCATTTCTGCTACCTTGGCGGCCACCTCTCTACCAAAGTCAACATCGACACCAAAATACAACACCTCCTGAGCTCTGCGAGTGCAGCATTTTTCCCAATGAAGAAGAGAGTGTTTGAGGACCGGGACATCCGTAGGGATACCTAGGTGCTTGTTTTTAAAACTATTGTCCTCCCAACCCTGCTATACGCCTGCGAAGCGTGGACTGTCTACAGACGTCACATGCAACTCCTGGAACGATTCCATCAGCACTGCCTCTGGAAAATCCTGCTACATGCCGGCTACATGCCCCCCCCCCCCGGCTACATGCCTGCCCTGGGCAACGTCCTTGCAGACGGCCAATTCTCTCACACCAGAAGCAACTTACAGTTTCTCAAGTCACTCCTGACACACAAAAAAGTGCTATATCACGTTTTGGATGGAGGAGTCTGGGACCCAAATTTACTTTTCAGTTTTAATGATCAGAAGGGGCACTGATCTTAAAATTCAGACCTTTTAAAAACATTATGAATATAAAATATCTCTTATTTGCTTCATGAACATGCCAGCATAAGTATTTCTTACTGGCTGTGTACATTTTACACTAATAGCAGCCAACATCTTTCCTTTTTGCTGATGGTGTTTGCCTTGCACCAGATACCTCCTTTCAGGGTCAAGATAAATTTCTCCGTTGAACTTGCAGCACTGGGGTGACGGTAGCCTTGCTAGGAAGGCTAATGCACAAAGATCGTTTGAGAACTGAACCATCCCCTGGTCAAGGGACCACCAAGGCAGCAGGAGTTTCCCAAGGATACTTTGTCCTTCCCAGCAGAAGCTGCCGGGGAAATTAGAAGCCAGCCGATGATCTTGAACTCTTTGTCTTTGTGCTCTCTGCCTCAAAGACTAATGGAAAGGTCTGCTCCGCCCACAAAACGGGACTGGATGCTAGCCTGACTCTGTAGTGGGAAGTAGGATTGGAAGTGTTCAACATCTGCCATGCTAATCTGGCTGCACATGGAGACGTCCAAGCTTTTTAGTTGCCGACACTCTTGACCAATAGCCTTCAGAGTCCTGCCAAAACAAAACAATCTAGTCAATTGTTATTTACTGACCATTTGTCCTCAAGAAAAGCCTGGCACTGTAAGAAAAACCTGGCCTCCAAGGAAGGAGCTTCCATCACACTCTGAGGCAGAGGGTTCCACTGCTGAACAACTCTTATGGGTCAGGAAGTTCTTCCTAATCTTCAGGTGGAATATCTTTCCCTGTCACTTGAACCCATTGCTCCACTGAGTCCTAGTCTCCAGGGCAACAGAAAGGAAGCCTCCTCTCCTTATGACAGCCTTTCAGATATTGATACATGGTGATCTCCTCTCAACCTTCCCTCACAGGTGCCAAATGTCAAACATCAATTGCACATAATACCTGATCATTCCCTGTATTGCTTATTGCCCAAAGACTTGGACCCATAGTCAAGTTTTTACTTCTTTCTGAAAGCCAGGAGAGATGGTGCTGATCTAATTTTTTGGGAGAGGGAGTTCCATAGTTGAGGAGCCACCACTGAGAAGACCCTGTCTCTTGGGTCCCAGTGGCACCAGTGAGGGAGGTGGGACCGAGAGAAGGGCTTCTCCGGATTATCTTAACCTCTGAGATGGTTCATATTTATTTATTTATTATTTATTTACTTTGCTTATATACCGCTGTATCTCAAGCCCGAAGGCGACTCACAGCGGTTCACAAACAGTAAAAACAGTAGAAAGAGAGATATATATCTCATAGAGAGAGATATATTGGGACAGGTAAGCTGGAACCGTTTAGGGCTTTATAAGCTGAAGCCAGCACTTTGAATTGTGCTTTGGAGCAGACTGGTAGCCAGTGGAGCTGGCGTAACAGAGGGGTTGTGTGCTCCCTGTACCCAGCTCCAGTGAGCAGTCTGGCTGCCGCCCACTGGACCAATTGGAGCTTTAAACTGGATTATATGTGTTCACACTGCCATCTACGAAAAACAGAAAACCTGGGATCAGATCTTGGGATATAGTGCCTATCTGGAAGGATCCTATGACTCCAAGATCCCATGGACTGTTACTGAATCAAGTGTCACCCATTTCATTTTCTACCTGAGTGTAATATCCTATATTTCTCCCTATTGAAATCATTTTGTTAGTTTGGGTCTCTGAAGGTCTAATTGCTACTCATGTCACTTCCTCCATCTGCTAACAACATCCATGGTGGTAACCTTTGGATTCTGCAGAGCTCCTTACCAGGTTGTTAACTGGTTGCAGCCAGAAAGAATGAGATGCTGAAGCCTGGGCAGAGAGCCAGCTGCCTCTACAAAGCCCTTATCCGTCAGGTTCACACAATGATTCAAGGACAGATGTTCCAAGCTCCGGCAGTGGCGAGCAATGGCTAGAAGGCTATTGTCTGTGATGTTGGGCACGAGGCTGAGGGACAGGCGACGGAGCTCAGGGAATCTAATCACCTGGAAGGAAAGATAAAATAATACCAGGAAAAACAAGCTGAATGTTAGGTTTTTTTTTTTTTTTGGCTGAACATAGCATTGTTCAGAACAGTTGAATCCCCACCTTCTGCTGTCATTTTGCAAAGGGAGCCCATCCCACAAAGTGTGGCACTGTTGCACATCACAGCTACTGCCCAAGAGCCATGGTGCTTAATTCCCTTGCACAATTAATCCAGCTTTGACAATACTCCTTTTCTGGGAATATGACAGTTGTGTAAAGCCATAGTTCTAAACTGCAGTTTATTAAGTTATTAATAAGTTTATTTATGGTGTTAAAGTCCCAATGAGAATCTAGCCAACAAAACAAAACTTTGTCATGAAGATGATTCTGCTAAACATGGGAGAAATTACTTTTTGCATTAGAACTCAAAAATAGGGAAAACCAGCTGATTCCTAATCCATCTAAAACACAGACTTTTCATCTTAAAAACAGAAAAGAAGTAGAAGTTCACTTTATTACAATCAATGACCAGCTCAAAGAACAGACAAGCATCTCGAGCTCTGAGGATTACCTGGGAAGGAATCCCACTGGAGCATTGCAGCACACCCAAATACCTGGGAGTCACTCTGGACCGTGCTCTGACTTACAAGAAGTACTGCACTCCAAGTAGCCAGCTTTTGGTCAAAGGACATTTAGCATAATGCTAAGTTTTTAAAAAAAACTTTGTGTTTTTAAATGCATTTGAACTGTACCCTCAACTCACTTCTAACACAATAAATAAATAAGTTCAGAAGCTTTCTCAGCTCACTGAAGGATTTTGCAAAGTGTACCCCAGAAAAGGAACATTCCCCAAGCTCTAGATCTTTCCATGGGTGACTTATTGTTGTGTGCCTTCAAGTCACTTCTGACTTATGGCAACACTAAGGCAAACATATCATGACATTTCCTTGGCAAGATTTATTGAGAGGAGGTTGAGAAAGCATGACTTGCCTAAAGTAACCCACCGGGTTTCCATGGCCAAGTGTGAATTCAGACTATGGCCTCCAGAGGCACAGCCTAATGATCAAACTTCTACTCCACAATGGCTCTCCATTGTGATAACGGATGGCAAATGTAGTATGCAAACCTTGGCGATGCTCTTGTCCGTCAGCTTTCCACAAGCTGTAAGGTCAAGATCTTGCAAATGGGTTAAGGCACTCAAAGAGGCATGGCGTTTTTCTTGGACGGAGTGCTTGGCGAAGTCAATGAGAATCTGGTCATCCTGCTCCAGAACTTGTGGAGGTGGCTGGAAGAAGCCCAGGTTGCCAAAGTTTCTGCTGAATTTAGGGCCTGCATCCTTCTGTCAAGGCAATAGAATTTTTTTTAACATTTTGGAAAAGAAATATAATTCTGCATTTCATCTAAAAACAAGAGCATGGCCCAATTTCCCCACAATAATCATAACTGAGTCAATTTCTTGTTCCAGAAAAGTCTTTGGAAACCACATAGTTGACAAAGGCCAACTGCATAAGGGCCAGCTTTAGCACAGCAGGTTAATTGCCAACTGCAGCTGAAGTAAATCTTGCCAACCAAAAGGCTGACAGTTTGAAGCTGGGTCAGGGTGAGCTCCTGACCTTCAGCCCAGCTCCCTGCCCACCTATTTGATGGAAAATGGCAATGTGAGTAGATGAATAGAAATCACATTAAGCGGAGAGGCATTTTAGGCATAGCATTCAGAGGAAAGTTTATAAGCAAAGAAAGCTCTTCGGCAAGGAGATGGAGCAACAGTACCTCCTATGGCCAGAACCCAGCACAGCCTCCCAAAATGCCGAATGATGAGAAAAAGCTTATATATATATCTATCTGTTGTCTGTCATGTCATTGTATAATCAGCATTGAATGTTTGCCGTACATGTGTTCTGTGAGTCCCCTTCGGTCTGAGAAGGGTGGAATATAAGTACTGTAAATAAATATTTGAGCTTATCTTGCACAAGATTCATACATCAATCCCACCCAAAATTCATTTGCAAATTTTGCAAAGACTAAGTCCTGAACTGACTTTCATCAGTCCAGGATTCTTCTTGCCAGAGTTTCTCAACACACTGAAAACATTTTTTTCTGCAAGTTTTTGAACATTTTCAAACATTATTTCCATCTCTAACTGTGAGTCCATAGCATCCCTTCTCCCCACTAACTTACAGTTGTCACAAAACCACATGTGTATATTTTGCACCTTTGCAACATGTTCACGCTCCTCTTGAGATTCCTCAACACCCAACAAGCCCCAATCTGTCAGTTCTTTGCACCAGGCCAAACGCAGGACTCTCAAGAGCAAGAGGTGGGAAGCAATGGCTTGGATGCTTCTGTTGCCAAGTGACACACAGGATGAGAGATCCAGAACCCGAAGGCTCTTGCTCAGGGTTTCAGCCAGTGAGAGGATTGAACTTTCCTGTGGAAGGGAGAAAAACAGGCTCTTTTATTTATTATGCGTAGTTAAGGGGTCCTGAGATCTTGTGTTACATCAAGTCAGAATGCTAACACATCTAAGACCAATACTGTACACCTGGAATGAGAAAAGCGTGTACAGTATTGGAAAGGGAGAGTAATCTGTGTTCCTCCAGATTTTACTGGAGAGCAACTCTTATCACTCCATAATAACTGGTTCAGTTTAATGAGAACTGCAGTCCAAGAGTATCTGGGGTATTCACAAAGTACCTCATCTTCTCCAAAGGATGAGGTAGCCATTTTGCCCAATTCTGTTATCAAACCAGAACAGAGAGGGATTGTTGCCAGTCAATACAGCACAGTGGCCATCTAAATTAGTGTTTCTCAACCTGGGGTTGGGACACCTGGGGGGGGGGTCGCTAGGGGGGTGTCAGAGGGGTTGCCAAAGGCCATCAGAAAACACAATATTTTCTGTTGGTCATGGTGGTTCTGTGTGGGAAGTTTGGCCCAATTCTATCATTGGTGGGGTTCAGAATGTAGGTGCACTATCAATCCCAGCAACTACAATTCCCAAATGTCAAGGTCTATTTTCCCCAAACTCCACCAATGTTCACATTTGGGCATATTGAGGATTCTTGTCAAGTTTGGTCCAGATCCATCATTTGAGTCCACAGTGCTCTCCGGATGGAGGTGAACTATAACTCCAAAACTCAAGGGCAGTGCCCACCAAACCCTTGCAGTATTTTCTGTTGGTCAGGGAGTTCTGTATGACAAGTTTGGTTCAATTCCATCATTGGTGTATTATAGAGTGCTCTTTGATTGTAGGTTAACTATAAATCCCAGCAACAGCAACTCCCAAATGACAAAATAAATCTCCCCAACCCTACCAGTATTCAAATTTGGGCGTATCGAGTATTTGTGCCAAATTTGGTCCAGTGAATGAAAATACATCCTGCATATCAGATATTTACATAACGATTCATAACAGTAGCAAAATGACAGTAGCAATGAAAATAACGTTATGGTTGGGGGTCACCACAACATGAGGAATTGTATTAAGGGGTCATGGCATTAAGAAGGTTGAGAAACACTGCTCTAAATCATGTTTTCCACCAGCCTCAACCAGAATGGATCAATGATCAGAGATGAAGGGAACTAGAGTCCATGAACATCTGGAAAGTCACAAGCTACTAGTCCCAGATTAGAAGTCTAACTAAATCATGGCTCATTGGTGGCCTTGGGCTATTGTTGCCTCTGAGGGTTGCCGTGAGGATAAAATTGGAGGGGACAGAGAATTAAGGACATCACCATGAGCTCTATTGTCAAAAGGTATGATAGGGTCACTCACGCTCCCTTTCAGACCTAAACCTGAGCTGGGAAAATTGCAATTCTCCACGTGTTTTTGAACTGCAAATTCCATCATCTCTCACCATTGGCCATACTGGTTGAGACTGACGGGAATGGGAATCTCACATTTGGAATTTACCTGTAGTAAAGAGCAGAAGGCAGCATTTAGGGAAACCAGTTTGGGCCGTCCCTTGGCAGCACTAAGAGCTTTTGCCAGTTCACCACAGTTCACAAGACTGCATTCAGATACATCCAATTTTTGGAGATGCTTCAATTGTGAGATCTTTTGGAAACCACCTTCAGTTACACGCGGGAGCTTCCCTAAACACAGGCACCGGAGGCCTGGTAGCCGGGAGCAGACAGTCAGGATGGCCTGGTCAGACAGCTCAGAGCAACCGCTTAGATCCAAGGAGGTTATGTGGGGCTGGTGCTGGCACAGGATGCTCACAGTTTCGTTGGTCAGATCATGGCAGGCTTGCAACACCATCCCTTCCAGGTGCAGATTTTCAACTTGGGCCAGGGACTTCATTGCCTGGCTTGAGATGTTGGTTCCACTCAAGTCCAAAGTTTTCATGCTGCTGGCTCGCTTCCGCAGGAACTGCAGGAGGTTGCGGAAAGATAACAGAGCTGAGGAGTTGTAGTTGGTGGAGCCATGGTAAGTATCAAATTCAAAGGTGATGTGGCAGCGAGCAAGGGAGAGCTTGGCCAGGCGCGGAGACCAGTTGGTTAAGCGATTGAAGGAAATGTCAGACAAGTATCGTAAGCCAGACAAGTTCAGCTGCTGTAAGTTTGCTAGAGTCTCCTGGGCTTTCAGGTAACTCTCTTCCTTGGAAAGCAGGGTCCCGGACATAAAGAGGCTGTTGCAGCCACTTAGATCCAAGGTTGTGAGGCACGGGCAGGCCAGGAGGAGCTCCTCAAAGCTTGTCTCTGTCAGACTACTCCCATGGAGGCACAAGCTGAGCAGGTGTGGCCCCAGGTAGCTGGCGACGTGCCTGACAACATCACGAGATGTGGCAGATCCATCCAGGTTCGTCATCTTGACATTGCCCACATGCCTATGGGCCAAACTCTTAATGGTCCTCAGTGAGGCAGAGCTAGCAGGAATGTTGTACAAGAGGTTCTCCTAGGATTGAACAGGAGTGGGAATATAATAATAAATAAGCACATTGGGTACAGTGCCTAAAGACTTTGGCCTGCACTTAAAACATTATTATTTATTTCAGAGTTTTCTATACCAAACTTCTCACCTCTTAGAGGGACTCAGCCCGGTTTACAACCATAAAAACATACAATCAGTAAAATATCATAGTTCATAATTACAATAACACATTTAAAATGACAACTATGTTTAAAACTACGGTGGCCAGTCGTCATATTAAAAACAAGTATACCTCATCTTCCATCCACAATCCTAGGGTGCTGTCTCATTCATCGAAAGCCTGTCTCCACAGCCACGTCTTCACCCGTTTCCTGAATGTCAGGATAGACGGGGCGGTTCTGACCTCCGATGGGAGAGAGTTCCAGAGTCGCGGGGCCACCACTGAGAAGGCCCTGTCCCTCGTCCCCACCAGGCGCGCTTGTGAGGCCGGTGGGACCGAGAGCAGGGCCTCTCCAGACGATCTTAGTAATCTTGATGGTACGTAGGGGAGAATACGTTCGGAGAGGTAAACAGGGCCGGAGTCGTTTAGGGCTTTATAGGTTAACACCAGCACTTTGAATTCTGCTCGGAAGCTAATTGGCAGCCAGTGGAGCTGGTGTAACAGCGGAGTGGTGTGCTCCCTGTACCCAGCACCCGTTAGTAATCTGGCTGCCGGGCGTTGGACTTGCTGCAGCTTCCGGGCAGTCTTCAGAGGCAACCCCACGTAGAGAGCGTTGCAGTAATCTAAGCGGGATGTAACCAAAGCGTGGACTACCGTGGCCAAGTCAATCGGTGCTGACAAAATCACCACCTGTCAGCTGTGAAAGGCCACCCTACTCGAATCTTTACGCATTATTCGCCAATACATCACACAGTCCTAGATACTTGAGAAGTGTCCGACGTGATCAAATACAAAAGCTAGCATAGTGATCTAGTTTACTGTGTACTAATCTTGTTGTGTATCTAATAATAATAATAATAATAATAATAATAATAATAATTTCATTTGTTACCCATCGCTCCTCGTGGCTCGAGGTGGGATACAACACAGTCAAAATGTATCAACATAAAATACATATAAAAATACATATGTCAAAGCACAAGGTATGAAGATCAACATACAGGGGCAACAGAATGGAAATCCAAAACACATGTTCTGAACCAGAGTCCAGTCTACAGCCTCCTCCAACTCATCCTCACTATCACTGGAGTTATCTGCTGTGTCTCTGAGCCTCTTAGACATAGTGTCACTCTCACTGCCACAATCACTAGCCACTCTCTTCACTCCCCTGTAATCTGCTTCCATAGCCTCCTCTGGCCTGAATCCTGCAAAGTCTTCTTCATCACTGGGAGCCAGAAAGATGTCACGAATGCGTTTCAGCTGGCGCTGATTCTCCTCTGTTTCTGCATCACTCCTTCTTCTTCTCCTACTACTAGTAGCAGGTATGGTGTCAGAATGCTGACTCACAACAACACGATTCAAAGTTGACTGGGTAGGTAGAAATGTGTCTTAAATTCCAATAGCTTATTTAGCTGTCTTTCTGACAAGCCATTCCATAGTCTTTGTGGGGCAGCCAATGAATCCAGTCCCTTCCCTAATAATGGGACTCAGGATGATTTGCAAATTATTAAAGTCTATTTTCTCATAATCATCCCCCCAAAAAGAGTAGATTATGTAACACCCTTGAAGGCCAAAGATTGAAAAGTTACATTTTTGAACCCCCTCTTCAAAATTCCCTTGTCACCACAGCTCCTGAGAAATTATGTGAATTGTAATCCAAAATATAATTTTCCTAATCTCTTGCCAATATTCCCTACTTTCCATACATATAAATTTAAGTATGCTTTAGCTTTATGTCTGAAAGTGATCAACAACTTCCCAGAAGAGTACCACCAAATAAATACAGAAATCATGATTAAATTGGCTAAAATAAAAGATTGCTACCTGACGAAGGGACTCTTGAGCGGCCGAATACCAGATCCGGTTTACCAGAGATGCCTCTTTCCTGTCAGGGATGGGCAGAAAGCTTAAAATATAAGCAATAATCTGGAAAAAGAAAACATTTGTTTCAAAGGTGTAACCTTTATTCAGCAGTGGGAGGCAGTGATTTATATCAAGGACTTTACACTCATGTGACTCTTAGGGCCTGTCCAGACAGTACGTTTATGCCAGGAGCTTCTGCAGCAAACAGAGGGTAGAGCCAGTCGCCGTTCCCTGTAAACACAGGAACAATCGCTACAAAAAGCAAAACGAACAAACAAACAAAACAAAACAAAACCCCCAAAACAAACAAAACAAAAAACAGGTGTGGGAATATTTATGTGTGCGAATATTGTTGTGTTCCAGGTACGGGAATATTGTTGTGCTGAGCTGAATATGCGGGTCTTCACATGTCTGTATGTCCCTGCAATTAGTTATCATGGGATTTTTTATCTGGGTTTGTTCCCAGGTTTTAGATGATTCTTCCTGATTGGTCGGTTCCTAAAAATAGGGTGACGCTTGAGTAGAAGGCAAAAACTTTGTTTGTGTGGAAGATACTTCAAGAAAGATGTGGAGGGCACATTTTCTCTGGCTAGGACAAAGTTGTTTTCTTTTCTTTCTTTTTTTTTTTGTCGTGTCAGGAACAACTTGAGAAACTGCAAGTTGCTTCTGGTGTGAGAGAATTGGCTGTCTGCAAGGACGTTGCCCAAGGGACACCTGGATTATTTGATGTTTTTATCATCCTTGTGGGAGGCTTCTCTCATGTCCCCGTATGAGGAGCTGGAGCTGATAGAGGGAGCTCATCCGCCTCTCCCCAGATTTGAACCTGCGACCTGTTGGTCTTCAGTCCTGCCAGCACAGGGGTTTAACCTTCTGTGCCACCGGGAGCTCCGGACAAAGTTATGACCCCCTAGTCAATATTGTACATCTTTTCACAAGCAGTGTGTAGTGATTCATACTTTTGGTAGGCCACAGCCTAGAAGTCAGTAAGCCGGCCTCCATGTTGGTAAGGCAGCTCAGTGTAGCAGACATCTTAGGAGAGGCAGCTAAGCAGAGGGGAGGAGCCCAGCTATCTCCTGATTGGTTAAGACCCAGTGGGAGGAGTTGGAGGGAGAGAGTGTAAAAAGGCTGTCAGTTCTGACAGAGGAGGGAGAAGGGTTTCTAACAGAAAGGAGAAAAGGGTTATGACAGAGAAGAAGGATTTCTGACAGAGAGAAGAGGGTAGATTTTCTTAGTGAGCTAAGGGTTTGCCTGTTAGAGAATAGTTTAAGGCAGGTGCTTCTACAGAGTTTGACTCGGAGAGTCAAAGTGAAGACCTGTATACTTGGGTTGACTTAGGACTCAAGTTGTTTTATTCTCTTAGGGACAGAGTAGTCTAGGAAAACATAGATACTCTGGGAGACAGCCAAGAGAGGCTTGTCAAAAGGACTCACTGCTACAAGGTATAGTGTATAGGGTTACAGCCTGTGCTGGATGGGGTCGCACTCCCCTTGAAGGCGCAGGTTCGCAGCTTGGGTGTGATCCTGGATTCATCGCTGAGCCTGGAGCCCCAGGTCTCGGCGGTGACCAGGGGAGCATTTGCACAGCTTAGGCTCGTGCGCCAGCTGCGCCCATACCTTGGGAAGTCTGACTTGGCCACGGTAGTCCACGCTCTGGTTACATCCCGTTTAGACTACTGCAACGCTCTCTACGTGGGGTTGCCCTTGAAGACGGCTCGGAAGCTCCAATTGGTCCAACGTGCAGCAGCCATGATACTAACAGGAGCGGGGCGCAGGGAGCATACAACCCCCCTGCTGTACCAGCTCCACTGGCTGCCGATCTGCTACCGGGCTCAATTCAAGGTGCTGGCATTGGCCTATAAAGCCCTAAACGGTTCTGGCCCAAGATACCTAACTGACCGCCTCTCGGCCTATGAGCCCACGAGGACTTTGAGATCTTCCGGGGAGGCCCTGCTCTCGATCCCGCCTGCCTCACAGGCACGGCTGGCGGGGACGAGAGATAGGGCCTTCTCGGTGGTGGCTCCTCGGCTGTGGAACACCCTTCCCGTAGACATCAGGCTAGCCCCCTCCCTGTTGATATTCCGCAGGAAGCTAAAGACCTGGTTGTTTAAGAAGGCATTTGAATAGAAGTGCAATGACTGGTAACTCGACCATAGGAATGGAACAACGGAAATGGTATCGGATTGTGAACTTGACGATGAGACGACTCGGAATGGCTTATAGTAATGTTGATGTTTTTGATGAGATGTTTTGATAATGATGTACTGTGGATTATTTTATTTTATGTTGTATTTTGCACCTGTTTTTCTATGTTGTACACCGCAATGAGTCGCCATTAGGCTGAGAATTGCGGTATATAAGCGAAGTAAATAAATAAATAAATAGAGTGAGGGAAATAGCTCATGTTAAAGAAAGGAAACTCAGTTTAAAGAAACCATTTCTTAAGAAGATTGTGCTTCAGTAACAAAATATGCTTGTGTACCTCATAGAAGTCAGTTGTATGTTTCAAAGATCGTAATAAACTTATTCTCTAGATCACTGTTTAAATTACCTCAGCCTTGATTCATTATATAAGATAAGTTCCAGTAATTTTCAACATCTTTACAATCCAGTCACTTGAAGGGAGCCAAAATAGAAGGAGCTGGTGTATAAGAAGATTTACCTCAAGTATAACAACAAGATACTTTCTCAAATTAAATTTTGAGTGGTGGCAGCAACCCTACCATTACACACTCACGTTTCCACAACACACAACGACGTGCTTTGTGACAGGATTGTGTCAGTGTTCAGCCAGAACCTGTATAAGAAAAATCCTGTACCCTGATCTTTCAAAGTGGTGGTCAGCTGTGAGATGTTTAACAGCTGAAGGAACGTGTGGGTGTGTGTGTCTGAGGGGATCTGTTAGTGAAATATTAGTTCAGGATCCTCTTAAGTCTTTACAGTGACCGTGTGTGGGCATATTCTTATTACATTGGTGCCAGCGGTGTGTCTTAAACTTTTAAACAGTGCAATCAGGAACAGCCATGCATAACCCAGGAACAGCACCCTGTTGTTTGATGCCACAAGAACACAAACAAATCTGTCTGGATAGATGGCCAGGCAGCCAAGCTCTTAAAAAGTGTCAATAATGATAAAGTTCTGTTCCTGGCTTGAAAGTGTGTGTTCATTTTTGACTGTGCAGCGCTGACTTGGGCAGAAGTAGTCCTATCCCGTAAACTTTGTTTGTGTGGCAGATACTTCATGAAACATCTGGAGGGCACGGTTTCTCAGATATGAGATTCGCATATCTGAATCTCAGCATAAAAAAACACTGAAGTTTCCGGCGGAAGTCCCGCAGTGACCATCTTGGGAGCCTCTATATCTCGCAACAAAGCATCAAGTCTGGAATACGGAGGCAGCAATCCCGGGACCAACAGGTCTGTATGTGAACCTCTTCTGAAGTCCCAGGACTTTTTGCCCCTGTTTAAAACCTGTGATTTAGTACTGTCTGGAAGCGCCCTTACAGAACAAAATTCATCCTGGTTTTAAAATAAGGAGGCTTACATCACCAAGCGAAACTAGTAAGATTCATTGATTCAAATCAAGATTTCCATGTTCTTTCCATAACATGGTTTAGTGGTTGAATTGCAGCTACAAGCATTCATTGCCATTACTATGTTGGCTAGGGGTGATTGAGAGTTGCAACCTACAAAATGCTTAGCACCAGATTGTAGTGGACCTGTCAAGCAGAGTGTCAGGTTCCTTTCACACATAGGACTCATACATTAATTGTACCTAGGGTCATAAAACAGACAGATCTTCAGATCCTCTGACTTTTTCTTCCTTTCCCACAAAAAGCAAAGGAAGTGATATTTATTGCATGCTAATAAAACTTCCCAGTTCCTGGCCATTTGCCACTACATAGCCTGGTGTCCACTTGTTCAATGTCTACTTGTCCATGTTGTGCAGACTACAGGACACACGTGAAATGTTAAAACCAAGTAATAGTTATGACAGAGGTCATCTGATCTGATAAGGTGAAATTCACCAGTTTGCCTGTCCACTCCTCCCTGCACACGGAATCTAACAGAGAAATAAACTGATAGGTTGGATACAAAGAGGGCAGAACATTAATACAGTATTTCAATAAATAATATGAGCACAATAAGCTAGACATGAAAGGTGAGCAAATAGCATTGGATGATTTATAGCACTCGTCAAAAGAGGAGGCAGCTGTAACTATATCTCATTGTAAACAAAAAGGCAAAGGTTTTGGTCTGTGCCAAGTATGATACCCACCTGAAGAAAGAAAAGTTAATAAAGCCAAAGATATACAGACAAACACCTGCCAGGAAACATTAGTTGAGCATGCATATAGAAAACCACACACGTCAGAGTAAAATTTGGGGGTGTATGCGCAGCGGAAGAGGTTGCTAGATCAAACAGACACAGGACTCCAAAAATCAGGACTCTGCAGTTTCTCAGTTTCAAAATAACACAAAGTTTACTAAGTACTTCTACACACGTCCATTCTAAGCGGGCAAAAATCAGGAACTACAAAGCACAGCACAAACAGTTTTCTGAACATCTGCTTATCTCACTTCTCTGGCCGGATCCTCCCTATTTCTTCCCAGCCAGAGAACGTGTTATCTTACTTCTGCCAAGGTTACTCTTCCTCTGCTTCTTTGCTTCTCACAGTATTTCTCATGCACAATTTAACATAACAGAATCCATATTGAATTACATCTTAACCCATTCTTAATTACATAGAAACACATTGAAAAAACATACATGCATACCTTCAATAATTCTGACAACACATACATATAGGAATTAGCCAATTGTAAGATATTGAGTTGGCCAATTAGCAGAATGCATGTGCTAAACAAAAGAGTATTAAAAAGTCTTACATAAAAAAGTTCGGTAGAACTTGTTACCTTTGTTACTAGCACAATGTGACTCCTTTTTGCACAAATCAGAAGTAAATTTCATATTTCTGAATCTTGGCAGTGACTACAGAGACCTATTCTAGATCCGCATGGTCTTTCACAAGGAGGACATTGATTTCCAGATGGAAGGGTTTCCTGA